TTTTTTGCTCGTCTTCCGTTTTGGGATTGGCATCGTGTTGCTGGGTGTCTGGAGAAGCTGGGATGTAACACGATGCAGGCCGAGACTGCTGGGTATATATCTCCACACTTATAGGCCCAGTTTTGCGCATGTGAGGGCCTGCTTTTGTTGGTGCTGTTGTTGGGGTGGTGGTGGGTGCGTCTGCGGAGGGGTTTGTGTAGGCACGTGCGATGGCGAGCTGGGGATGGAGGTCGTGCAGGGAGGGGTGAGGAATGGGTGAGTGAGTGAATTAGTAAGTGGGAAGTGAGAAGTGACTACAGGAAGAAGATATCCTAAAAATTAGTTCGCATATCTATAATTATTAGTCTATATATATCTGTTTTTCTCTTATGTTACATCATATTATATTACTATTATTCTGTGCCTTCGCACTAATCACGTCTTTGTATTTGTGTAAGCAACTATGCTCGTAATAGAGCTCTTTTTAGAACTTACTGTTGAAGTTCAAATACTGGGAAAGGGGGAGAAGGAAAGATGTAAATAGAATTTTCTTTATGAGTAGGTCTAAAAGTAGGTAGAATAGTACTAAATAAAAAAAAAAAAATATATATACACCGAGAATCTTAAAAGCAATAATCCCGTATATTATAGACTTATTCTGCCTCCCTAGGTTTATTTTTCGCTAATTTAACTCTTTCTCTGCTCTCCTTCCTTATTTACTTCTAGTAACCCGGAAAACTATATCTCTTATCTTTACAACTAAGTTCTTAACATATATATACGCAGAATATAGAGCTTAGCGGTAGCGGATATTAGCGAATATATATTATATCATTACTCTATGCGAGCCTAAACCTCGCACTATAAAGAATAAATACTATATAAATAGGCTAACAACACTTTTGAAAACTAAAATATAACGTTAGGCACTATCTCACGAGGATATACTATCTGACGGAACTGAGGATATTAGGCTCTACGTGCTTAACATCCGAAACGCGAAGTAACTATTTAAGGAAATAAACATATTAGCTCTTCTCGCCATAACAACTCTAAAAATCCAGCTACCTTAAGAGACCTTATTAACATATTAGCTCGACGGTATACCTTATAAGACGAAACCGGAAGTTACATAGCAGAGGTTTTATAGCAAATTAACTGGTTACTATTAATATAAATATTACATAGAATCAGTAAAGTACCACGGTTAAACTATTACATTATAGCAGGCTTAGACCCTCCGAGTACCAGTAGCTACTAGATCCTACTATTTAAAGGGTACAGATAGTAGTAAAGGCGGGACCGCAAATACAGCTCCCACATCTACCAGCAATCCAATCGCAGAAGCTTATATGGACACCTTGGTGAGCTAGTATCCAGAATTCAACCACGATTCCACGAGAATTTCGGCATCGACGTTATGGGCATTCTAGGAAGACTAAGTTTCCAGAGCACACCATCTCCTTCACCTAAAGCTGTTTATCCGCACGATAGCCCAGAGATGAACCTCACCACACCAGAGTTACAACGCACTGCTTCAGCAGCCACATATGCCGAATACCACTACAAGAGTAGCGCGCAACTCCGGCCCTATAAACCTTACTTAGCTACTGTCGCTACTGCCGTCTTCCCAAACCGGTAACGTCTAAATTGTTCCACTCTAACACCTAGCACAAATCCAGGTGTCTTCTGGCATATAAATCAGTACCAGTAGCCCGCATTCCTAAGAACCGCCAATTATAGTTTAGTAGCTTTTATATATATAGATCAGTACGTCCCCTGACCGCTTAATAATATACCGTTAGCTTCACGTAAAGTAGCTACTAGACGTTAATATAGCCCCAGCTCTAAGCTACCCATAGATCGGAGCCAGTTAAAGCTGGTTTTACTTTTATACAGCGTTTTAGATCGACTGCCCCAACATATAGAGTAAGATTAGCACTCCGGATATTCTTAAACGAACACTGTATAAGACACTAATAAGAGAAGCTGCGCGGACGACAGCAAGATGGGAGCGGTTATTGTTGAGCCACACTAATCACGGCTCGAATGCGTGTGATGTGATGGTTGGTTGCGAAGAGTAGACAGAGCATTGGGTACTTTGAAGAGGGAACTACGCATACCTTGCATTGTCTCACTAGCTGCCTATAAGAGAGCGTAGTTCGTGGGGAAATGCTCACTGTTTACGGGCCGTACTCCGTCCTTTGCGTATAGCAAGTGAGCACATCACAACACCGTACACGCCAGCAGCATACCGTCGCCCAAACCATTCAGACATTTAAACACAACCCATACAAACGCCCCCTCCCCCCCACACAAAACCTACAAACCTACAACAACCCTACAACCTCGCCTTGACCTCCCCCTCCCCCTCCCCCTCATCACTACCCACAAACTCGACCCCCCCCAAAAGCGCCACCTTCCCCGTCTCAACCACAGACGCTCTAAACACCACCGTGCGGCCCCCCTTCCCCTCGCGCCACATCTCAACCTTAATGCCCTGGCCCGGCACAACCGTGCCTACGAACCTCGTCTTTATGCTCTTGACCCTGAGCTTCTCCCCGCTACCACCAGTACCACCACTACTGCCACCCTCCCCCGCAGACCCGCCCTCCCCACCCACCCGCCCCTCCACCGCCTCAACAACAGCCTTCACCGCAACCCCCATCGAACACAGCCCATGCAGAATCGGCTTTTCAAACCCGCCCACGGCCGCAAACGCCGGGTCGATATGCAGCGGGTTGCGATCGCCCGAGAGGCGGTAGAGGGCGGCCTGGCCCTCGGCGGTGCGTACCTGGACGACCTCATCCGCCGCCCTCTTCGGAACCTCATAGTTCCTGACCGCATGGCCCCTGCCGCCGTCCTCGACCCTGCGCCCCGCGCCCTCCGTGCTCGGTTTCCTCTCCCCGCCAAAGCCACCCGCGCCGCGCACCACGACCGTCATCTCATTGTAAAACAACTTCTTCCCGCTTTCCTTATCCACCGTCGTGGTCCCCGTGGTTATCACCGCGCTCTTCCCCTTGTCGACCACGTCGACCAGCTGCGGAAAACTCACCACCCGGGCTTCGGTGGGAATGCTAGCGCTCAGCAGCTCGAGGTACTGCTCGCCGTGCAGCAGCAGCATGGGGCTGAAGTTAGGCACGAGGTCTGCGAGGGAGAAGGGCGCGGACGCGTTGAAGGGTGGGATCACGCCCCAGGTGGGGAGCGCGCGGAAGGCGTCGTCGTTTTCGTAGATGAGGTGTTGGTCGCGCGGGGTGGCGCCTAGGCCCAGGTCTGTGGTGTGGTTGTGGTGGTTAGTATATGTGTGTGTGTGCGGATGTGTGAGAGAGGGGAGGAGGGGGCCCACTGTAGAGGATGATGTCCCGATCGTCGTAGGAGAACTCGGTGCCGCTGGCTTTGGCGGCTTTGGCGGCTGCGATGGCAGAAAGGTATTGTTGGTTTTCGTTCTCCTCGTCGGCGGCGGCGGCGGCGGCTTCTGCTGCATGGAATGTCATTATAAATAACTCGTGAGAGCAAAAGATAGACGCGGAGGTCGGAGCACGAAAGTACATCACATCTCAACCTCCGAGACGAAAAGAAAGGGGTATTGGTTTTATCATTCAGGTATCCCATACAAAAAGACTCCTACAAGAAGAACATACGTGCAGACAAACAAACAAACAAACACACCAAACCTAGAGCTTCGACTTACCCTCCTTGCGGCTCTTACTCCTATTCTCAAAGTTCGCCATGATGCTCTTCAAGCCCTCCTGCGTATCCTCAGGGTGATCGGCCCTGCCATCGTCAAAATCGCGAATCTTGTCCCACACCGACAGCACCGCCTCAGGCGTCAGGGGCACATCGACGGGGAAGCCGTGGCCGCCACTGCGCTGCCACCTCGTCTTGGCGACCCAGCCGCTGCCGACCTCGAAGAGGCCACCCGTTGGCGGCTTGGGCACGTGGTCGCTCGACAGCGCCACCACGAGCGGCGCGACGTAGTCGGGCTTGAACGCCTGCACCAGCTCCTCGGGCATGATGGTGCGCGTCATGTTGGTGCCCGCGTTGGGCGCAATCGTGTTCACGAAAATGTTGTACTTTGCGCCTTCGCGGGCCAGGGCGCGCGAGAAGCCCAGGATGCCGCATTTGGCTGCCGCGTAGTTGGCCTGGCCGAAGTTGCCGTAGATGCCTGACGTCGACGTCGTGTTGACGATGCGGCCGTACTTTTGTTTCAGCATGTATGGCCACGCTGCCTTGGTGATCTTGTACGTGCCGCGCAGATGCACGTTCAGCACAATGTCGAACTGCTGGTCGTCCATGTTGGCAAACGCCTTGTCGCGCAGGATGCCTGCGTTGTTGACGATCACGTCAATGCGGCCATACGCATCAATGACGGCCTTGACAACCGTGTCGCCGTCCTCGGCGGAGGCTTTGATGCCAATGGCCTGGCCGCCGAGCTTCTGAATCTCCTGGACAACATCATCTGGGTTCGCCAGGTCGTTGACCGCGACCTTGGCCCCGTACTTGGCAAAGAGAAGGGCATATGAGCGGCCCAGGCCGGCGCCACCGCCGGTGATGAGCACGACCTTGTCCTTGAAGTCCACCTTCTGACCAGGAGGGTTGCTGGGCAGCTTCTGTGCCTCCTCCAGCAGCTCCATAAAGTTCGCAACACCGTCGGGGTAGCTGGGCTCCGAGAAATCACCAACGTCCTTCCACTTCGCAAGCACTGCACCGGGAGTCATGCTGTCGTCGGCCCTCAGCAGGCCGCCCTTGGCGCGCTCCCACCGCAGCTTCGCGATATGTCCACCGCCAGCCTCAAAGATAGACCCCGTCTCAGTGGTGTTTGACGGGTGCACCAAAACGGCCACAAGAGGAACAATCCAGTCGGGCTTGAGGCTTTCGAGCATATCAGGCGGCATGACAGTCTCGGTCATACGGCTGGCGGCGATGGGAGCAATAATGTTGCAGAGGATATTGTACTTGTAGCCTTCCTTGGCTAGAGTTTCGGTGAAACCAACCTGGGAGAGCTTGGCGGCTACGTGGGTCAGCAGCTGTCTGGGAGATATCTTTGAGCGCTGTCCTCTTACCCGAATAGTTGGTTTGGCCAAAGCCACCAAAGAGTCCTGCGGCGGAAGCGGTGCTAATGACGCGGCCGTACTTTTGTTTCCTGAAGTGCGGCCATGCTGCTCTTGCGCACTGATTGTCCGTTAGCACCCGCGGCGTCCTCCCATACCTCGAAGTAAGTCAGACGCACCTTGTAAGCACCCTTGACGTGCACCTTCATGATAAGGTCCCAGTCATCGTCCTTCATGTTCTTAAAGCTGACATCGCGCAGGATGCCGGCATTGTTAATGAGCACATCGATGCGTCCAAAGCTCTTGATAGCCGTGTCGATGATGCGGTCTCCGTTCTCGACGCTGTCGTAGTTCGCAACAGCCTTGCCGCCCGCCTTCTTGATCTCGTCGACGACGACATCAGCAGCCTACAAGCAGTATATGTCAGCCCGGGTCGCCCGGCAAGCAGGATACCGCCCCTTCGCACCTTTGTCGAGTTGCCCTCGCCCTTGAAGGAGCCGCCCAGGTCGTTCACCACGACGTTGGCGCCCCGCGACCCAAAGAAGGTCGCGTAGGCCTTGCCCAGGCCGCCGCCGGCGCCCGTGACGACGACGGTCTGGCCGTCAAAACGGAGCTCCTCGCGGCCCTTGAGGCCGTAGGAGTTGTGCGCTTGCGATGCGGCCATGCTATGTGTGGGGTGTGTATGAGTGTGTGGGTGTATGAAGAAACAAGAAAACAACGGACGCGACGAAGGAGTCTTAACTATGGGGTATGGGGTATGGGGAAAGCAGCGAGCACGGGGAGTTTCAGCAGCACCTAGAAAGCCGAGCTCCAAAGCAGCGCGGCAGAGCAGCGTCACAGGGCCGAGGTAAAGCGCGGCAGCCGTTTGCAATTGGCGGGGGATCCTGCGGGGATCCTCGCGCACGTGACGCCCGGGGATATTTCACATGCCAGAGCGTCATCGTCACAAGCCAGAAAAATGGCAGACGACAAATCCGAGCACTGCATTCCCTTCATCCTCGCCCGCCTCGATGCCCATCGCCGCGCTCCGCGCCCGTCAGGCCAGCCCGCGCCGCCCTTCTTCATCGGCCTGAACGGCGTGCAAGGCGCGGGCAAGACGACTCTGGTAAGCAAATGTCGCACAACCACATACCTAGGACTGACACATCCTCCACGCACCCAGGTCACGACCCTCCACCGCACTCTCACCTCGCCCCCGCACTCGCTCCCCACCGCCGTCCTCAGCATCGACGACCTCTACCTCCCACACAGCGCGCAGCGCGCCCTCGCCGCCGCCCACCCCACCAACCCACTCGTCCAGCACCGCGGGCAGCCAGGCACGCACGACCTGGCGCTGGGCGCCTCCGTATTCGCCGCTCTGCGCGCACGGCAACCGACGCGCATCCCAGCGTACGACAAGAGCGCGCACGGCGGGCAAGGCGACCGAGCCGAGGAGGCGGCGTGGACAGCGGTGAACGCGGCGGGCGCGCCCACCGTCGAGGTCGTGCTGTTCGAGGGGTGGTGCGTGGGGTTTCGATCGCTGGGGGCGGGGGAGGTACGGCGGCAATGGGAGGACGCGGCGGCGAAGGCGCGCGCCGAGGACGAGGCGTACGCGGGCCGGCTGGGCCGGTTGGAGCTGCACAGTGTGGCGTTTGTGGATGAGCGGCTGAGCGAGTACGACGTGCTGACCGATGCGCTGGATGCGTTCGTGCATATTGATGCTGAGGACACGCAGTTCGTGTATCAGTGGCGCTTGCAGCAGGAGGCGGCGCTGCGCGCGGCCAAGGGGCGCGGCATGTCGGACGAGCAGGTCGTCAGGTTCGTGGATGGCTGTACGTCGGGCTTTTCGTTACTTGCGGTGCCGTGGTGCGGTTGTTGTTGTTGTTGTTGTTGTTGTTGTTGTTGTTGTTGCGTGCTAACACCTGCCTGTAAGACTACCCCGCCTACGAGCTCTACACCGACGTCCTCCGCGCCGGCATCTTCAAAGGCGACAAGGGGCGCCAGCTCCGCCTCGTCGTGGGCCGGGACCGCCGCGTCAAGCACGTCGAGCTGCTATGATAGAGAGAGAGAGAGAGAGAGAGAGAGAGAGAGAGAGAGAGAGAGAAAGAGGTAAGATGGAGCTGGCTGCGAGCTCCCGCCGCGCCAGCGAAGCATGCGGTTGTGCATTATGGGCGAGTGTATGTAAACACCTACAATGCCATTATCTCCAGAGCTCCGGATACTTTCTCAACCCACGTAATAGTATACCCATATAAAGTACAACTAACTCTTTACCCCTGGTACTCTCACAGCTTTATAACTTTCCAAGTACACTTTCACCCCTCCGCCTCTTTCATCCTTCTATTACTTCACACTCCTATACTCCCAACATCTACACCTCTACCCTCTCACATACTCTTACACCCCCGCACATATCCACCTCTCTAATCAACCCAGCGCCCACAACCCACAGCACCATAGCCTATCACAGCATTACTCCGTACCCACAGGTATAGTAGATCCCACTCAACACACAGGCAAGGGATAGGCAAGGTAAGTAACAGAACCATCCACAACCAAGCAAGAGCGCCAACCTCCGTGGTAGGAGCATCGCCAAGCATATACATATACATACATAGGCGAAGAAGACCGCGAGACCCCGCCCGTCCCGCATCCAACAGCGAACCAACTCTAGATAAAAACCGCCCCAGAGCTATCGCAGTTCCAAGCACGCGGCGGCAGCGAACGCGTGCACGGCGCCCAATTATTAAAGCCATTCTACGGAAACGATCTTGCGGAAGCGCATACCTAGGTATCGCGACTTCGAGCACGGAATACCTAGGTTTAAGGTTAGAGAAGGGTTGGAAGCGGGAGAGGCAAGCACGCTAAGAGGGTTGATGTCGCTTTAGGTGTATGGCGCAGGTTGTTGCGTGTACGGTTTAGGATATCCGGGTCCTGAGGCTACGGACTCTGGCTCTGGGTGGGCTCCGCTTCGTGCAAGAACGTGGTTCCGCCGCTGTCTGAACTACCTAGGTAGCGTTTCCGCCGTGTCTTCCAAAAGCCTCCGCAGTTCCAGGTATCAAACGCAACACATCAAAGCCAGAGCAGCAGTTAAGGAAGTCACTGTTACCACCAAAGCACGTCGTTTTTATCTCGTATTACTGAGCCACACATACACAAAGCGTGTGCCAGAAACCCGCACCCATGCACAGCACCCGAGCGCTTCTTCCCCCAAATCGGTCTGTTTGATACAGTTCGCAGCAGTCCAAGGCACGGAAATGCTAGTCAAGGCTCTGCATCGCTAAGGGGTTGGCCCTAGGTTTTACATGACCGGACTGCGTCGGGAGGGGTTGGCTTCAGTGTCCAAAACATGCGATGATGTAGGATTTCGCCATCCGCTGCCTCAGCAATACGAGAGAGCTTCTTGGCTTTCTATGTCGTCCTGGACAGCTGGTGTAATGTATCTCGTCGATGTGAGCGCTGGACACAATCTCCAGTAGGCAAGTGTCTTAGCGGTGGTCGAAAATGGTGTATTCGAATGCTTCCATGGCAAAGAGCCTATACCGCCTGCGGAACTCGATGCGTTGGGAAGACGGAAGAAACCATCGTCAGGCGCGAGGCTGGCATTGTATGCAAGACTCAAAAGGCGGAATTTAGCCTGCCGCATCAACTTCGTTGTGGCTGCACGATTTCTATACAACTCCGCTAAGCGTGTAGCGTAGATGGACGGTATAGACGAGTTCACCAAGCAACCACGTCGGTGGCCGCGGAGCCTGCCAAGAGCGCTATGTAAAGCTGAATGGTTCCATCGAAACTGGCCAAGTCGAATGCAAGCTGAGGATCGCCTGCCATCTTCTAGCTGCTCTTTTTTCGTACCTGTTACTGGACGGTCGCCTATGGGAGACATGCTTCGTTGCACGGCCTTCGATACAAGCTTTATCAGCCTAGCCATTGTTGCAATTATCTTTGGGTTGCAAATTGGCGTCGGATGCAGGCACCGACTTGACAGCTTTACGTACGGTCTGAAAATATGTCCGTCACATTTTCGGTAATGGATTGAAGAGTCCCGTCAGTTAGTCGTATCAATTGCCACAGGCTCGGCCCATAAGCTGGACGGTAGAAGAGTTAAAGCCGCAAAACCATCAAAGGCGCTCGTCCATTGACCATTTCTTGAGATTGGTCAATCATTGTCGCTGGCTCTTTTTTTGTGAGGGCTGTCTTTCGTCAAGTCTACCACTAAAGCTGCCTCGTCGATGAGACCTTCAGTAGCGAGTGCGTCTTCTTCATCCCAGCCGTACAACTCATCGGAACCGAGTTCGTCATCGGAATCTGCAACTTCGGCATAGCTCCGTTTGCTGGTCCGGACTGGTGCTGGAGACGCCAACGGTTGGACAGGCAGCTCCACGGATGCGAGAGAAACGTCTGACAGACCTGACTGTATTTGAGTTAGAACATCGTAGTTGACTGAGGTAAGAACCAGCACCGGGGATGTTGAAACAGTTGCGATTGAGGCAAGGTCCAGAAATGTTGAGACAACGAAAAAGGAGACACTCACGCGCTCGACAGTAAAAGGCACAATAGCACCTAGGCCATCTGGTTCTCCGAGTGCTATTCCGCCAGCCTTGACAAGACCGACGAACCTAATCCGCTTGCTTCTTTCTTCATCAACATCGGACAGTTTATCCTGCTCAGGAGGCCAGTCCCTAAATAGGACCATGCGATTTGCAATGCCATTGTCCCATTCCATACTAGCCATTGCAGGTACTAAGCCATGGCCCGAACCAAACCTCGTAACGACTTGGTTGGTTAGGAGAATTGTGATGTCGCGTACAGCCGCCATCTTTCCAAGTTTGGAGATCAGGTCGTTCATCACAGCATACCTACGTCCGGCTGCCCATCGCGCGTCGCTAGGCTTCGCCTTGGACGGGTCATTGGTGCGGGGATAAGCATTATCAAACAGTGTCGACAGGGAGTCGATCACCACTATGCTCGTCCCTGGCGGCGGAAAGGAGGGTGTGTGGATGCAGAGCACAAGCAAGTGTGCTAGTGTGTGAGTGGAGTAATGATGGAAATTACCCAACAGTTTATCCAAAGGAGTGCTCGTAGAAGCTGGCGCTGAAGAACTAATCCCGTTCCTGATATGGATTTGAGGTGTAGAGAGCATCTCCTTCAAGCGTGGCTTTGCGAGCGGCGCCCCCGCATCTGCGCAAGCAGTCAGACAGCCGTTGACAACCACGTGGCTTCTGTCCACCAGGAAAGCTTACCTATCCAAACGGCATGGGTGCCCGAATTGAGAACTGTTTTGCAAGCCTGAAGACTTGTTCCCCAATCTCAGCACAGTTCCCGCAAGTACTTTTGCCATGGCCCGGCTATGTCCCACCACTCTTGGGGAACGACCTACCCAAACACCGTCTTGCCCACTCCTGGAGGGCCATATATTTCCGTCACCTGCCCGCGACCAAGTCCACCGCGGATAGTGTTCGTTGCGGGCTGGCTTCCGAGGGCACGCGGAACGAGTTGCGCATCGAGTTGCGCAAGGCCGGTGGATATCGCTCGCGAACCCCCGCTCTTAAGTTTATGAAGTGCTTGCGACGCGGATACCGTTGGCAATCTGTCTGTGATAGTACTATGGTCAGTAGAGCCAGGATGAAAAAGTCTTGGTAGGCTTACGGGAAGAGGGAGTGTCGGAAGCGGCATTTGCGCCGTCTTGGTGAGCCATTGGGCGTCGCTATCGCAGCATTGGATGGTTTCTGGGCGAGTGGCGGAAAGCGTCAAGACATTTCCTTCCTCTTCCGGTGTCAAGGCACCAAAGACGTGGATGAAAGGCGCGTGCTCGGAGGGACGCGCTGCGCCGCGCGCGAGCGTGACATCAACGCCACGAGTCAGCAGCCTCACGATCTTCCCGAGCGATCCCTTTCCAACTCTCGGATCCTCCAACCACCAAACCAGCAACAAGTGGCATAATGGACGTGGAGAGCCGTCACCCATAAATTTACACGACAGTTGGCTGTCCCTACCAAGTCAGCAGTTTTTCCGGTCCGATCTTCTCCTTTTCTCTCTCTGCATTCAGCTCCCCCGAACCTCCGTTTTCGGATCTGTCTACTACTCTCGTTAAATCGCAATCTCATTCTGCAAAAATGGACTTCTTGGACTTTCTATTAGAGAGGTCGTCGACACTAGGTCAACTTTTCATTACCATTAATGTTGTCCTCATTCTGGCGGCCCTCTATCTCGATTTCCGTCGTAAAGACGAGAAACCCGAACCCCCAGCCGGCTGCACCAGACTCGGCATCGAAGAGCGCCAATCCAACTTGAGAGATCAGTTCGACAGCAAGTACAGCCGCGCATCATCATCCGATGACAGTGACGACTTCAAGGTCAAGGCGCTCTGCGTCTATCCCATCAAGAGCTGTGCCCCCGTGGAACTCGGCACTGGCGAAATCGTCCGTACGGGTATGAAGTATGATCGCCAGTTCGCCTTTGCGCAACTCACCAGTTCCGTTGCGCAAGACGGAAGCTGGAACATCAACCACCAATGGACCTTTGTCACCCAGCGACAGTCAGCGGAGATGGCCAAAGTCCGGGCGGAGCTGTGGGTGCCGGATCCTTCCTCGCCCACGTACTCGCCGGACGCGGAATATGTCAAGAGCGAGGGCTGCATTGTGGTGTCCTTTCCTTACACCGAGGACAAGCCTGGTTTTATCGACGCGGTGGAGAGATTGGGCTATTACATCCGCGCGAAGTTGTTCAGGCTGCCCGGCGTTGACATCAATGGTCCAAGGATATCGTTCTGCATCCCGTTCAACCCATCGGAAGACCGAATCAAGGCCAAGAAGTACCCACGCGAGAAGATGAAGATCTGGAACGAGTACCCGGAAGCTCTGAACATGGGCAGCGAGATCCCCTCGGAAATGAACGCGAAACTCAAGTATGCGCTGGGCATTTCGAACCAGCTTACTATCTTCCGCGTCGACCCTGAGCGCTACCGTGACGTCTTCCGCTGTGCGCCCAGGAAGGGTGCTGAAGTTGATTACCAGCCAGTTGTTGGATTGGCTGACGCCGTATGTCCGCTCCGTATATAAACGAGACCTAAAACTAACACGAATAGTATCCTCTCCATATCTTGAACCTTGCAAGTATACATGACGTAGCTTCTCGCCTGCCAAAGAAGACAAAGCTTGATGCCATTCGGTTCAGAGCCAACATATACAGTAAGTGGATCCTATAGTGGACAGAAGCTCAAGCCATCAGTTCACAACACACTCCAACACACCAACCACCCAACCACCGTCTCCTTCTCCTCCTTCTACCACCCCACCCCAACATGCAAAACTAACACCCCCAGTAACCGGCCCAGCGCCCTACGCTGAAGACGCCTGGAAGCGCATCCGGATTGGCACACAGCAATACCACGTTAGCTGCCGGACGGCGCGCTGCACGATGCCCAACGTGGACCCGACGACGGGGGCGCGCGACCGGCGCGAGCCCTACACCACCATGGCCGAGTTCCGGCGCATCGACCCCGGCGCGGGCAAGTTCCCGTGTCTGGGCATGCAGATGGTGCCGCTGAGCGGGGAGGCGGGCGAGATTTGCGTCGGCGACGAGGTCGGCGTCGAGGAAACGGGCGAGCATTGCTATATCCCGCAGGGGTCGGCGGCGTCGTTGTAGTTGTAGGAGAAAGAGGGTGATGGCTGGGGTGGGGTGAGGTGGATTTAGTGTGGGGGTTGTAGAGGTTTGTTTTGGGGTTTATACTGGCTGCGTAGATGGTTTGTTGACCGCAATATTAACTGTTAATCTTAGACGTGGGAGCTCACGGACCAGCCTGATCGGGGCAGGCATTCACAGTGCAACACTAGTTCGCGGATGCACTCGCTGTTGTGAGAAATTTCCTTGGCACTGGAGCAGATGGCGCGAGCAGTGGTCTCGGATACGTTCCACATTGCGGCAATCTTGGGGAAGGGCTCGCTGTAGAGGAAGCGGGAAGTGACGATGCCGGCACAGATGTGCGAGTCCACGGTTCCTGGATTGGTTTGGAGACTAGGCATCGTGAGGTGTAGGAGAGATTGGCTTCCCTCCTCTCCTGGCCTTGAGCTGTCGTCGTCGTGAACGTCGCCACGCACTGCCTGCTGCTGCGATGCATGCGCCGCGGGCGCCGGGTTTCCTGCTTCCTCGGCTGCCCCTGCTCTTGCCAAAGAAGCTGCTGACGCTATAGTTGCTGTCGTCGCCGCCGTCGTCACCGCTTCGTTCCTCGGCGCCGCAGTCGCACCTCCGGTCCCGGATACCATACGCCACTTAATCAGCATCGGGGGGCGTGAGGCTGCGGGGGCCTGGGAAGGACCATTCTGGGTGGGGTTGTCTTGCGGCTGGTCCTGCTCCATGCGTTGGGCGTGCGTTTCTCTCAGCGTCATTAGGCGCGCCTGAGCTGGTCGGACGGAAGTGTCGAGCTGTGAGTGGGGCTGGGGTTCGTGGCTGGTGTTGGTGAGAGGGATTGTGTTGTCGTCATCTTCATCGTACATCCCGACGTCGTTGATGATTGTTTCCTCTTCTCTTGCTGCTGATGCTAGCGTGGTATCCAGTGCTGGACTGCCGCCATATTCACGCTCGACATCTACACTCTCTTGGCCATTCCCGTTGTCTTCCGGAAGCCCGGATCTTCTTCTCGCTCGGTTTTCTCTCCTGTGTCTAGCTTCTTGGATGCGCTTCTGTTCCGCCTCATGGATGAGTTTCTGCTGTGCATCTTTCATGCGTTTGTATTCCTTTGACCGTTCGTCTAACGGATTATTGCGCGGTCTCCCCGCTCGCCTTTTTGGCGGCCTCCCCCCTTTTGGTTTGTCCATTCTAGCTAGCAGCGCAGTGAGGCTACTTAGTGAGGAGGGTGGATCTTCTGGCACCGTACGTATCTCTTTCTCCGCTCTCTCTGCTGGTGCCTCCTCTGCTACAGTCGCTGTCGTTGTCATTGCTTCACTGATTGTTACTTCGTTTCTCGGCGCTGCAGTCACGTCTCCAGTCCCGAATGTTATAGGCTGCTCGGGAGTACTGGCGACTGTGCACGCCTGGTCTGGTATAGCGACGCTCCTGGCGGTCGGGCTGAAGAGGCTTTCTTGAAGTTGTTCCTGCTCTATGCATTGCGCGGGCTCTTCCGGCTGTGATGTTAACGCCTGGTCTGGCGTGGGTGCGCTCCTCGCAGTCGGGTTGAATCCGTCTTGTTGCTCCTGCTCTACGTGTTGCGTGTGCCTTTTCAGCCATGGTCCCACGTGCGCGATATGTCTGTTTGCTGGATCGTTGTCTACTCAGCCCATGAGCCAATAACCACTGCTCCTGATTCCTTCCTAGCCACTTACCGTCTATAGAGACACTGGTTTGCCTCTTCTCTCGTAGCCGCGCCTGCTTACGCTGCTGATGCTGCTGCCGCTTCCTCTCTAACAGGGCGGGGTTTGTCTTTTCCTTTTCGTAGTAGTAGCGGCGGCGTAGCTCCTTCTTACGGCGGGCTCTCTCTTCCGGTGGTAGGCGCGGGCGGCAGGGCATTTTCGGCTCTCGTTGGCTAGACACGTCGTTGGCTTAAATTTGGGTTTCTCCGCTGCCTGCTAGCAATTGCAAAATTACTGTGCGCCATATGAGAATACCCTGTGTCGATGAGACTTTGAATTGACGAACTATCTTCCTTGCCCCCTGTTTATCTTCTTTGCTTTTTCCTTCCACTTGCCTACTCCAAGAAGGGTGGGAGCATTTTGATATATATATATATATAGCGGCACATAAATAAATACATTTATAGGAGTGCTGTCTAGCTATTTGAATTCAGACAGCTTAATGTGCATTTTGTCAACTACAGGACAAATATCTAAATTTGTGAGTGGTTCTGGTTAAACAGTAAAAGCAACACCATCACCACCCGCCAGCGACCCAGCGCGCCACAGCACCGCCACACCCCTCTCACACGAAGCCCCTCACCGTTGAGCCCCCCTCATCACATCCAACAGCCACCACATGCTCACAAACGCAGCCCCAAGCACGTATGCAGCATCGCAGGCAACCTCGGCACCGCTGCACCAGGCCACCAAAGAGATCCCAAACCACCGAGCCAACGCCGGGGGGTGATTTGTTGAGCCATGGCGTCACGGCGCGTGATGGGGCGCTGCCACAGGAAAGGCTGCCCCGCCATGCTGAGCAGCAACCCCACATGTGCAAAGTGGGAGAATACCGGCGTCAACAAGATCAGCCGGGCTTTTGCTTACTTAGCTTGACGTCTTCGTCCTCCGCCTACCTTTCTTGCTTCCACTCTCTCGCATCATCATCATCACTGCTTCTACATCTCCCTCCACACACATACACACACATAGGCGTCTTTGCGACGACTGCTTCACTCCTACTCTACCAACGTACCTAGCTTAGCTACACCACCGCAACCATGGTCTCCGCCGCGTTCAACAAGGCCTTCGACGAGTCGAACAAGCTCGAGAAGATGCCTGGCCAGGACGAGCTGCTTCAGGTATACACCCCAGCACGATGACGCAACGCGACGCATCGCACCGCATCGCAAACAGCACGCTAACACACCATTCCCACGACAGCTCTACGCGCTCGCCAAGATCGCCAAAGGCGAGGAAGTCGCCCAGGCCGGCATGTTCGACCTCAAGGTATGCTCCCCACGCATCCTCTCGCTCTCGCTCTTGCTCCATGCACCCACCCACACATGCACGCATCGCTAACCCCCGCGCAGGGCAAGGCCAAGTACAACGCCTGGAAGAAGGAGGTCGACGCCGGCGTCTCCGCGTCCGATGCCGAGAAGCGCTACATTGAGCTCGTCGAGACGCTCAAGGGCAAGTACGGCGTCAAGGCGTAGAGCCACCACCGTCAAGGCGTAGAACCGTCAGGGCGTAGAAGTCTATGTCTATGGCTACATACGTGGGAGGGTTTTTTCTTTGCGCGTAAGAGCGCTGTAGATGTAGGGGAGGACTACGGCGGCTCCACCTCTATATATGCTTGATGCGTCATGCATGATGATCATGATGGTTGGATCTTTGGCAATCCTTGGTGCGCTTTGCTGCGCTGTGCTGCCTTGCTGTGCTGTGTTGTGCTTGAATGTGCTTGTGAGGGATAATTGATGATAACGGATACTTGAGTATTTGAGGAAACATGCAGGGAAATGGTAAGCCATGTTGATGATTAGGTCTGTCATGAGCTGAGCTTCGTTGAACAGCGTCTCTGTCTCTATCCAGTACCGCGCCGTCCACGCATACAATCATACAAAACACCACCACCCCAACCACCACCACCACCCTAAAGAACGCGACACCACCGCTCCATGACCCTTTCCAACCCCGGCACACTCGGCGCAATCTCCTCCAGCGCAACATCGCACCTAACCATAGCGGCAGGCGCAACAGCCGCCGCAGCCGCTGCAGCAGTAGCACCCCCGCCAAGTGGCGCCTGCACAGGAACCAACAACTCGCACGCAACCAAGCGCTCCCACTCAGCCCGCGCAACGCCTCTCCCCCAGACCTTCGTCGCAGCGCCAGCAGCCAAGGCGCCGCCCGCTGCGCTCGCCGCTTTGGCCGCCCCCGCCAGCGCGCAGTACTCGGCGTAGGCCATGTTGAAGTTGCACAGCGCGGCGTCGTGCAGGATGTCGAGGCGGGCGGCCGCGATCAGCAGCGCGTGCTGCAGCGATGTCAGGTGCGGGAGGAGGGCGAGCTTCGAGTCGGGCGGGTGCAGGCTGTGCGTGCTGGTTGTGGGGGCGAGGGATGAGGCTGTCAGGAACGGCGTGCTGCGTGTCAGGTGTGCGAGCGGGATGTGCAGCGTTGTGAGGGCTGCGGGCACGGATTTGTTCGTGTAGTAGTGCGGGGCGAGGTGGTTGCTTACGAAGGAAGAGTCGGCGAAGAGGCGCTGGAGTTGTGTTAGTGGCGTTGATGCTGCACGTTGTTTTGTGTGGGTGACATACCGTGATAGAGGCGTTCCACTGGCTCAGGAGGTCTGCGCCCTGCGCCTGGCTTGCTTTCTTCCCCTTCGCCGTACCAGTGCCGGGCGACCGCGACAGCTTCGCGCACTCCTCGACACTCAAATCCTCTGCGTGCAAGGACAGCGAGGCTTTGCAAATTTCCTGGAAGGCAGTGAAGCTCTTTGCCAGCGAGAGATGGACGTAGCGGTGGCTAAATCGACTCTTGACGCGCTTCTCCAGCGACTCAGCGACGCCGATGCGCGTGGTGAGGCCGAGAACGGTGATGGGCGCCTTGCGTGACTGCGCAATGTCGAACAGGTTGTACAGGAGCGTCTGGCGCGGATGCGAGGCAAAGAGGTCGAACTCGTCCATGACGAAGATGACAGCCTTGGCCACTTCGTCTGACTCCTGACCCGCCAGCTCCGACGGGTGCGACAGCAGCGCCAGCAGCGTGGATAGCGTGTCTGCGTAGTTCTTGCCCAGACTGCTGTCATCCTCGACCTCCATTTCGCGGCCTAGCTGCCGCCAGATCTCGCGCAGGGCCAGTTTGTCGTCCGTGTGGACGAAGCCGTTAAGCCGGATTATGTGAAAGTCTTGCCGTTGCTCTTTGGAGAGCTCGGAGAGCACTCTGCGGACCAATGCGCTCTTGCCGCTGCCTCTGGCGCCGATGACGAGCATGGAGTTGCCTTCGCCGGCATTGATTGTTTGCTCGACAAGTTGGAAAACTTTCTTGTATTCGTCGTCCAATCCGACAAGAGGTGTGGGTCGTTTGCCAGTGATTCGGTCCAAGATGATGGTTTTTAATAGGGTCAGCTCGTCTTCCACAGGAGCCAGATCCTGTGTTTGTTCGATGACCTGTGGCGCAACATCCTCTTCCTGTTGTTTGCTGGTAGCGGCCTTTTTGTTGCGACGAGTTGGAGCCACGACCTCTTGTGCTACTTCCTCCTCCGCTTCAACGATGGGCTCATCTTCATTATCCACAAGCTTTGCAAGACTGGCTGGCTCAGGCTTCTTCGGAGTTGCTGAAGCCTCCTTCTTGGCTGGGGTCTTGTGCTTCGGTGACGCGTCTTTGCTCTCCGGTGCATCGATGGCAAGCTCGTCCGCGGTTTCATGATCCTCATCTGCCGCAGCCTGTGTGCGCCTTAAACGGGAGGCTCTGGCAGGCGCAGTTTTCGCTCTCGTTGCAGGTGCTCTTTTCACCTTGTTCTCAGTCGTAGCCGCTTTCCTTTTCCCCCGAACTCGCACTGGTGTGCGATCCGCAGAAGCTGCCTTCCCCGTGGCCTTGCCAGTATCTTCTGTCGCATTCCGCTTAGGCCGTGGCCGTGCCGTTGATTGCATATCCTGCACAGCAATCTCCGACAAAACTTCTTCTTGGTTTTCCTTCTCTGCTGATTTCCTTGAACCCTTTCTACCCGACTCCTTTGCATCTGGTTCCTTTGTTCCATTCGCCGCGGCGGGTCCCTTGCTGCGTAATTGCCTCGGTGCTGGCGCGAAAGCGCCATCGATATCATCGTACGGGTCGGTTACGGCTGCAGTGCTTCGAGATGCGCGGCTGCCGGTAGTTTTGCCTTGCGCAGGAGAATCGGTCTGCTCCGTCGCGGTCGAAAGCAAGCCATTGCGCCTTGTCGGTCGCCTGAGTCCGCCGGTTCTCACCTCGGTGCTGGTACTCGACGGGGCTTCATTTGTTGGGCTCAAGGCATCTTCGTCCGGTGAGCTGAGCTTTCTTCGTTTGGCAGATCGCGTAGACGCCATGGAGGTATTCGTACGGAGGGGTGTTTGTTATCCGTTATCCGATTTGCGCAGCGGTACTATAATTAAGCCAGCGAGTGTGCTGCGGATTGTTTTCCAAAATGGGTCATCGTGGGACAAGCTGGTGGGTGTTGATGTTGCGGTGCTGGTTGTTTACGGCGGAAGCTCAACCCAAAGAACCCTGTGCGGACGCGTCATAACCTCATCCATCTCTTTGTGATCATGAATCGCGTTAGGTATGATAGCTAGTGCTGCCCGTGAACAATACTTGTCACCGTGTTTTCCGACCAAATTATTGTCGCGCGCTAGATCGCGTCTTTGACCAGCGTCATCGACGGTCGCCACGCTCGGTATAACCTTCCACTCCATCTCCCACCAACGTACGACATGCCTTTACCATGGTAAACCCACAGGCAACTTCGGCGTCGAATAAAGTTGTCAGGAAGGGCAAGAGAAAGGCTCCGCAAGACGACTCCGTTGCAGAAGAAGCCTCAACTCAGAGTGTTCCCGCTCCAGGAACGCCCTCAAGCATCACTTCTACTGTCCCCACCAAGGCTCATGACGGGGGCAAAAAACCGCGCCGAACCACCAAGCCCAAGGCAGATGGATCGAAGCCAGCAAAGCTTCGTCGCAATGCCTCTTCCGCAGTTGTTGAGGCCACCGTACCGTGGCCGGCGCACTTTACGAAGCTGGCGCAAACGCAGAAAGCCTTGAACTTGGTGTACACCTTTTGCTGTACGCGGAAACATTTCGCTACAACACTGGATAACATCAAAAGTGCCGTCGAAGGACACATAAAGCGCGAGCTGCTGGTAGACGACATTGCCCAAATCAAGGCGCTGGTACCACGGGCGATCCACTTTGAGTATGTGGATGAGGCTATGCTGCAGGTCAACCTCATGGGCTCGGAAGACAATATAGCTGGGAAAAGAGCAAGGGAAAGAGAATTCGTCGTCGAAGAGGCCGCAGCACTTGCGGAACCCGAGCATAAAGAGGTACTTTTGTTCGAGTATGTCGATGGCGACTTGAAACGGCAGGTCCAGCACTCTAAAACTGGAGAGCCAACCAAGGCCACAAAAAAGCTCAGACAAGAAGACGTCAAGATGCCCGTCTTCAGCCAGAAACAGATGATGGGCTTGATCGAAAAGCGCAATACCAAGTTCACGTCGGCAGTGAACCAATTCTTGAACGACTGTGCAGAGTTAGAAGTTGATTCCGTGCAGAAACTTCAGGACGAGTCTGTTGCTTATATTCCTTTGCCCTCAGAAAGCCGCAGCACCACGCCGGCTCCGAATCAGGCCAAGCTACCTCCCACAATTCCAACAGAACGTCAATCGATCCCAGAGATTGTTGAGGAGATTAAATCTCTCGAATGGTATACGGGACAGATTGTTCCCGACGGCCACAGGGTCTTTGATCCACAGCAGCCTATCTATGGAGACCTGAATTTTGAGCTCTCGCAGAGCTTGGTAAATGCTCTCTACAACACCCGTAACATCACACAGCTCTATGCACATCAGGCCGAGGCTATAAACAACTTACATGCAGGTCACAACGTTATCGTGTCGACGTCTACCAGCTCAGGCAAGTCCCTTATTTATCAGATACCTGTCCTCCATGAATTGGAAAAGGACCCCAACACTCGAGCCATGTACATCTTTCCTACTAAGGCCCTAGCACAAGACCAACGACGAAGCCTCAAGGAGTTGCTGCGGTTCATGGAAGGTCTCGAAGATCTGGTTGTGGAGACTTTCGATGGCGACACTGCAATGTCAGATCGCAGATATATCCGGGACGAAGGTCGGATCATTTTCACTAATCCTGATATGCTCCACATCACGATTCTTCCTCAAGAGGAGGCATGGCGAACCTTTTTGCAGAACCTCAAGTTCGTTGTCGTGGATGAGCTCCACGTTTACAACGGTCTCTTTGGTTCGCATGTCGCCATGATTATGAGGAGACTACGAAGGGTATGTGCGGCGGTAGGCAACCGACATGTCAAGTTCATATCGTGCTCTGCTACTGTCGCCAATCCGGAAGAGCATATGAAGACGATATTCGGCGTCGACGAGGTCAAGCTCACCGACTTTGACGGGTCACCCTCCGGGAGAAAGGAGTTTCTTTGCTGGAATACACCTTTTAGGGATCCTGGGGACCCAACTTCCGGCAGAGGCGACAGTATGGCCGAATCTGCTAAATTGTTCTGCCAACTCATCTTGCGAGGTGTTCGGGTCATTGCGTTTTGCCGCGTTCGGAAGCAATGCGAAGCTCTGCTGGGTGCTGTAAAGACGGAATTAACCAGTCTGGAAAGACCAGAGGTCATGGCAAGAGTGATGGCTTACCGTGGTGGTTACACACCGCAAGATCGGAGGCTGATCGAAAAAGAAATGTTTGATGGAAAGCTCGTGGGGATCGTCGCCACCAATGCCTTGGAACTAGGTGTTGACATCGGATCACTGGATGCGGTACTTACGATTGGGTTCCCCTATACAATCGCCAACCTTCGGCAGCAGAGTGGTCGTGCTGGACGCCGCAACAAGGACTCGTTGTCCGTGTTGGTTGGCGACAGCTTTCCGACAGACCAGTATTATATGCAGAACCCGGACGAAATCTTCACCAAGCCGAATTGCGAGCTCCAGGTCGATCTTGAGAACATGTTGTGTTTGGAAGGACATATCCAATGCGCAGCCCACGAGATGCCCATCCGTCCTGAAGAAGATTCGAAATATTTCGGTTCGCTCCTGTCTCAAGTCGTCGTAGACCGTCTACGTAAAGATAACTACGGTTTCTATCACTGCAACGAGCGCTTTCTCCCTTACCCATCCAAACACGTAGCCATTCGCGACACAGAAGAGGACCACTTCGCCATCATCGACACGACCAACAATCGCAACATAGTGCTCGAGGAGATAGAAGCCAGCCGGGCCTTCTTCACCATCTACGAAGGCGGCATCTTCCTACACCAGGGCGACACATACCTCGTCAAGGAATTCTCGCAGGAGCGCATGCTCGCCAGAGTGGAGCGGGTCAAAGTCGACTGGACGACGCAGCAGCGAGACTTCACGGACGTGGACCCGATCGAAACGGAAGCCATCCGACGGATACCGCAGTCACGGTCGCGCGCCTTCTTCGGCCCCATCCGCATCACGCAAGTCGTCTTCGGGTTCTTCAAAGTCGACAAGCGGCGGCGCATCCTCGACGCCGTGCAAGTCGACAACCCGCCCATCGTGCTGCACTCGAAGGGCATGTGGCTGGACGTGCCCAAGCGCGCCCTCGACATCCTCGCCTCCCGCCGCCTGCACATCGCCGCCGCCATCCACGCGGCCGAACACGCCGTGCTGGCGCTGCTGCCCAGCCTCGTCATCAGCACCCCCGGCGACGTGCGCACCGAGTGCAAGAACCCGCTCAAAGAGTTAGTCGCGCGCGAAACGGCACGGAAACGCCCCGCCCGCCTCACGTTCTACGATGCTCGTGGCGGCGCGCAGGGCGCTGGCATCTCCGCCCGCGCCTTCGAGTTCGCAGATACGTTGCTGGCGCGGGCGTGTGCGCGCGTGCAGGCGTGCGCTTGCGCTGATGGCTGCCTCGAGTGCTGCTGCGATGAGCACTGCAAGGAGGCGAATGTCGTGGTGAGTAAAGCCGGGGCGGGGGTGGTTCTGATGGCGCTGTTGGGCCGGGCGGACGAGATTGATGTTGAGGCGTTACCGTGGGGCGAGGAGGAGCGCGTTATGGGTGGTGTGGAGACGATTGTTATGGCTGAGGAGGTGCGGCCGAGGGCGGGGGTTAAGATTGAGGAGGTGGGTGTGAAGAGGGAGGGGGAGGGGGAGGGGGAGGAGGAGGGTGGTGTTGTGGATGTTGATGGGGATGGGAGAGCGGAGGAGACAGTGGAGGTGCTGGTTAAAGAGGAGCCGAGAGAGGAGGGGGCGGAGGTCTAGGTATTGTAGTATTAAGCTGCCATCCAGTCACCACTCGTAGAGCCTATCAAATATTTACATAACAGCTATATCCTGATGGCTCATCCCGCCCATCATCCCAGCCATCTCACACTCCCTTAGTACCTACCTCACGCACCCCACCCCTGCCAAACACAGCCCTTCACATCCACGCCCTGATACTCCCGTCCGGGACACCACGGCTCGTCGGTCTCCGAGTACGCCGCCAGCGGGACATCATACGGCGCGCGCCAGCCGACAACGACACTTGCCCTTTTCTCTGCGCTTTCTCCACCCCTGCTACCACTGCTACTACTGCTACCACTACTACTACCACCACCTCCTCCTCCTCCGCGTCCACCACCCTCGCCATCATCGTCAACGCCGCCAACGTCACCAGCGCAAGGCACGTTCCGCCCAAACACAGGCACCATAGCCGCGTCCGCGCCATCGCGGCTCCACAGCGCCGGCCACAACACAACGCCGATCTCGTAGCTGCAGACGCGGACGTCCTTGCCCGTCTCGTCTTCGTCTTCACTGGCTTTCTTCGTGTTTCTGCTGCTGCTGTTGCTGCTGCCGCCAGACTTCGGCTTCGGAGCCGTAGGCAGCGCGCCCCACGCCTGCGTCGACAGGTTCGCCGACGTCAGCAGCGCCCACTCGACGCGTTGGTGGTGGCTGCCGCCCGAGACGCGCGTGTACGTCTTGATGTGCGGGGCGGCGGGGCCGCGGAGCGCTGCACCGCTTCCTCTTCCTTCTCCTCCTCTTTCACTGCTACCAACAGCACCGCTGATACCGTTACTGCCGCCACTGCTGGGCGGCGTGGCGAGTTGTGCCGCAGGCTGGCCTGCCCACCTACACATCATAGGCCGTAGATACGCGAGCTGCTTCATCTGCGCCGCGCTCTGGGCTTTGAGGTGGATGCTGGCGCCGCTGGCGTAGCCATCGAGACTGGTGCGGACTTCGTCGGCTGTGGGCCAGACGATCTTGAGGCGCGGCGGTGGAGGTGTCGGAGTCGCCATAGTTGACGTTGGTGCCGTTGGTGCGTGGCTAGAGAGCACGTTGTGGAAGTGGCGCAGCCAGGTGTCTGTCTGGCCGAGGGTGGCGATGGAGGAAACTTGCGCTATGACGGAAGAGCTGGAGGGAGAAGAGGCAGAGGAAGATGCATCGCAGATAGGAATGCAGCGCAAGACCTCGCGCAGGCCAGGCCAGCCCCAGCTGGTGTGCGCGGCGGGATCGCACTCATCGAGCTTCACGCGGGAGGGTGTACTAGCGACAAGGGCGGCGCGCACGGCCGAGAAGTCGTACTTCTGAAGTTGTTGGCGCAGTGGAAGCGTTCTGCGCCCGTATGCGGCGAGGTAGCGGAGGAGGTCAGTTTGGAAGCGGGCGCCGCTACCGATGGGGTGGTGGGGGCGCGAAGGCGGAGGGGGTTGTTGCGTGCTGCTGGGCGTTGGAATGCTGGTTTTGGCACTGTTGGGGGGTTTGGACAGCAAGGGGAGGAGCGGGGAACGCCATATGGCTTGCGTAAGGTTACGCCAGTCTTGGCGGATCATGTTTGCTGTGTGGATAATGACTTGTGCGCTGTCGTCATGGCGGAAGAGGACCATCATTTTGGAATGATGGGTGCCGAATGGTTCGGGCATGTAGGCTTGGATGACTTCGAGGTTGGGGTACCGTTTTTTGGATTCCTATCAAGGGTGTAAGATGGTATGACAGACTGGTTACTGCTTCTCAATAAAGAGAATCACCGATCTCTTGGAATGATCGGGCAAGGAAAGTATTGAAAGAGAGGGTAGGAAAGAAATCGCATGAAGCCAACAACAATGGTAATGACGAATGTGAGAAAAAGGACATACCTCAAGCCTCACCCACTGCGGATCCTCCTTCCTCCAAGTCCCATGGACAACCTTCAGCCTAACCATCTCCCTAACATCGGGATCCAGGTTCTCCATAATAAAATCCACATCAATGGTGTAGTTGAACTGCCAACACTCGGCAATCATCGGATCACAGAGGATATCCCCCAAGCTCACGGTATCCCGATTCGCTGCCGCAGGCAAATCACGGATCCGCGTCAACTCTATCGGCGAAGACACGAACTCCGTCTCGCCCAGCGGCGCTGGAATCGCTTCCTCAGCCTCGCTCTCATCTGCTGTCGTGCTCTCCGCATCACTGGCACCATCTCTCGTCGCAGCTTCAGCATCCTCGTCGCAGATTGCTGCGCTCCCAGCCCGCGCAGGCGGATTGATATCGCGTACAAAACTCGTCAGTGAAGCAACCGCGTCGGTAGCAGTAGCACCATCAGCTACTCTCGCGCGCTTAGCAGGCCGCCCAAACCCAGCATCAAGGTCGTCACTATCGTAGCTGCTGATGCTGTCGTGGCGAGAGTGCGCCATACTTCTTGTTGCGCGAACTGAAACAGTGACAATTGCAGGACGAGAGAAAAAACGGAAACAGTTGCCTCGCGAATGCGCGCAGAGAGAAAACAGGTACAAGACTGCTGACCGAGAGAGAATACGTGTACCAACGCTCATCAACACCCTCGTCGTTATAGCCAGGACCTAGAATGTTACTAAGGCCGAGAGTGAGTCGCCAAGCCACTAACTGCCGTGCCTTTGTTTGGCATCTGTCGTTTAGTGTCTGGGTACGTTGATCCAGGGCCGCTACCGCTCTCTTCTTGGTTTGCCGTATGCGTTTGTTCTTTGGCGCAGCAGTCGCCTGCGTGCAAGTTTTGTGGTCAGAGCGACGCTAGAATAGGTGAGAAAACGGTTGTGGATGGTGATTGGTGAGTGCTGGGTGACAGGTGCCGAGCACGTGGAAAGTGACGGGCACTTCAAACATCCATGACCCCATCCTTCCTTCCATCTCATCTCCCTACGTCACCGCCACTGAAAACAACCCATCTCCTCCCACCACACCTCGCTGCAACCACATCGACTCACGTCATTTCGAATCACGCATTGACAGGATAGATGAAGATGAAGTCACTAGGTAGTGACGATATCAGCAATTTACTACGTTAAGTAACCAGTTGTGCCCATTAAGTTGATCTTTTTCCCCGATCAACTCGCAGACCCATTCAATTCTACACTAGACCGCCGCTTACGGGGAATAATGCTTCCCGTTTTCTCGACCCATCGAGCTCCATGTCCTTTTTGAAACGCCAGTCTTCGAATAAAGATAGAAAAAGCAAAACCTGAGACCGCTGAAACGCAAGATGCTCTACCCGTCATCGGGCCCTTTTGTTGTTTAATGGAAGTGTTTATGCCGCGCCAGCGCTGACAATGGGCTGCTGCACCTTCGTGACCTGGGCACCGGCGCGGACAACCCTGTTGCCGTTCTCGTCCTTGACGTACTGGACATCCTTGTTCTCGCGGTTGGCGCGTTTCCAGATCTCAACCTCGCAGCCGCCGCGGATGACGCCAACACGCATGGTGGAAAGCAGGTTGTGAGCGGCGTTGGAATGGTCGTAGACACCGCCGTTAAACATGGCAGTGGCGTCCTTGCCGAGACCGGCCTTGATCATAGCCTTACCACCGGGGTGGTCCTGGATGAAGTCGGTGACATCGTGGACCACACCAGCAATAGCAACAAGGCCACGGCCGTTCTTGCACTGCTCGACGTAGTCGTCCCACTCCATGACGGGGAGCTGCTCGAGGGGAACACCCCAGTCGAGCTGAGCACGCTTCTGGTCGAGCTTCTTCTGCTGCTGCTGGAGACGGCCCTTCTCGATTTCGTTGGCACGGAACTGCTTCAGGTCGTAGGCAAGGCCAAGCTGCTTCCACATCCAGATGGACCACTTGGTAGGGTCGTACTGGTGCCACTCGATGGCATTGCGGTAGTCGCTGGGGAACTCGTGGTGGAAGTTGTGGTAACCCTCACCCAGGGTGACCAGGGCGGTGATGACGTGGTCACGGGGAGAGTTGCGGTCGTCGAAGGGCTGGTCACCAAGCCAGTGGGCGAGGGAGTTGACACAGAAGGTGGCCTGCTGGACAAAGAAGATGCGGAGGATACCGGCGTAGATGAAACCGCCCATCCAGTCGCCCCAGCCGAGACCGGCAACCATGGTGGGGAAGACAAGACCCATGAAGAGGACGACCTTGATGTAGTTCTTGTGCTGCCAGACAACGACAGGGTCATCGTTGAGGTCGGAGATATCAGTACGGCCAATGCGCTTAGGGTTCTGCTTCATGATCATCCAGCCAAGGTGGGAGTACATGAGACCCCTACCAACAGGTTAGCAACAACTTCATGTTTAGTCATGATTACATCAACTCACTTGCGAACGGAGTAGGGGTCTTTGTCGGTGTCAGTGTACCGGTGGTGAGCGCGGTGGTCGCGGGACCACCACCTGATGGAGCCTTCGACGGCTCCACCACCAACAGCGGCAAGGAAGATCTTCAGAGGCAGGGAAGCCTTGTAAGAGGTGTGGGCCCAGAGACGGTGGTAGCCGGCAGTAATGCCAAGACCAGTCCAGTAGTAGTACAGGACGGACCAGAGGAGCGTCTTGAGGGTAAGAGGAGTCCAGAGAGCGGCGATAAGGCCCATCAGAGGAATGCCGCCGATGAAGAAGACGTTGAGCCAGTTGACGTGCTTGAACCAGTTCTGGCGGGTCATGGGGTACTCGGTGATGTGCTTCTTGGTCGGATCGTACTTGGAGTTGCGGTTGGGCTCGGAAGACTTGGCCATGGCGGAGGCCTGGTTCATGAACTCAGGCTTGATGGCCGCTTCGCCGGCAGCAGGCTGGTGAGAAGGCATGGCGTGCGTTGTCCAAGAAGATGTCCTGAACGAACGGGCAGCGCAGGGGATGGGGGAAAAGGACGGGTGGGTGGGGGAAGAAGAGAAGGCGGGGATGCAAGTTTATATTATTACAAGCAATGCTCGGGCGGTCAAGCGAAGGCAAGAATCGAAGTGATTCTCCAGTTTTGCCCCAACCGCCGAGAAGAACCGGGATACATGGAGCTCAACGGAAATGGACGCACGGGCCACTGACCTCGTTTGCAGCAGCCGCGATTCGCCCTGGCACGGCCCTTCCCTGCCTGGGCCCCGAGTTCCTGCAGCAAATGCCAGCCAGGCAGCCCACGCCAGCCCCCGCCAGCCCCAGCCAACTTGTCAAACCTTTTGCAACGCCCCTCAGCCCTACAGTGGCGACCCCCGTCCGAACGTCCGCCGCCAATCGGCCTTTACCTAGCCTCGGCTGCTCTGTTGTTGAGCCCTTCCTTTTTTTTCCAGAACTTGCCGCCCCAGTGCCGACTTGCCGCAATGGCCGCCGCTGAGCCTCCCCGACCTCCCCGATCTCCATTGGCCTGGGCGAACCCACGTTTCACATGGACCAACGGCCGTAGTCGCCACACGGAAGGATGTTCGTGAAGATGTCCAGCGCTACGTTTCGTCTTGAAGATCGCTTCAGCCTGCTGTCGTGACGCTGCAGTCCATCATCCTCTTGTTGGTGACGTGAGCCGGGCCCGTTGTTGCAAGCAGCAGCGTGGGGTAGGTAAGCTGAACATCTTGCCGGTCTGCTTGCTCATCTCAGTGCTCAGCTGCCTGAGCAACGTAAACTCGTTGAGCTCTACATCCACAAAGCGCCGAAAAGGCAGCGCGATCAGGCCCGGCGACGGCGTCGTTCGGAATTTGCTTGGAGACGCCTTGACGCTTGGCCGATGGCAAATGGCCGCAGATCCATCTCGAATCCTCAATTTTCACGTCCGAGCTGACGGGACGCATCGACCACGCGGAGGCCCATATGCTTAAACTCCTGCCTGGAGTCATGCTCTTGCTCTAGAACGAGCCAGCGCCACCACCAGTTTATCACTAGTCATGCCTCTACGGGCATGGGTATGTCGAGCATACGCCTTTCGATTACGTCTTTAACGAAAGGAGATTGTTCTATCCCCCAGGCTGGATTGATCGTGCTTCTTTTGACAGCACTAACCAAGCCACGATACCTTGGCGATGATTGCCCGATTTTCTCGCGTCAGGGACTTCCTTTGCTCCAGTGCATCACTACCCTGTACTTGAAACCTCTTGCTGTGGCTCGCGTGCGACCTCTCGATTCGGCAAGGCTACATCCAACTTACGTAGGCACATCGAGTTCCTTATCGATCCTTCTTGAAGACTCGCTCGCCACAATCATGGGCTATCTCACCGAGAAACCAAATGGCCACACTGGCTTTATCTGCTCCAAAGTCCAAGTTGTTCCAAGAACCAAGGGTCAACAAAAGACTGTCAACGATGGTCTCAGCTGAACGCTGTCACGCTGTATCAGAAACACGTCTGACAACCTCGGGATCAAACATCTCACATGCACGACATTGCCGCAAGGCCCCAGACAAGCAAAAATAGACTCGGCTGTGGCTGCGGCCTTCCCCATCAGTGCATCCCCAACATTTGAATCGTGCCACCGGCTGATCCTCCGTTATGACGTTGGGTCATGCAAGTAGGTCCGTGGTATCTCACCACAGTCACTCTTACCGTCAAACGCCCTCCACCGCTCCTTCAACTCCTTTCGTACCTTCGACACATGATATACCAGCGTGTAATCATTGTAGGGTCGGCTCGACCCCCACTTGACATGGAAAACCTACGTCCAGCACCTGGTCGCTTACCCCCGTTCCGTACCAACTTATTGCAACTCAGTCGCGGATAAGAGAGCCAAGTAAACTTGCACATGCTTTTATCGCGACCGCTTCCGATTACTGTCCCTGCGGTCGTAGTTGTCGTAGCCCTTGTCGCGCCTTCGCCGCCTGCGTCTGTCCTCATCCGTCTCGCTGCAGTCCCGGCCCGATGACATGTGTTTGTTGTCGCGGTTCCTAGAGGAGCTCTGCTTGCGCCGCCGGTCCTAGTCATGTTGCTCAGAAACGTAATCGACGTCATATGTGCTGCGCCTGGAGGACTTCCCGTAGCGGTGGCGATCGGAGTCTCGTACCGGGGGTTTTCGCTTTTCGTGAGCTCAAATTCACGCTCTGCTACTTTTTGCTCCTCCATCCTCGCGTGAGCTCTTCCTTGGTTAGTTGCTCGCCCGTAGTCTCGTTGCGCAGCATGATGGGGTTGTATGATTGCTCGGTTTCCTCTCGTTTTTTGCTTCCTTGTCCCACAAGCCCAGCTCCTCGCCGACAGCTGCTCCTTTTTGGTGCCAATACCCAGCAACACGGCTCTTCTGTTTTCGGTTCTCCAGGCGCAATGCAGGTTTGTTAGCGACCGGCATTATGTTATCCTCGGTCGTGGCCCTAACTTGCCCATCCGCTCTCTTGACGATATTCCAGGACAAAGGTACGCTATTCCTACAGGGATATCTGCGTCGCTAGTGCCTCCATTCCTGGTATCTCCATTCTACACTATCGCCTGTGCTGTCTGCGCTTTAGACGGGTGTAGATAATACTGCCGTTTGCTATGAATTTCCCCTCTCTAGTCGCGATTCGCTTGCTTAAGAATTACTAAAGGGCCCTTTGCTTGGATGGTATTGTTGGCGTCGATTGCGCCGCCGCTCGACTGATTAAAGTGGGAGGCCCGGAGTCGTGGAGGACAGAGTGCGGGCACTTCTTTGAGGGACATTGTGCCACCTTTTTCGAGCGTAGGGTGAGCGAGAACTTCACTGGCGCTATCATTGTTGCTGCGGATGCAAGAGAATTGCTTTGTTGCGTGGGGGAGTGGGTTTGAATGAGGTAAGCTGAGCCGCATCACGTGCGTCACTCTTTCTGGGGTTTGCATGATCTCATCACGGGCCAGACTACGAACCATGGCAGACGGTTCTCTGTGTCTTCACAGCTTCACTTGACACTTTCTCGCATTTACCAGTTCCGTTTCCGCCCTCCCGGTGCTGCTTCACATGCCAGCGGCGCGCGCGCATCGCCACGACAAAGGCCAACGTCTGTTGGGGAGGGAGGCGTCGATCAGGGGTTCAACAACGCGACATGCATCAGCGGCTGTGGTGATGATGCGTGCTCCTGCAGTCGCTGTAGAGTAGAGCGTGGTCGCGACGTCAGGGCTCTTGGCGGAGTGCATCTCGCCTGATAAGCTGGCATGAGTTGGCAAACTGGGTGGACGTGTCGTCGCAGGGGAGGTACCCCGTAGTTACTCCTGTGGCCACTCGGGATGAGACGGACAGCTCGCTCAACAAAAACAGAGCCGTAGAGGCACGACCTTCACGTGCAGCCGAACGCGAGTCCGCATCGGCCGGCCGGGCGAGCGGGCGCCCGCTGTCTGCAAGTCTGTGCCCGTGGGATATTGGACGCGTCGGGCCGCTGGCGCGAGGACCTTGCGCTGGGGCGCTTCGTACTCCTTTCCTGGGCCACATTGTTTTCCTGTCTGGTATACAGGATGCCAAGCTATGCAATTCAGGAGATGGGACTTAGGAGAATGGCAGCATGGAAGGTGCCCATCTGGAGTCCGTCTCAGAAGAGGCTTGAATGAGAACGCTTCCTTTGCAGGAGGAGAAGGAAACAGAAAGAAAGCGAGCATCAATATCATGCTCACTCACAGAGTCGCTGCTACATCTTGGCTGGCTACCACAAAGATGACCTTGTATTCTCAGACCGACAGGCCCTCGATCTCAGCACCACCAGTACTCGCAGCTTCAACAACTTCTCACCCTCCACATCGTCGCCGCCGGGCCAAAACAGGGTTTTCTGTACATTGTGTGCATTTCATTGCCATCACTGCCATGGCTTTCGTGACAGCCGTCTTTTGTTTCTTGCCGACGCACTCAGACCCGTAGTGTTTGGTCAAGGCCTCACCTCGAGGTACTAGCCAAGTTCTCAACAAGAGCTTCCACTAAGGTGTTTTGTGTTTGCGGTCTCACTGATCATCAACATATGATTTTTGTCGGCTAGCTATCACCAACTCCTGTCGCATTGAGCCTTAACTTCCGTTAAGCATAGCCTGTTATCTGGTCCCGGTGATATCTGAATATCTCCAACAACGCTGCTGGCATGCATCCAGCCTAAGCTTCCCTCGTCTCACCTGTCCTCTACACTGCCATCTTAGCTTGCTCTGCTCTTTCTTCGCCGTCGCTTGGTCGTGTATGCAATCTACGAAAGGGACAGAACGCTATCTATCTCTCCTATACAGAACGCAGGAAGTATACACAAGTCACGACAAGATGACATTTGGTCTCTAGAAATCCGAGCCTACTATAGGTGTTACGTCCGGCAGCGGATATGGCGAGAGTAAGTATTGCTCGGCGTGGTCCGGTCTCGTGGGTACCTCTTCGAACACTGGATGCTTTCTCGCTGTGTCGAACATTTTCTCGCAGCATCGTACGAATGCCGAGCCGAGGTATGTATGACGTGCAAGTGCCAATCGAGTTCAGCTTTTCCCACCGGATTTTGGTTGATTCTTGCGGAGCTGGTCCATTGAGGCTGGCTGGTTGGTTGGTGCTGGCTTTGTGCGAGTGGTTAGGTGTACTCCTGGCATTTGGATATCGTCGTTGTTGCCCATCTTGCGATTCCCAATTTTTCACGTCATTTGAGGATGTTTGAAGGTGGCGGAAGATACCTGGATATTTGATGAAGGCTGGCTACCTTGTCGTGTGTTGGTAGGTACTCGCGTCTGCCAAGATGCTGTGGTGCGCTGATGGAATACGTCTTGGAGAGAACAACCTGTCCACTTCTTTGGATCGAATAAGTCACGACTGGTTTGTGTGCAGCTCACTCCGCAGCTCTAAACGCAACTGCAACAACTATTTCGCAGCAGTGTTAACATACTTCTTGTATGGTCCTCGGCCATGTCTCGTTATAACTTGACTTGATTGCTGTCCGGTCGGCATTTGGCTTCTACTGTAGGTCTGAGCATGTCCTTAACTCTGCGCACATGCGCGACAATGATGGACATGGCCAGATCAACGGCGCCGCGGGTACGTTTCTTCGGGGCGCCTTGGACAAGCACACTCGTGCACGATTTCCACGACATAGGTCACTGGCATGATTGCGCGGGAAAAAAAAAAAATCTTAACGTCACGTTCCGGTAGGCAGCAGCATCCTTTTGTCATTATTCCGGCAGTTTTTCGCGTTGGTGATGGGTGCTCGTGGTTGTTGGTGTGGTAGCGAGCAGATCCCGACTTGCCAAGTGGAGTGGACCGTGAAGGCGAACGAAAAAGCTGGATAGTTGAGCAGCAGGTTTAACGGAAGTGCGATTTTCGATGGGAAGATGTGCAGGTATGTATGTATTTTTGGAGTTGAATTGGTTTAACCCGTGGTCCCTTCCTTTTGGAGATGACTTGATGACGATTCACTCCACCTGTTCCACTGGTTGAAGTGGAAATTCTTCTCGTCTACTGAAGTAGCCACGACTTGGGCTTTGTATAAAAGAGAAGGGTTTCTTCGTGGTGTTATTCTTTTTCTTCAACATTACTCGGATTTCTCTTGAGTCTCCCTCTACAAATTTACCACCCCTTTCTCGCACAGCTCAGTGGTTATCGCGAGTCTATCACACACACTTCCTCCTCAAACACTACAACACACAAACAACCATGCACGCCAAGTCCTTCACGACGGCCGTGGTCGCGCTCTTGTCGAGCGCCGGTGTCCTTGCCCGCGGCACCAGCGGCACGCTCACCGTGCACAACGACTGCAACTACACGGTCAACATCTGCGAGGTCGGCAACGACATGAGCCCGCTCGTCGACATGGAGCCCGGCGAGACCAAGGTCTACGACACCAAGACGCGCATCGACCGCATCAGCGGCATGAAGGCGGGCTACTCGATCAAGATGGGCCGCCCGGACCAGGGCTACAGCTGCCAGTCGCCCAGCGGCATCACGCAGTTCGAGTACACCAAGGACGCCGACCAGGACAAGATCTGGTACGACTGGTCCAACGTCAACTGCGCCAACACGGACAACTGCCCTTTCATTGAGGAGGGCATCAGCATGGATAGCCCGTGCCCCAACTGCCCGGGCTGGGGCTGCGAGGCCGGCGACGATTACTGCGACAGTGTTTATCAGATCCCGGATCCCCCTCGCCACCCCGTTTATGGCGCCCCGGATATGGAGACCGATCTGGAGATTTATCTCTGCACGCCCGGCGGAAATAACTAGGTTAGATTGCTGGTTGTGCAGGGTAGTGGCTTGATAGAGACTGGGAGGTAACTTGGTTAAGGCGGCGTGATGGCTACGCATGATGGCTTTGAGTAATTCGGGCTAGATGGATACGTGGCGCAGAGATGGTGTTGGAATAATGGGCGTGCCTACTGTTTTGTATAGTAATGGTACCCAGTGCTGTAGTAGTAATGTTATTGTTTCGAGTAGTTCAGGTGCAACCCTACTATCGCTTTCGGTGCCAGTTGTAATTGGATGTTGGCTTGACATTAGGCGTAAGTAGTGATGAGCAACGCCAACTGATGGTTGTCTCCAACATTAGAAGCAGGTAATCAGTTATTCTCAATAAGATTGAGTGTTCCCAGACAAAAACCGATGGTATGTGGTCAAGACCCAAACAGTAGAGGTTATCGTCCACATGGTTGCTCTTGGCTGGCCGAGAGGGCAATTAGGTAGCCGATATGGCCATTCGCCTTAAAAGCTTGGCTTGAAGAAAGCACACATCCCTCAGACCGACATGTCGTCATCAGATAAAAATAAATTATGGTTGTTCTATGATTAAACGCGCGCGTGTGTTTGTCGCGCCGACGATTCACCACAGCAACGACGCTCGGGGACACAACAGGTCAACGCGCCTCCTTTGCCAGCAAGATCAAACGCACCATCCCAGCGCTAGCCCTTGCGGCCCATTCCCTTCTCCGCTACGTTGAACCTTACCTACTCTACAACCATCTTTCTCTCTCCCGACCGACCCCGACCGACGCCCTCTCGACCTCCCGATCCGAACTCCGTTGACAGGAAAATCGCATCCTCTTCAGTCATGGTACGCCCGCTTGCGTTGCCCCTTCTGGCGCCGCCGACCCTGCGCCTTGCCCCTCTGCGGTGATGCGGTGCGAGGGCACGACGGGGACCCGGGGCGGTGGTACGGCGTGTGGTGGTGGTGATACAAAACCAGGCCAGACGTTTGTTGCTGCTGCTACCAGCTCAGCCACTGGCTGTCCGCCCGCTTGTTTACACGAGCGACGGCAGGCCGTGGGCGTGGGCTTGGTCTCGTCGTGTCCTGCGCGCTCGCTCGCTCGCTCATAAGCACATCCTCCGCGCCCTGCACATCACACGCACATCCTCCGCGTTTTGCTCTCCGCGGCTGGCCCTGCTTTCTTGGCTTTCTCACTCATACATACTTTCTCTCCCCCACCCGCTCACTTCCTCCCCCACCTGATCTTCCCTGTCCTCACCCCATCTCCCATTCCTCAACCATGGCCTACGACAATAGCTCACAACAAGCGCAGGCCAGCACCAACTACAAGGAAGCCTTCCAGCTGTTCGACAAGCGCGGCAACGGGCGCGTGACCGTCGACTCGCTGGGCGACCTTCTGCGCGCCTGCGGCCAGAACCCCACGCTGGCGGAGATCAAGGAGCTCGAGAAGACTGCGGGCTCGGACTGTACGTTCAATCCAAACACTCCCTAAGCACACCCTCCCTAAACATACACTTCTCGCTTCCGCCTCTACCCCATTCGCAAACAGCCAACAAACGCTAACGCCACCACAGTCGACTTCGAGACCTTCTCCAAGATGCTGAACCGGCCCGGCGGCTTCCGCGACCCCGGCGACGTCGACGAGTACTGCCGCGGCTTTGAAGTCTTCGACCAGAACCGCACGGGCTTCATCGGCGTCGGCCAGCTGCGCTATATTCTGACGAACCTGGGCGAGAAGATGACGGACGACGAGGTGGACGAGCTGCTCAAGGCTGTCGATACCAGCTCGGGCGAGATCCAGTACAGAGGTAAGTAGTTGCGTTGTGTGAAGAGAGCGCTGTTATGAGGGAGAGAGACGGAAGGGGGGGGAGGTGGTGAGAAGAGAAGGACGGGAGGGGAAAAACGAACGTGTGTGAGAGAGAGAGAGTGAACACGGCTAACAAACCGCGCGCAGACCTCGTCTCCACGATCCTGGCCAACTAAGCTGCCCGCTCGCTCAATCAGCTAGCCAGCAGCAGCAGCAGCAGCAGCAGCAGCAAACCGACCAGTCAGCCAGCAAGCGCGCCACCACCTACAACAGCAACAACAAACAGCGCCTCTTCCGCAGCACTTAGACCAGGCCGCCCCCAACAGCGACGGGCTCATGCTTCATTCACCCTGCACGCACGCGACGATCACTCACGAAGGGGGCGCTCCGCGACTCCAGCGCCACCTACAGAGCGAGCAGCTGAGCTAGTATACATAGACATAGTATGAACGGAACGAACGACATGCGCGCGGCTCCTCCTCCTTGTTCTTCTCTTTTCCTCTCTCTCTCTGGATTTCTTGGCGTTTACGTTTTAAAGTTGGGCGGTTTGCGCGCGTGCGAGGGGGTGGATATATATTTGGTGCAGGCGGGCAGGCAAACAGACAGACAGACGGATGGGCGGGCTGTGTCATGCTTGCACAGGGGAGCGGGAGTGGGAGTGCGAGTGGGAGGGGGGTGGTAATGGCATGAGGTTTTCTTGCTTTTGTGTCTGTGTGTCTGTGTTTGGTTGCTGCGCTTTTGTGCTTTGATGGCGTTCTTGTGGCAGTGCCGCTTGTGATGTGATGCCGCTGGCGCGCGCATGTATGTGCTTGCGTGCATGCAAGCACTCTGCGCGTGCGTGCGTGTGTGTGTGTGCGTGTGGCTGCTACATACTCGCCCTCCCTCCCTCCCGCTGCCTTCCTCATCCTTACATATCCTAGCTTAATCCATAGCCCTAGGTCTAGGTGTAGGTGTACTCCTCCGATACGTCTTTCCTTTCTTTCCTTTTCTTTCCTCCTTCCTTTCCTTTCTCTCTCCTCTCTCGTCACAACGACAAAGCAGCTCGCACCCATGGATGGAGGTCATTCATGCCAATTAACCCAGGCCAATGCTAGCGGCAAAGCCGTGGGGATTGCTCTGGCGTCTGGCGTCTGTCTTTTGTTGTTTGGCGCTCGGCGGCTTTCTCGTGGGAAGTCCTAGTGGTGGTTGGTGCCGGCGCAGACGCAGGTAGGCAGGCAGGCAGCGCCACTCTCTCAAGCGCATTCGTGCATATGCAGGCAGTCCCTCTCCCCACCCTAAAGACCTACGCCTTCGCACCCGCCGCCGCGCCCACCATCTTCCTCGTCTCGACCACGGCCCCGGGGAGGATGTACATGACGTCTTCCCTCCTGCCCCTCCTTGTTTCCTTCTCCTTCACTCCAGCCCCAGCACCCATCGTGTACTGCGCCCAATCCAACCAATACCCAACCACAAGCCCGCACCGCTCACAGCGCGCGGGATAGCGCTTTTCGAGCCCGTCGGCGCGCTGCACGATTATGGGCGCGGAGTTCGTGCGCGCGAGGTGCAGGAGGTGCGCGTGTGGGCGGTGGGTCGTTGCTGTTTCGTCTTCGTCGTCTTCGGTGGGGTGGGTGCGAGGGTCATTGGTGGTGGTGGAAGAGGGGTCGTTGTTGTTGGTGTCCTCGATAGCGCTACTAAGCGGCAATATGTACGCAGCGTCCAGCGTGCCTGTGCTGTCTGGGATCGAGGGCGTGGCGGCTCCGCGCTGTGGGAGCGTGGACAGCGCTGTCCCGGTTGCGAGGAGGAGCTGTGTGCAGTGGCAGTGGTAGGTGTGGATTGTGGTGGTGGTTTCGGTTGACATTGTGCTTGGGTTGTCTGTGGGGGTGGGGGTGGCCATTGTGTTGTCCAGACGGTTTGGTTGTGGAGAGAGGGAGGTTGTGGTGGGAGTGTGGGAGTGCTGTTGTTTGTTGTAGGTGGTGGTGGAGGTTGTTGTCGTTGCGACTTTTGCGGGATCGGCAGCTGCATGACGGAGCCGTGGCCGGGGTGCATCAACGAACAAAACCCTCAACACCACAAACCAAACAACCAACACTCTCACTCTCGCCCCCAAAACACACACACACACACACACACACACACATACACAACAACAACAGCAAAAGCAACAACAATGCCCCCCCTAACCACCCTCCCCATCCACTTCGGCCCGCACCTCATCACGTCCCAAATCTTCCACCTCACGCCCCTCACCTACGCGCTCGTAAACCTCAAGCCCCTACTCCCCGGACACGTCCTCATCTGCCCACGGCGCGTGGTACCACGGCTCAAAAACCTCACCGCAGCGGAAACGAGCGACCTCTTCCTAACCGTGCAGCGCGTGTCGCGGATGATCGAGCGGGTATACTCTGCCTCGGCGCTGAACGTGGCGGTGCAGGACGGCCGCGCGGCGGGCCAGTCCGTGCCCCATGTCCATTGCCATGTCATCCCAAGGTCGATGGGCGATATGGATGCGAGGGGCGGTGGGGACCGCGTGTACGAGATGCTGGAGGGGGAGGAGGGCGATTTGGGGAGCGCGTTGAGGGCGAGGGAGGGGAGGGGTGTGGCGAAGCCGGATGCGGAGAGGGTGGCTAGGAGCGAGGAGGAGATGAGGGAGGAGGCTGAGTGGTTGGCGGCGGAGATGGCGAAGGAGGAGGGCGAGAGCGAGGGCGAAGGAAAGGCTGAGGGCGCTTGAGCGGCCTGCCACCCTGCCTGCCTCCCTGCCTGCTGGCTGGCTGGGAAACTTCGTCCACGGCTATAGACAACCTTAGGTGGGCTCCCATCCTACCCGCCGACCGCACGCCCAACACCAACCTATCAGCCCGATATCCTACGCACGCAATCCGCTCGCTACTCCTGGCAGCACGACATGCGTCCACGCAGGCGTACTCCTAGCCACCGCAGCCGAAAACAACAACAAAAAAATACGAATTCTCTAAACTTTTCCCCTTGTTCCTACACCTCACCCTCCTTCCCCTTACCCCCACGCTCCACATCCACCTCTGCCTCCTTCCCCCTCACAACCGCCCTCCCCCTCCCCTCGTCATCACCGCCTTCATCATCGCCCTCGCCATCCAAAACCCTCACGCCTCCAATCTCGCGCTCCTCAACCTCGCGCGCTTCGTCCCCCTCGTCCTCTTCGTCCGGCAACAGCAGATTCAGCGCCACAGTCGCAAACGCCGTGATTGCGAACCCGGTCTGCAGCACGAGTTCGATGGCGTTGAAGAAGCCGAGGAGTGCGCGGTTCGGGCCCGTGTAGGTGAAGACGTGGGAGAACCAGCTTTGGGAGAGGGGATGTTAGCAGAGAGAAGTGTGGAATTGGGGAATGAGGGGGGAAGAGGAGGACGGGAAGAAGAAAGCCAAACTCACTCCGGCACCAACGTAGCACCAAACCCCAGCGCCAGCCCCGCCGTCAACACGAACCGGTTCCGCCGCGTAAACGGCACGCTCGCCACAATCCGCAAACCGGACACCGCGACCGCGCTGAACAAAAACGTCGTCATGCCGCCCAGCACGGGCGCGGGAATGGCCACCAGCGCCGCCGCAAACTTGGCAAACACGCCCATGACGACGAGCCAGAAGCACGCCGCATAGCCCGCGGCGCGGCTGGCGACGCGTGTCAGCGAAATCACGCCGTTGTTCTGCGCAAACGTGCTCATGGGCGTGAGGGTGCACAGGGCGGCGACGACGCCGTTCAGCCCGTCCGCCAGCACGCCGCCCTGGATGCGCGAGTCGAACTCGGCCCCCGACACCTCGAGGCGCGACACGTCGCACGTGGCCGTGATGTCGCCGATGGCCTCCATGGCGAGCACGACGTACACGGCCAGCAGCGGCAGCACGAGCGGCCCGTAGACGCTGAGCCGGAACGTGTGCACCCAGAGGAACGACACCGCGGGCGAGGCGTCGATGCCGCTGCGGTCGAAGTACCCGCACGCCCCCGCCACTATGCACCCCACTAGCAGGCCGCACACGACGGCCGTGCTCTTCATGAGCGGGCTCCCGAAGCGCTCGCACAGCACAATGGCGACGAAGACGAGGAAGCCCAGCCCCACGAACTCGGCGCTGCCCCAGGGGAGGGGCCTCGGCGCCGCCGTGCTCGGACACAGCGCGTACATGCCCATCGGGGCGGAATAACACTCGCCACTGCCGCCCGCCCAATCCTGGAAGCCCGTCTGCACGAGGCTGACGCCGATGAGGAGGACGGTTGGGCCAGTGACCAGCGGCGGGAAGAGCTTCTTGAGCGCGCGCGGCGGCAAAAACGCCATCCCAACCTCAAGCAGCGCGCACAGCGCCGCCGTGCCCAAAAGCGCCCCATACCCATCCGGACACGGCAGGCGGTTCCCTCCCTCGTCCGACGGACAAAACCCCGTCGCGTACATCTGCGCAAACGCCCCCGTCGCAACCGGGATGACGGAAAACGACGTCCCGACCACAGAGATCAGGCCCGTGCCCACGAAATACCCCGTCCGCGGCAGCCTTACGCGCGTGATCTGCACCGCCGACAGCAACCCGCTCGCAATCAGCGCCGCCGACACCAGGTACTCGCTACTGGACCCGGACAGCCCCGCCGCCCCCGCCAGCAGCATCGGCGGCGTGATCACCCCCGCTAGCATCGCCAGCGCGTGCTGCAAGCCGAGCAGCAGCGCGAGCAGCACGGGCATGCGCGCGTGCAGGCTGAAGAAGGGCGCGCTGCGGCGGGGGGTGCGCGTGAATGGTAGCCGTGGCCGGAAGAGGTAGGCGTAGTCGTAGCTGCCGATGAGGCCGTCGCGCGTCGTGAGGGTCTTGAGGTGGCGGCGTAGCCGGGAGCGGGGGCTTGGGGGGGAGGGCGTGGTTGCGGGGGCGGGCATGTGCGGCGGCGGCGTGTTGGTGGTTGTGGTCGTCATGGTGGGCGGTTGGTCCTGTGGTGTTGTGGAGCGACTTTTGGGAGGGTGTGTCGAACCTCTTCTTGATAGATGGATGGATGGATGCGTGTGGGTGTGTGTACCTATGTATGCAGCTCCACGGCTCTCGCGAAATCTGCTCCCAGCTCTTTCTTGCGGTGGCTATTTGTAGTTATCTACGCCCGCACGGCAACAGACGGCGAGAAGCCGAGAGCGAACCTTCCTAGGTATCCTTAGGAACAGCGACAACGTTAACAACGACGACAACAACGACGAAAGAGAATAAGAACAATAAGAATAAGAACAAGAGAAGGGAGAAGGGAGAGTGCGAAGGACGGAAAAAAAAAGGAAGGAGAATAAAGTTTAAAAGAAAAAGACGAAAAATATGAGAGATAAGCTGGTAGCTTAGACACCTAGATAGAGCGATAGCCTCGCATGCATGCATGCTTGCATATACCACGCAGATCGCTGCAGCATGCCCAGCCCTACTCACTTACCTACGGCGGCGTGACGGCGGCGCGCGCAAACACCAGGCGTACGACGGTCCTGCGTACAGCGTTAGATGTCGCTCCGCTGCCTATCCGCCATGACAGCCCCGCCATACCTACCCACTGACTCCTATCCGCACCCGCACGGCAGCAATTCCGCCCCTCCCGTACAAGCCGTCGTTATCCGTGTGTGTGTGTGTGGAGCAAGCACGAGCACGAGTGCTCTAGGTTAACCTTCCTTGCTGATATCCGCGATAAGGGCTTTAGCTTTTTGGGGCGGCGGCGGCGGCGGCGGCGCAGGCAACAGGCGCGCGGGGGGCGGGGATGCCTCCGCGTGCTGTGATTGGTGAGCCGGGGTTGTGCCGCCACGACCTGGCGTTTGTTTTTCATGATATTTCTCTGTACTGCTAGTGTTGCTGCTGCTGCTGGTCTGCGAGGAAGGATGTCTTCTTTGGACTACACTCGCTGCTCAAGTGCCGATTCCTGGGCGATTGGGATGCGAGGTGCTCGGTGCCCGGTGCGGGGTCGGGTCGGGTCCACGCGCTGATACTTATGCATGTATACGGTAGATATAGACGTTTCTTATAGAGTATGCTTTGCAGGATATTTCATAGCGGGTCGATGTCTTTATTAGCAGCCTGGCAGTCATTCACTGCAGAGCATGTCATTACTACCTTATCGACCAGAAAAGATTAGTAAAGTAGGGAGTTGATATCTGGGGTTTGCTGTAGTGAAGATAACTTGGACCATTCAGGGCTACGCGATATGGCATAACAGCCATATAACAGGTCATAAGTCATTTAGCTAGTCTGTTCGCAAAAACGAGCATTTCGCAAAGCATGTTGATAGTATAACAACGCATAGACGACATTGCTATCTAACCACACATTACACGACCCTTTCTTACAATCCGATCCCTTTTAGCGGTTTGAACAAAATCAAGAAAGACAGAAGCAGGCTCGAAAACAACTATGTGACAGTGACATACCGAAATGCGTATTAGAGCCGAAAAAGAGGATGAGGAGAGACGACGGAAAACCAAGACCATAGATAGCTATATCCCAGTCATGGCCCATATAAGAATAGCAAGGGCGATAAGAATAGCGAACGATGACAGCGACGGCAAACACTGAGACAGCAGACAAACAAACAAACAACGAGCACCAACCGCCCACACAACACACACCACTCAGACAACTGTACCTTCTCCGGACACTTACACATCCACTCCCCTCATCCCACCTAATGCACAGCCGTGGGCCTAAAGCTCATGGTCGACAGCCGGCGAAACAAACCACTATTAAGGCCAATCCCGGCATCCGACGGCGAGTCGGCCATATGCTCGTCCGCATTCGGCGAAAGGGGATCGTGGTTGTCCCTTTGGCGACGTTAAAACGCAACGAGCCAGTCTGGGGATGGTGCGCTAGACACAGAGAGCGCAAGCATCAGGCCATGCGGTGACGCTTGGGGGGGGTAGAGAGAGGGCCACACGAGGAGGGGAGAGGGAATCGTGTACCTACATGAAGAGCACGTCGTCGAAGACCGGCTGTGGGTCATGCACGTTTTGGCTGCGAGGCCGTGTGGAAGAGACGGACGTCTGCTCCGAGGACCCGTTCGAGTGCGGAGAGATTATGCGTGGGCCCATGCTATCGTGGGGGTCGGTAGGGATGGCGCCGCTGTTGGCGATGGGTGGGCTGTCGCTGTCGCAAGGGAAAGTGAGGGTCGGGACAGGAGGAATGTCTTCGCCGACACTGAAGTGCTGGTTGCTACTGTGTGTGGCGATGCATCAGCAAACTGCCATTGGGTTTAGAGATTGGTCAGATACACTTACGCATTAAATGCAGAGCTCTCGAACGGGTTACTCAGCATGGCAGCTGGAGTTGGAGGGATGGCGGCTAGCGGCTCGAATGTTCCGCCGCTGTATTTCAAAGCATTGGGCCTCCACGCGAACTTGGGCTGCAGATGGCCGGGTGGAGTCTGGAGCGTGCCGTGGTTCAATGGCGGCGCTGCCGAGATGGAAGCAGTGGATTGCCTGCGTGAGGTAGTGGCAGAGTTCATGCCCGACGTCATGGCTGTGCTCATTCTGCGCAACATTGAGCGGACGGTTCCTTCGGTCTGCTCAGAACGTTGTTGAAGTTCCGGGCTTTGGCTGGGTGCCATAAGGTTGAAGATGCCTTTGATGGCGCCGATGGAGGAACCAACAGCACTCTGCACCACCGCCCACGAGTTCTCGAGGCGTATGAAGTCATCCAAGTAGCACTCTATTTGGTCAATCTGTGACAAACAGACTTCCATCGCGTCCGCGACAAAGGTTGCACCCCAGATCCAGATATTGGCAGTCTCCTCCTGAACGTAGGCTGGCTGAGTGTTGATCATCGTAATGGCGGAATTGATCATCTTGTCAATGGCCTTTTCGGCCTTCTCCTTCTGCTGCGCACAATCGACATAATAGATAGCCCGACGATCCTCGAAACTTCCAACCTGGTCTCTGACGCCGGCTTTGACTCCCTCATAGACGTTTTTAAACGCGTCTTCGTGGACATATGCCATCACCGAGTTGTAGTTGTCAAGCGACGCCAGAACTTGGTCTGCAGCATCGCCGATTGCGGCCGTCAAGGTTGCCATGTGATCGGTCCCTTCGAGTAGTCGATGCGCTTGAAGTGTCTTGAAGAACGTGAAGTCGCCGGTACGGCTGGCAGCATGCAAGTTGTGCCTGATTAAGGCAACCCGCTGCGTCCAATGAAGCTTGTTGTTTTCTAGAGTCATGGTGAAGTTGTGGCCTGCTTGCCGAGTTGATGGTTGACTAAGAGGCTGAGGTGTCAATGTTGGGAAGGGGTTGGGGAACCTGTGAACTTTATGTCAGCTCTGGGTATAAGGGCAGGACTCCGGACTCAGCAATTGCTAAAGCAACAGTTTGCCGGCAAGTGGCGATGTGGTGTGCGGCGCCTTTTAAAGCCGTTTTCGATCAGGATATCCAGAGAATATTGGAACGATGTTCCAATGAATAGGCAGAGTGCTCTGGTATGAAGACAGACGCCGGCTTCAGGTAGATCTGGGCTGTTCGAATTTTGTGTGTTTAGTCGAAAAGGCCTGGATGGCGGTCGAGACGCTGGCTGTAAGCTATTCCAGCCCCATAACTTCATACATATGTTGTCAGCGTGCGGCTACTTGCGCGGTGGCGTTGATTCTGGAAGGCGCGTGATTCGGCTCTGTCAATGAACCCTTATTCTTCAGGGTCTCACGTCTGAGACGCGGCGCTAGGCCAGGCTCCTGCTGTAGAAGCACACCGGGATGATCTGCCGGTCCTTTCTCTACCCTCGGCTCCGATAGCAGCTATACCGGGACTGTGTCATTTCATCGAGATTGCTCGAGCTCTGGGAAATGATCTCAAAGGAGACGAAAAGGACATCTTGACAGACGTGAGGTGGAGACATTTTTCAAAGGCAGATGCGCCGAAGGACAGAAACGTTTATAAGTTCGACATGGAAGCAGAGCAGACGAGTAAAATGCATTTGCAGGAATGTGGAATTGAGCAGACTTGTGATGAAGATTTTCAATGATTGAAATTCTTACGTGAGGCTCAGGGAGCACATGGGTTATCCTTTGTTTACACTCGTGGTCCGCTCGCAGTTGTACAGGAAGTCTGGACGTTAAGTTGAGACATGGTCATGAAACCAGCGCAAAGTTGATAAAGAACGTCAATCAACGCCGAGAATGAGAGGTCGTCAGCCCACGAGCCGCGGCGACGAGGAGCCAGCAGAATGGAGCCGCCATGCGAGACCCGCGGATCCAACAGAGTGGAGCTGTTGCACGATTCGAGTAAAGGCGAGGAGATAAGGCCGGGGTTCCCGGCGGCTTGGGAGAGGTAGGCCGGAGGCCGCCCCGTCGTACGCGCGCGCGAAGCTTTCGCGTACAGACGTGGGCGGGACGAAAAGGCAGCATCGCACCTTTAGGATCGGCGGGACAACGTAGATGGATGGAATGAATGAGGGGAGCAAGAGGAGATTCGCTCGCGGATACGATGAGTCCGACGAATACCCGCAGCGCAAGTGCGCTTTCCGACGCTACAGACGTCACTGCCTCGTCACCTCAAACACGTCCGTTTATATAGACGTCGGGGACGCGGACATACCTCCTACACACCACCCCCTCTCCCTCTACACTTCTGGCTGATGTGCTGGGAAACTCGTTTGGCTCCGGACTGACTGCTTCCTCCGCCTCTGCAGCCGAAAAAATGCTACAACATCCTGCGAGCAAGTCCAATTCACCGCCTCCACCACATCCACCTGGTACGGCTAAGGCGAAGCGCAGTATGGTCCCAGTGGCCTGCGGGAACTGCAAGAGACGAAAGATTAAAGTATGTGAGTCAAGGGGGAGCGCAAGCCTGGATACCAGGAAGCCCTAGGCGGGATGCAAGAGTCAGACGAATCCGGAACGTAACCGTCCGCAGTAGGCCAGATGTTGGTTCGAAATGTATATCCGTGTTTCCATGACCTATTCCCATGTGCAAAGATACAACCATCTGCAACATCCGCTTCCGTCTCTGCCAAGTCGATGCTGACTATGCCGTCTTAGTGTGATGGACAAACTCCCTGCTCTCCATGCTCCCAGCGGAGTTATCATTGCCTCTACGACTCCGACCCCATGGCGAGACGATCAGTTACCTTGAAGAGGAAATACGACGTTGTCCAGACCGAGCGCGATCAGATGGTGGAACTATACGGCCTCCTTCAAGCAAGGCCAGAAGCAGAAGCCCTGGAAATACTCAAGCGGATCAGGGCATCGACTGATGTGTCGGCTGTTCTGACGCTTGTGCGCGAAGGAGATCTCTTGGTGCAGCAACCGCCGTGGAATAAAGTGTATGAGGCCACTCGGTGCAACTATACTACACTGCCCATGACTACCGGACGCTTACATTTACTTTATTCTAGCATTAGAAACGACAGTTTTGACACGTATCACCACAATCGCTCCAGAACACCCCAACGCACCGAAAAACCAAAGTCCTCTGCACCACGTCCGCGGCAGTGTAGAAGCTGCAGCCACAGCTGTCTCCCTCAACCAACACACTGGTACCCCCGAAGTGCATGTAAATGTCACTTCGAACCTATAGCCAACAGGCCCGATGTCGTAGGGGGACAAAACTGAGCTCTTATACCGAGATCTTAAACATACCAACAGTCGGACAGTGTTTGCCTGAACGGAGGCATATCCACACTTTAAAGATGATACCATTGAGGGAAGTAACGGGGACTGGGAGAAAGCATTCATGACTACCCCACTCTTGGATAAGAGTATGTCGAGACGTTTGAAATTCATGAACACGAACTTGTGCTGGCCACCAAGTCGAGGCTCAAGTATAAAATCTCGGTTTGTCCGAAGACAGATACCGGAGGCTCTCAGATGTAAATGTTTGTGCATATATAGAGCAAATTCCGAACATAACAAAAAGCCGTCTTCATGTTCATCTAACTAGCCACCTCTACAGGACTCAAGTTAACTTATGTTCTTGTTCTTCACGTGTAATGCAATGTAGTATAACGTCTGTCAGCGATAATCGAGATTCACCGTCTAGCAAGACAGGGAACGATAATAAGCAGTCCCTACGGACTATTCATTGTCTAGCTATAAGCCTAAATTTTAGATATAAGTAGAAGGGCCTTAGAGCGCACCTAACGCTCTTTATCGCTAAGAGAGATTCGCCTTTTAGCGAGATAATAAAAGATAAAAGCAGTCTCCATAGAACACTCCTTGTCTAACTACATGTTTGAGTCTTGGATATAAGTAGGGAGATCTTTAGGCGTATATATACGTATAGATACCCTGACAAGATTTCGTTTCTACTCTGTACACACGCATATTTATCTCGTTAGGCGATGAATCTCGTTATACGCTGAAGGCACGGCCCCCACTCTTCAGCACCACCAACATCAAAACCAAACCTAAAACCAAACCCCAGGCCCGTTCCAGCAAGACTGGGAAAAAAAAAAAAAATTTTAAAAAAAAAGCAAAAGTGAATTCCGTTGCGGGGAATCGAACCCCGGCCTTGCCGGCACCTGTTAGAGTGTTGTTGCTCTTATACTGAGAGCGGCAAATCCTAGCCACTAGACCACAACGGATGTTGATGAAAGGTTTTTCCTCAAATCTGGCTATATACTTACATTTATTTCCACGAAACAAAACCCTCGCATCAGCAGCGCAATCCACCGGACGTGAAACCAGAAACGCTCGATCCGACAGCGTGCAGGGACGGGTGGCCTGTGGACGGAACCGGACCGGCCGGGCCGAGCGTCCGTGGGAGCCCTGGGGAGGCAGCAGCCGCGGGATTATTCATTAATCTCGCGCGTCTGGATGGGGGTTGCGACGGCGTTGATCTGGCTGCTCGGAGGCGCGGCCGTGGAATTATTATCTAACTACCCGTCTGGCAAACACGATGCCCCACAGTCTGGTGGTGGGGTAAGCATTCGACGATTTCCCCGTCTGTTGAACGGATTTGCTTTGTCTGCAATGTGAGTGTACGCTTTTGGTAGGTTTGGCTGTTTGATTGAGTTGGGTTTTGGTGGTTGTGCTAAATAGACGTGATGGAATAGAGTAGGTAGATTAATTTATATATATACCTAGTAAAATGATTTGTAGTATTCGTAAGGATATATGATAAGTCATAGACGTATAAAAGCTAAAGTGTATCCCACCAGAAAACTGAAATAAAGGAAGTCAAGGGTCAAACGATCATCTCAATGGAAAGAGTAATTCGTATGCGTTCATAGATAGTATCACGTGTGGTGGGAAAATGATCGAAAAAGGTGGACAAATGATCCAGGGTCAGATACGAGAGACGCACCGGTAACGCCAGTATGCCAGCGTCCAGAGAGCAGGCCCACACGGCACGGCACGGCACAGTGCAGCGGGCGGCAATAAAACGCAGGGCAGGACAGGGAAGGCGTGGCAGGACATGTATGTATGTACATATGTAAGTCAGACAGACAGCAATCAATCAATCAATCAATCACATGCGTTAAGCAATACTGCCAGCTAGCTACGAGGACTCTGGTAATATACCATACAAAGCCGCTCCGCCAACCACATCGGGCTGGGCACCCATCTCGTCTGCGCGTGCTTCCCTGGCGTCCTGCCCGCCACGGACCCGACCCGCTGGCTGCTCGGCCGGCCCCTCTTCCCGGCCTGCTGTTGACCGGACAGATTGCTTTCTCGGGTACTGGAAGCTAGTATTGCTGGGCCCTATGGATTTATGCCCAACCATACGGGATCGGCAGCTCTGTGCGCCACGTGCGGGACCCCGCGCCGGTGAGGGCGCAGTAGCGGTATCGGTCCCGATATCGTATTGGGACCTCAGGTGAGCGACGGTGACGGCGACGACAACGGCGGTGACAGGGCGATGGACGAACGGACGCGGGAAAATATCGAAGTAGTTCAGGAAACGCCATGAGAAAACGCCGCTAATGACAGAACAAACAAAAAGCCGAAATGACAGGGGTACCTCTTAAAAACAGCAACAACGCCTCGAAACAAGCAGACAATATGAGAAATGTGGATGTAAGGAGATCCGTCAAAGAGCGAGGACAGGCGGCGCGGAAACAAAAATCAGCGACGCCATTTCGTCTCGTATGTCCCATCAGCATCCCCATCCATGCACCTCCGTGTCTGTTAGTAAAAATGAAACAATAGACTAGACAAATCAAATAGGAAAAAGATATCTTGCTCATCCATGTCGTGAAAAAGAAACAAATCAAAAATAAACGAAGAAAAGAAGCGATACTGCGCCCACCTGATGTTCCCTTGGTATATCCGCAACGTTGCGTCCGTCTTATCGTATGCTTTGTAGGAAAATCTCCCCTCTACAGGCCCAGTTCTCGCGGGAACGGCGAGAAAGGCCTAGCAACTGCTGGAGCGCGCGCCCATCCAGGCGTCTGTCCAGCGCAAGGACGCAGCCATCGTTATACCTCCAATTTGGTCCGTCTATTGCCCGTTCACCCACAAAACCAGCTTCGGAGTTCTGGCCACTGCCTCTGCGAGATCTTCATCGTTCCTGATGCCATAGAACTCCCCGTCCGCGTCATCTCTGTATTCAATGCCCAACGGCTCGTCGCTTGCCTCTTCGCCCTTCTCCAGCGCGCGCCTTTCTTGCAACTTGCGGTACAGGTCCAAGAAACGGAAAGTCGCCGGCATACGAATAACGACGCAGTTGTCTTCCTCGAACCAGACCTTGATTTTGTGCGCGCCGACACCGGTGCCAGTAGCCGTGCTGCCGGCAGATACGTGAGAAGCTTGCGTCATGTGACTGTTGTTGCGTAGCATCGGCGCGGGACTGCGAAGGGATTGCGCCTGTGATACGGAGCGCGCGTGGTGGTAGCTCGATTGAGATTGGCTGTGAGAGTGGTGTGAGTGCGAAATGGACTGGCCATGCGAATGCGCGTGTTGCAGGTTGCTGATCGAGGACTGCCGCGACGCGCCGCCAGAGTGGTCAGTGGCCGAGCGCTGCGATGCCCCCGAGTTCCTGTAACCGTCTGCGGTGACTGTGGGGTCAATCTCGTAGTCGCCATCCTTGGGTTGGAAGAACTCGCACACGCGCTTGCAGCGAGAGATGTGCGGGGGCAGCCTCAAGAGGTTCTTGATGTACTCGTCCAAGTTTACGCGCCGACCGTTGGTGATGTTGTCTGTGACGTAGGTAACCGGACCAGGCATATACGGCAGCGAGCGCTCGATACCTTCGACATTGCCTGCTTCCGCCGGGAACTCCTTGATAAGCGCAATCTGGAGGTCGTAAAAGGCCTGGTACAAGCGCTGAAGTTCCCAGTATCGGCCGTCCTCCATTTGGCATTCAACAATGAACCAGAAAATGTCGTCAGCGAAACAGTAACGAGGAACGGTTGCATTGACAGGGGCGAGGAGCATCCCGTCCTCTTCCGGCGGGTACCCATAGGGTTGCGCGACGCTCCCGGAGCGCGAGTGAACCTGGATGGAAGAAACGTGTTAGTTTTGCGCGCAAATACAGACACTGGGAGCACTCACGCGGCTGTCGCGACCACTCCTGATGCTCATTCTCTCCATGCCTTGCTGCAGGCTTTGCTGCGAGTTCGTTTCCAGTTTGCCAAGCGGGATGCTGCCATTCTTGTATTCTGCGGCCATCTTTTTCCACTCCTCGACGCGCGGGACGCCAGCTCGTTGCACGGCTTCGTATGCGTCCGGCACGGCCTGGCCGGTCGTCATGTCGCGAATCTCGATGAAGGAAACGGGGATCAGGCCGGGGCCTCCGAGTCGCGTGATGGGCTTTGCGACAAACCACTCCGGGTTCGATTGGGCAATGACGATGATGGCCTCTCCCTCCTTGGCCTCGAGTTCGTCGGGCCGTTCGGCCTTGAAATCGTACATGACAACTCCGTAAACCATGGCGCCGGTTCCTTTCATGGATGACTTTGACATGCGAACGGGTTTGGGGTCAGAGGCTGGCTCGGCGTAACCAGAGTCGTGTCCCGCGCTCGGTAGGTTGACGAGCTCAGAGGCTGATCCTCGACTGTCTCTGACGGTCTTTCCAACCGGCTCAAAGTATTTCACTGGTACTAGTCCTCGCGATCCGTGCAGTGGATTGCATGCCTCGTACCAATCGGGATCGTTTTCGCGGCCGACGACGTGCAAAAAGTCGCCTTGGGAGAAGGATAGGTAGCCGGAGGCTGGGTCGGGGCTGGGAGCTTGGTAGTCGTAGAGCGCTTTGATTACCTGGGCTGTGTTAGCGAGAGTGGCAATTTCGGCGCGGTGGACCTCATGGCGTGGAGGGCGTCGTAAGGCTGGCCCACGCAGGCGCGCGACAGCCGGACAGAACGGTGGGCTGGTGGGTGACGTACCTTTTTGGGCGGCACGATAGCTATGGCGTCCTTTGGCGGGATGGATATGTGGTGCGGCTTCGAGTCTGCCTTCTCGCCTTTCATGGATCTTCGGAACTAGGACTCCTGCTCAGCACCTGCGCCCGCAGGGTCCACATGCCGGTACTTACCCTCACCATTACGACAACAGGGTGGACGGCTGACGCGACGTCCCAGCGAGGCGCTGAATGAGGCAGGCTCCGGCGCTCGAGAGCCGCTTGCAAGCGTCTTGAGGGCTTGGGTTGCAGAGGCTGTGGCCGACGGGTCGGGTGCAGGAACGGCTGCTAGCGTCGTCGCGGGGCAGTCGAGGCGGCAGGCTGTCGCGAGAAGCACGCAGCCGGGCGCAGGCGCCGAGTTAACAAGAGCTGAAGGGGGAGGGTGAATGCCAGAGGGACTCGAGGGATGTCGGCGGGCGTCGGGCGCAGGCTGGAATGAGCCTTGACAGAGGCAATGACGAGAAGCACGCAAGAACAAGCCACCGGGGATGAAACAATGGACGCGCACGCTAGAGTCTAGAGTTAACAATGGCAGACACGGCAGAGGAGGTGGTATCGTGGGAGAGCAGAGAAGGCGCGGGAGCGAGAGGCATGGCACGACCTTGGGCAGTAAGACGCGCAGCTTGGCCCTCGAGCGCATTCGAAGGCGGGGAGTGGGCGGGGGGCCAGGGCCGTGATCTGTGCGTGCGACTACGCCTGCTGCAAGGCCTTTGATCATCGGCTGCATAGGTCACAAAACCAATACTTTGCAGGTCCCCCCCGCGGGCGCGCCCGCCTCACCGTTGGCCGATCGGCCATCACTCGCATGTCGTTATGGTCGTCGAGAGTTTCGCTACCTGCTGGCCCTCCCCACGAATCACGGGCCCAACGCCTATTGTACCTGCGCATCCCGACGTGCAGTCGGGGAAGCGCGCCGAGCCTGCACTGCGCCGCCCACTCGCCGCGACCCACGCGCCCTCCCGCCAGCCCAAAGGAACAACGTGACATCAAAGAAAGAAACCTGACAAAGAAACCACCGCCGCTACCGTCACCAGTAGGAGCGCGATTGGTCCTCTTCCATCCACGTTGGTCGTTTTTTTCCGCCACCCGCTGCAGCATTCCGCCCGGACAAAGGAACCTGCCGTATTGATGCCCCCGGACGTCATTGCCACGTTTACAGGAAGCAACGGCACGGATCCGGACATACGGCCGGGCAAGAGCTGCAGCCTCTGGCCCACCACGCCTGTGGAACGTCGCGGAAGCATACGGCAGGTCTGACGCATCGTCCGGACGGAAGCAGCCTCGAGGGCACGCGAAACTGCCACTACCGGTCCGTTGGGCCTTCGCAGAGGCTTGCTGGGGGCCTGTTGACGCATCAAGTAGGAACGCATTGCTGCCGGTAGCCATGGCTGGTAACGCCAATCCAAAGCGGTGCAGTGCTCGAATGCGACACATTGCCGCCAGTAATTATTAGACTATCGACGGTCGAGTTGAACGGAGGGGAATTAAAAACAACCGGCGGAACGGAACAATCCTCAGCTGTGGTGCGAACAACATCGCTACATTGTCGTACGGGCTCTCATTTCTGTCCCTTGATGTCTATGCGGCCAAAGGCTGCCGTTTTTGCCGATTCGAAGAATACATAGGCCTTGGGAGCGTGGAAGAGCACAAGCCCCTCATCCTTCTGTTCCAAATGTCGTGAGAGATCGTCATGCTGGGATAGAAGAAATTGCACGCAATCTGAATCAGACTCGAAACCAAGTTCCTCGGTGAGGAACCGGACCTTGACACAAGGTTTGTATCTTGAGGCAGTCAGCAAATATTTCTTCAGTCAAGGGGTGGGGGTAGTGACGAACGCCTTGCAAATGTTAGCCAGGGCGAGGAGTCTCTCGCGCCCGACGAACATGTCCATCAGGTACGCGCCCATGTTTGGGGTGTCGAGATAAAGTCTGAAGAACCTGTGGTAATTGCCTAGCGCCAGGGCGGATCGAACGTCTAGAGCATGCTTGACTGCTGGCTGGGTCTTGTCTGCGGGGGTTAGATCGGCCAACACCTCGTTCATGCCCGTCCGGTTTTGAGTATAAATGAAATAGAGAATACGGTATGCCAAGAATTCCGCGGGATGCCCTCCAAGCTTCTGCGCATACAGTGCACGCAGTTGCGTCTGGCACTGATTATACTCACCCATATCTCCCTGTTCAAGCGCGATGCGAGCGTGGATCTCGTAGACGGTCACAGTAAACTCAGTCTTGATGTGCTGAACAGTCAGGTCCTGACGAAGAGACTTGAACTGATCACAGATGTAAGAGTAGTTGTTTTCTTTTCTCCACTTTTTCTTTAGAAATTCCAGGGTCTTTTCCAGCACAGACAACGGACGCACTGCTTCCGGCTTGGGAGCAGCTGTGAGTCGAAGGTATCTCTTTTCGAGATCTTGGCAAGTGCCAACGACGGGTCCGTCATTGGCATCAGCCGGCGAGTCGTCACGGGAGGAGTTCCAGGGCGATTTGGGCCCTGACTTGCCGTTTTCGAACCGTTGCCTCCTCCTCTCGAGGTCCATCTGGTACTTACTTGATCCGTCCTCGGGCACCTGGGGGCTGATGTGGTGGCGTTTGTCCATCCTCTCGGCGAGGCTGCGGACCGGAGTCGTGGCTTCCTCGATTTTACGTTTGTTAGCTTTGCGCCATGGTGGCAGAGAGTCACCGTCAGCATCAGTCATTGAGGAATCCGGAGACTTCCGCTTCCTGTTCCCGTCGCTCATCATGTTCTTTTCAGGCGTCGAGGTCTTGCGCCAAGGGGCCTTGTTCAATCCTGCGCTTTCTGCCCGTTCGGCTTGAATGATCTGCTGCGGCAGAGGGTGCGTTTCCCAGCTGATGGAGTAGAGCATGTCATCTTCGGTCGCCTCGGTGATGATCTTCTTGAGCTTTTGTTCTACGTCTCTGCGCTCGATGCCAGGGATGGCGGCATCTGACGCGAAACACCGTTGTACATAGTCGCGGACGGATTGTGGCCACTGGACTTTCTTTGTAGTGGGCTGCGGTTGCGGGGAAGGAGTGGGTGTGGTGAGTTCGGGTCGGGCAAATGTACGACGGGCGTGGACTGCAGTGAAGGCGGGCGCAGCTGGAACCGTGGTCAGTGTGAGCGGAACCGAAGGGTCAGCGACGAACTTACTGTTCGCGTTCGCGATGGGCGCGCCAGGTGACTGGCGCCAAGGGACTGAAGCTGACATGGTGCTGGCGGCTGACTCTGGAAAAAGGCAAGGGGGCTTTGAAAGATATGGGATTAGTGTGAGGAGGAAGAGAGTCTGGTGGGCAAGGGGTGTTGTTGCATGATCTGGAGCTGGGTGATGAGGGTGCGGTGGAATGGGCGGTCGCTTATGCTCTGCGGCTTGGCGCGGCCGCCAGCGAGCGGAGCACGTGAGCTGTCAACGCCAGATAATCAACCCACAAACAAAACTGAATCTCTACCTAGGTATATAGGTACTCGGGATATAGTTGATGGCCAGCTTGTTCGCTGCCAACTCCGGTGTTGATCGGCGTTGTTTCAAGTTGACCCGCTGCCAATCGATAACGCGGCCGACAATACCTTAATGCACGTTGCCGCACTGGACTCAGATCAGATCAACCTCACATCCATCTGGTCTCAGCCCAAGATTTTTTTTTTTGGAGCGTGTTTCTGATTGCTTCACTCGGTCAATCGCATCACTACTCTCTGGTCATGTCTACCTGGACATTGACAACAAAAGGAATGCTTGCTGACCTACAGTCCAGGCAGGCTTCTTTGTATCTGGACCTGGTACCTTCATTGTTACATCCGCTCAAAGTGATGATAGCGGCGAATCCGTAGGCGCGATCAGATGTACTTGCACCTACAAGCCTGACTAGTTCTTGTTCGTCGTGTTCTCCAGAATACTCTTTCTTGCTTACATGCGAGAAGTGGGGAATGCCACTCGTGAGAGATCCGGTCATACCTTTAAAAAGATCTACGGGCCGAGGGCGTTATAATTTGCACGTCCTCATAAGCTAACATCTAACTACGAGCGTAGTCTCTAGATCTAAGAAGTGACCAACAGGGAGCATTTAAAAATGCTGTGATAATACACCCATGCTCCTATAGGTATATCAATATTTTTTTAATAGCGATTTGACAAACATTCGCTTCTGCGAAGCACCGCTCACTGTGCAGACAAGAACAACATCTACATCACATCCGCAACCGTAGTGAGTCAACAGCACCAATCCTTGGCCGTGCGCTATCAACGATACATCGCCGGGCTCTGACTTTCCAGATGATATAAAAGATAACTCCAAGTGCCAGAGCGGCGTTGCCTCTACAAGCTTAGTGGATTTGCGGGCTGTCTTCAAACAAGGCAAAGACGCGGCGTGGAGCTAATTAGTCCAACAAATTGGGTAAAGATGTGGGACAAGCTCGAGCTGCCCGTGCGCCCTAGGTACGACGCTTTAAGAGAAGCGGCCTGCAGCTAGTCGTTCAACAAGGTCGCGATCGCACGGACGAGCAGGCTATCGTAAGCTTGTTCGGGTGGCTGCGATAGCTACGCTATATGCCCCACCTCCAGGTGACGTTGGTTGGGGGGTGGGAGTCATATGGTCCCGGAGTTGGGTAGTGCGCAGGAGAGGCAGCAGAGTAGCTTGGATGGAGCATCGGCATCGCAGCCGACGAAGTTGAGAGATAGCGGGAGAAAAGGGGGGAGTTACAGTGCAGAGGACAGGGGCCAAACGGATTGTGCTCCTGTAAGAATTAGCTGGTCCAACAGTGTTGACTTTCATGCGTTACCCAAACAGGACGCGCCGATGTCGGCTAGAGGCGCATAGCAGCGGGCGGGGAGCACTGAATCATGGAGCTGCATCCCTCAGCGTCACTAGTTTGGGAGCTGGCAGGAACGACAGCAATCTATAACACCCACCAGCGCCGGCCTCGAATTCGCAATGCTGTTTTTCCTTCTCTTGAAAGAAGCGCCAACGAGGAGCCAGGACCCTGAAGCCGAAGCCGAACCCCAATCATGATAACGGAAGCACGAGAGGCGCCGCCAGCCAGTCACCCCCCGCCGCCAGTGACGCCAACTGCGCGCCGTTCTGGCGACGGCCGCTGGCCACCCGATATATCTTTGTCGCCCACCTCTTCGGCCTCCGAGTCTACACGCGCCATGTCGTCGACGAGCTGGAACACGCGCAACCTGGGCCTGCGAAGCGGTGCCGACATCGCGGCCGCAGCCAGCGCGGGCGTGCTTGTAGCGCCAGTCATCACCATGATCGACCGGTACGTCTCCCAAGCGCGAGTCCCGACTCGGCGCACCTCCCGGGTCGCAGATACCTATGGATCTCCTCAGCTCTTTTGAACGGAATGACTGCCCGACTTACCCGCTAACACCCCATGTAGCAGCATTATCGAAAACGCCTCTGGGCGTGCGACCCTCCGCGCCAGCCTGGCCAACAGCCTGCGCACGCTGCTGACCCGGCCCCAAGCCTTCATCCTGACCCGGCCCTTCTTCCTGATCTTCACCCTCTACACCGGGACGTACGTGACAGCCAACACGCTGGACACGGTCAGCAGCACGCTGCGCGACGCGCCCGCGAACTCGGTCACGTCGGGGCTGCCCAAGTTCGCAGCGACCAGCAGCGCGAACCTAGCCCTCTGCCTCTACAAAGACAGCCAGTTCACGCGCCTGTTCGCCGCGCCCGGCGCAACGCCGCGCGCCATCCCGCTGCCCACATACGCGCTCTTCACGCTGCGCGACTGCCTCACCGTCTTCGCCAGCTTCAACGTCCCGCCCATCCTAGCGCCCATCCTGGACGAGCGGCTGCGCCACGCCAGCGGCACCGTGGCCGCGAAGCTGCGCAAGCACGTCGACGCCGCCAGCGCCGCGCAGTTTGTCGCGCCGGCGGCGGTGCAAATCGTCAGCACGCCCATGCACCTGCTCGGCTTGGATCTGTATAACCGCCACGATGCGGGCTGGCGCCAGCGCGCGCAGAAGGTCCGCCGCGAGTGGTTTGCTAGCTGTCTGGCGCGCATGGGCCGCATTGTCCCCGCGTTCGGCGTCGGTGGCGTCGTCAACATGCGCGTGCGGAAATCGCTGCTGGGCCGGCTCGAGGACAGGGATCCTGTGGTGCTGAAGGTATGAGGTCGCGTTCGGGCGTGGCGATATCGTGATGACCACGGCGGCGGCAGCGGGGGCGAGGGCGACGACAACGGCGGAGCAGGACGACGGAGCGGAAAAAACACGACCCAATCCCGCCACAAAACTTCGCAGACCCCAAACCGCTCGCGACAGCGCTGACAACTGGGGTCTGGAGGGTATTTATCCACCGCGGCAGCTCCCGCGCAGCAGAACCCTGCCTATTACCTAACCCTGGCCCTCGCGCGGGAACCTTCGTCCGAAGCGAAGGCCGGGGGGGGGGGGGGGGCCCGGGCCCGGACGGCCGAAGAAGGAAAGAGGGCGCGCCGGGGTGGTGTGATTGTGACTGACGATTACTTACTTACTACGTCCGAGGTTACTGCGTACTAGGTTACTGCGTACGCGTTTTGGCGAACACCCACCCACCTACCTACCTGGTTGCCCGACTGCCGAGTGTCTGCTGCGTGGAGACAGCCTAACTATGGCAATGACGATGGCGTCACGGCGACGCGTGGAGGGTTGTGGCTACGTTTTTTCTTCTAAGGGAGAGCGAGATTTGGAGTTTTATTGGCGCGATAGGAGAGATGATGGGGTTGGCGTTGTGGGCTTGTTGGTTGGTTGGTTGGTTGGTTGCTTGTTTTCTTGCTTTGATTGCTTGGTTGCTTTAAGTAGAGAGACAGAGGTTAGAGTCGTGCGCGCGGGGGAGAGAGAGAGGGGTTGGTTGGGGAGAGGATTTATGGAGCAGAAGCAGAGAGAGATAGCCTGCTAACTGCGCAAGCGAGCGAATGAATGATTGAAAGATTTACGTATACACGAGGAGTAGGAGTAAGGGCGGACTGCTGGCTTGAGGTGGGGTGTGAGGTGTGTGTGTACTGGCATAGGTACACACATCATGCATACATAGCACTAAGATTTGGGGAACTAATTAGGAGTGAAATGTGAGTTTGGTAGCGCGTAATGGACGAGATTGGGAGGAAATGATAAGGAGGTTAACCACTCGAGTCGGTAGGATACTACTAGTGACTCGGCTTAGGTCTGGCTGTTCTTGTTGTTGGAAGGGGAGGAGGAGGATAATAAGTGATTGGGTTTGTATGGATGTGTGGGAGGAGTTGGACACGCTGTTGTGCATTGTCAAGGTAGGCGGTTGTTTGCACTGAGCGCGGTATAGCAATAGAACGCATAATAAAACTGCCACAAAGGCTATGGTATCCTTTTTTCTCGCCTACCACCCGCACATCTTACAAACACCCTCTCCAGAGTCCTAAACCCAACCCACAACTACCGCCATTATCATCTCCCTCAGTTATCAGTATGCCTATTCCCATGCAGCCCGCCCTCAAACATCAAGTTGTCAACATGCACCGGCCCATACGGCAAGCCACCGGGCACCTTCTCCATCAGCAAGTGCTCCGTGAGCTTCCACAAGCACTCCTGCAACGCCTCGTCCTGGGCCTCCTTGCTAGGCTCCGTGACCTTGCGATCAGGGACAATATACTGGCCCTGAATCTTCTCCTTGACGACATCCTCACTCGTAGCCGCAAACAGCGCAGCACGGCAGCCCTCGTCGATAGGGTCCTTGAGGAACGGGCGTATCGCCGCGACGCCGACCTTGCCGAGGGTGCCGTAGGCCTCGACGGCCTGGTCCTGCTGATCCGTCTTCACGCCACCAGGGTGCGTAGCGTTAATCCAGGGGCCGTGAGCGGTGCCGTTGCCGGTGAAGCCGAGCTCGTCCTTGGCAGCGTGGCGGGCGAGGGAGCGCACGAACAGGACCTGGGCGAGCTTGGTGCGGTTGTAGAGCTTGGTGGGCCCGATGTCGCGGTTCAGCTCGGCCAGCGACGCAAACTGCACGTCAGAGATGGAGCGGTGCAGCTCGCTCGACTGCAGCACCAGGCGCGAGTTGGCCGTCTTTTGCAGCACCGGCAGCGCGCACATGACCAGGTGGAACTGCGAGATGTGGTTCACTTGCATGTGCGAGTCGATGCCGTCGCGCGTCTCGTTGTACACGCCGACGCCTAGCCCGGCGTTGCAGATTAGGCCGTCCAGCTGCTCGAGCTTGGACAGCTCTTTTGCTACTTGGTCGACTTGACTGAGGTCCTCGAGATTGCACTTCTTCCACTCGACCCGGCTCACGTCGCCGTATTTCTTGAGCTCTTCTTGCGCTTCTTCGGCGTGCTGTTCCTTGTTGGAGAGCAGGTAGATCTTGGCCGCGTTGTGCTGGAGGAGATGGGCGACGATACCGAAGCCAATGCCGGCTGAGCCGCCAGTGACGACGTAGACCTGAGGGGCTGTCAGTCATACTGTCATCCTTTATGAATGCTACTGCGAGCACATGGAGGTATTCGTACCTTGCCATTGAGGTCGGGGATGTCCTTGTTGGGATCGAACTTGTTACCGGTGAGGAACGACATTGTGAGTGTGTATGGTGTATGGTTAGCTCAGGCAAGCAGATCCAAAGGAGCTCCTCAGTGTTTATGTATAGAGAGTAGTACAGCCAAAATGGCGGGCGTCATGACGGCGGATGATGTCAAAAACGACAAGCTCACTTCCCCATTCGGACGACATTCCTGCAGCGCATCGCGTGCTCGGCGCACCGCATCGGGCTGGTCTTTTGCCGGCTTCTCGACGACAGCGCGAGCAGCAGTGAAGTAGCAGTCACATCAATGTCATGATAGATGGTAGATAAGATGCGCAGGCGATAAAGTGGGCCGATTTCCACGTCTCCGCGCGCGCAGCCTCACCGCCCCTCGCACCGCCCACCCACCGCTCGCGCCATTGACTTTCCCTCCGAAAGCGCAACCTGGCGTCGCGGTCCCTTTTCCTCTTCTCTCCCCAGCTCTCTCACACTTCTCAATCCCCTTCCTCTACGCCCACCATGGTCGAGTGGTACGAGCCCGACAGCTGGGTGACGAAGCTCTTCGGAGCCCACCTCAGCACCTTCATCATCACCGTGCTCGTGGCCTTTGGCGCCCCGCTGCTGCTGCACATGTACATCTACCGGCAGCGGGCGCCAGCCAGCCTCCCAAACTTTGTGCTGCTCGGCCCCAGCGCCGCGGGCAAGACAGCCCTGCTCACGACCGTAAGGCCCAGCCCAATCCAATGCCTCCTCCAGCAGCAGCAGCAGCAGCAGCAGCAACAGCCAAGTGACTGACCACCACCTTTTCCCACACAGCTCGAGACCGGCCAGCCCCGCGACACGCACCCCACGCAGGCAGTGCACAAAGCCACGCTCACGCTGCCGCAAGACTACACACCGTTCTCGGCGCGCTACCGCAGCGTGAACGACCCATCGGCGGTCAAAGGGCGCCAAGCCTACCTGACAGACACACCGGGGCACGGGAAGCTGCGCAGCGCCGCGACAGCCACAATGGCCTCGGCGGCGAACCTGCGGGGCCTCGTCTTCGTCGTGGACGCGGCCGCGCTGGCCTCGCCCGCCGCCCTCAGCCAAGCCGCAGAGTTCCTGCACGACGTGCTGCTCGCGCTGCAGCGGCGCTACACCAGCGCCAAGACGAGCCGCGGGCCCAAGGCGTGCCCGGTGCTCGTCGCCGCCAACAAGAGCGACCTGTTCACGGCGCTGCCGGCGCAGCTCGTGCGCGCGCAGCTCGAGGCCGAGATCACAAAGGTCAGGAGCGCGCGCGCAAAGGGCATTCTGGACGTCGGTGTTGGCGAGGACGCTGATGCCGCTGCCCCCGATGCCGAGTGGTTGGGCGATGGCGGCGAGGGCAAGTTCGAGTTCCGCCAGATGGAGGAGGTCAACGTCGTTGTGGACGTGGTTGCCGGGAGCGTGACTGGCGAGGAGGGCCCCGGCGTTGGCGCGTGGTGGGAGTGGATTGCTGGGCAGATGTAGATACACTACTTCTACAACATACCTGTACCTGAACAGCCGGGTCGGGTTACGGTGGGTTGGGCTTGGTTGGGGCTTGGTTTTGCAACGAATGTCGATATGAGAAACGAGAAAATGGCCGCGAGGTTGGCAGGCTTGCTATTGTCTAATACCAGAGGAATTCACCGGTGAGGCGGCACGTGGCAAGGACGACACCCGTCTAGTATATATATATATATATATATATATATGTATAAACCTATATATATACTAAAGTCGGGGGCGTAAATATTGTTACCCTCTACACAGGCAACTACCCTCACGAACAACACATCTATGCAGCGATGTACGAGCGCTAGCTAGCTATAAATCGATCCGCCAAAGCGACTTAGGTGCTTATTACCTAACCTTGTCTATATATTTACGCACACACACACACACACATACAAGCTCCTACATCCATAACAACCACACCACACCAACAACGAACCCTCCCCTCCCCCTCCCATCCCACAGCCAACCACAACCACCCAGCAGCACAAAGACCCCTCTGCGCCCCGCACGCAGCCCAGCGCAATCCAATCCGCGCAGTCCAAGCCGCGACACCCGCCTCCGCGCATCCCCAGTCGGCACATGCACACTCCCTCCCTCCCTCAATCACTCACCGGCGACCGGCGACCGGCCCGTCCGTGTGCAGCCGTGTGCGCGTCCAGCACGATACGGACCAGGCCAGGCCAGGCCTGGGCCATAGAGACCAGGCCATAGAGGCCAGGCCAGGCCATCGCTCACCAGCACCGGCATCTCCATCGTATAATATATCTCTTTCCTGCCCATGCCCATGCCCACGCCCACGCCCATGCTCTACGCTCAGCCCATCTCCATCCTATCTTCTTCTGGAAGCAGCCCGCTGCGGCCCCTGATCGACACGGGAGTCTCCGGCCGCGCTGCCCGTCGCCCACATGGCATGGGCAACGCCAACTTGACCTTGGCACACATGGCGCATGCCATGGTCACACAAGCTACTTTTCATCGTGCTTTCAGTGTTTATAACATACGCACACGCGCGCCTTGAATTTCCCTACCTGAAAATAAAAAGATGCTGGCTGTCTTAGTTGCATAGCATACGGATCCCCATCACTGTGTGTGTGTCCGGGTGTGTGTTTGTTGTTGTGAGAAAAATCCTTTATGCCTTTGTGTGATGTGATGTGAAAGCCAGCAACCAACCAACCAACCATCCACTCCTCAATCCCAACCCATGCGTTCAGCGTCCCGAGATTCCTGCTACTGCTACTACTACTACTACTACTACTACTACTACTGCAGCTTACTCTACTCCTCCGCAACCAGGTTCTGGCCGTCCCTGAGACCCTCGACAACAAGCTCCTGGCCCTCCGCCCGCTTGTAGATGTCCCTAATGTCATCTGCGATAGTACGTTAGCTTGATACACTCTCATCCAATTTTCGTCCCGTGTGCCAGGGCGTGTCTTACCAGTGGTGGTCTCGAAGTGGCTGGTGGCGTCGTAGCTCTTGGAGATGAAGACGTTGTCGTTCTGGCCGGACTCGGTGGGCTGGTAGAGCGGGATGGGGGGGCCCATGAACTTCTCCTCGATCTTGCCCAGGCGCTCGAAGCCGGGCTCGAGCTCAAGGTGGTGGTTGCTGTCAGTCTCGGCGATCGTGGAGACGATAGCAATGTAGTAGCCCTTGGGGCAGACGTTGTGGGTGGAGGAGACGACAGCGATGTAAATGTCTATTGATGCCAACGTCAGCGATTCATGCTCCCATTTCTGCAGTCAGGCGTTAAAGCTTACCGTTCTTGCGGCCAACCTGGCTCTGGGGAATGATGAGCTGGAGAGAGTCGGAGTCCTCAGTGCCAGGGATGGGGTGGTTCAGAATGCAAATAGCCTTCAGCAGGTGGCCGGTGGGCTTGACCTTCTGGGGGAAGTAGCTGGGGTCGGCAAGGATCTTCTTGCACTTGGTGGTGAACTTCATGCCCTCACCGGGAGCATCCCTCTCCTTCATGGTCGCCTTGATGCCGCTGACCTTGCCGTCCTCGTACAGGACCTCGTCGACGTCGGCGTTCAGCATGTAGGTACCGCCGTAGATGGCAGACAGACGGGCGAAACCCTGGGGAAGCTCGCCCAGGCCGTACAGAGGGTAGATGTAAGGCGACTTGCCGTAGCGGGCCATGGAGTTGACGTAGAGCCTGATGCGCTCAATCGTGTCCTTGGTCATGCCGGGAGCCGTCATGTAGTCGTCGTTCTGGTAAAGGGCCATCGAGTGACCGATGAAGTCACGAGTCGAAGGCTCGAGGCCGAACTTGTCGAACACATCCTTCATCTGGGCGTTGTTCAGGTCGAGACCTGATGTCGTCAGTCAGCCAATGCTAGGCGCACGAAAAAGGCGCGGATTCTTACCCTTGTGCGTCGCCGGGTCGTCCTCCTTGTAAGCACCAACCCACTCGAGGAAGCTCCTCGCGCGGCGCTTCTCAAACAGACCCATCAAAGGGGACCTCAGGGCCTCGCCAGCGTCCGAGGGGACTTTGGCAACGGTCGCCTTGGAGCCGTTGCCCTGCTGGACGAAACTGCCCGCAATCTGCTTGAACTCGAGGTATCTGGTGACGTCGGTGGAGACGAGGATGTTGGTGAGCTCGCCATTGCTCATCAGGAGCTTGGGGACGAGGTCGATGTTCCAGTCGTTGACGCGGCCGTACTTCTTCCACGGCTCCTCCCCCTGGGCGTAGTTGCCGTACTTCTTGAACAGCTAGTCGCGGGTGTAAGCACAGAGTGTGGATGCAAACGGGTCAAGGGGAGCATACAGCTTCAATGTTCAGAGAGGCAGCCTCACTGCGGGCGATGTCAGCACAGGGGTAATGGGTTGAGGGACGTCGTCACTTACCCGCCGTAGTGGTCGTTGCGGTCCATGTGAAGGACCTTCTTGCCCTTCACACTCAGAACACTGCGATTTCCATCAGCGGGGAGCTCATCGAGGCATCGTCAGCGGCGTGCATACCCGGACAGCACGCATTCCGTGAGGCCTGGGAGAGAATCAGCGTTTGCCTCGAGGTCATGGGCGGGTTGGCGGGGTAAGTACCAGTGCCAAGGACAACAACATCGTACTCGGGGGCGACTTCTTCCATGATGACTTTTGGGTGGTGTAGGAGACGGGAAAGTTGCAGAGGAAAGGTGTCAAAATGGAGAATATAAAGACGGAGGCAGGTGGTGTTGGACAGTGACTATGGGTAGATTGAGGGGGCTCGCCATGAGGGAGCTCAAGCCAGTCATTAGCGTGCAGGGGGCGGCATGAGTCGCGGAGCCACGCCGCCCTGGCCGGGCCGCTGCCTTCGCTTTGGCCCATGTCCGCCGCGTCAATAACACCTGCCCTCTCTTTGGAAATACTCTACAGTAATCTACATGTCCCTCTGCCCTGCCTTCCGCTGCCCGTGTCGCAACCGACATTAGGATTGCAGCCATAGATTTGCCAATACTGCCGCGTCTCTTGCACGCCGCTTCCGTACAAAGGGGTCTTGACGCTCTCGCTTCTCTGTTCTGCCTCCTCAATCTGCTCCTTGCCAGTGTGGCCTTCACTCCATCATCTCGGCCGTTTTTTCTATCGTCTCCGCTTCGACTTCCTTCTCTTGCAAGCAATCAGCACAGTCACAATCTCGTCAACGGTCATTACGAGTCTCGAACTTGGGTCCTGCCGAGCATGCTCCCACGCATACCACCATGAAGAACATTCCAAGCGGCTCTTGCGACTGAAGGCTCGGGCGAGAATCGACCCCGGGATATGCTGTAATCGCGGGGCCCCATCCCTGAAGGGACATGCTCATCTCATCTCCGCACGCCACAGTTTAGGGGGCTGGTGCTGTGGGAAACCAATGTATGCAGCGGAAAGCATGTCGAGGTACCGTATCACCGCGCCCCTGAGCTTCGTAATCGCCGTAACCAGCATCGATCCTCTTCCGCTCCTTCACGCACACCCACCACAGGCCGTGGAGGTCCTCCCGTGACTTTGATCTTAGCTTTTGCACTGTCCATGATCGGCCTATGCAATATAAAATCAGTAAGCCAACCTAAATCAAGCCCAGGAGTCGGACTAGAAACTCTGGCGGTGGTGTTTTTTTAAGGCGCCATTTCCCGAAAAGCCAGGTCCATTACAGTGACCGCAGCAAGAAGCTGATGGACGAGACGTGAGCAACATCTCTCCTTTTTCAAATACTGCATTTGATAGTCATTGTAAACATAAACAGCATTAAGCTCGCAGTTATCATAGCTGCGTAGATCAGAGACCAGATTTGCGGGCTTTGAGAGATGCAACTTTTTAAAAGATGATGGTACTCTCAAGAACATTTAATTAACACTGCCGCTGGCTGGCCGTTGTTGCTTGAAATCTACGAGTTACGCACATGGTTTTGCATTAGGCACCATGTTATTTACCCGTCCTTTGTTCTATTGTCCACCTCTTAGCCGCCAACACAATCGAGTCCACTATATCTCATAGTTGCTCCTTCGGTAGTTATAAATAGCTATAATACTACGCTCAGTAGTCAATACATAGCTATGAGATCAAAGGATGCGTAGGTACGGGATTATTGGGAAGTGCACGAGGGTACATATATATAAAAGCACACAGGAGTACTAGAGTAAAGGCAGGACAGTAGAAGAAAAGGCACTCTTAAGTTACAAAAATTGCATTACGGGGGTGGACATAAAAGCCAAAAAAGGGTAGGCAAAATATTATCAAGTGCCTTCTATTACTTTGTAGATTTATCATCTGCTACTAACTCCCCTGTACAACAGTACTTTTGACTTTGAAAGGATGAGGTCTGCGCTATGACCCATAGCTCAAACACGCACCCCACAGCTACGTGTATGCCACCTATCTATAGTCAACTCCATTCACACGTGCATACGGACAGGGTGTGGAACGGGGCCGTTGTGGAGTAAAGAGCATTGCCGCAGAAAACCCAGCTCTCTGTACTTGCGGAGGCAACGCATTACGACTCAGAAGTTCAGGCACAGACACCGAACTCTACTCCGATGCTGCGATGCATCTATACCCTGCAAGCGTGATTTTGGATGAACAAGTATTCACTGCGCAAGGTTGTGTATTAGAAATATCAATGTCGTTATTCGAGCTTATGACAACCGTAACTCTAGGGTGTTGTCGTGAAGGCTGAAATTTGCGACCAAACTGGATTTCATTGCAAACATGAACGACCAAAAAGTGGCTGAAGTGAAGCTGCCCCGGTGGTATTGGTGAGAGTCGAAAGTGTGTGTTGAAGCACCGGGGGTGTCTGCAGGAAGGGTGGCAGGGTATCGCCCGTTAGTTCCGTCGCCGAAGAACAAGCGTCCAGCCCAGCCGGGCAAGAGACAACCTCTCTACTGCACGCTGTGCGCCAACGCAAACGACACGTCCGCCAACCCTCACTCAAACGTACTTTTTGCCTCGCCTCGATCCTCGAACCTCATACGGTACACTGCAAAGCAGACATCGTCACGCAACCATGAATCGGCCAGGTCGGTCCTCCCGTGCGCTTGTCGCATCCCCCCCGCCGCCGCATTGCCATGCCGTCCGCCTGTCGCAAGCCCTCCTGAAGCTCCGGATGAGCCATGCATAATTACCGGGGGGTCTGCAGCTCCTCGCTCGTCGCTGAGCTCAGGCATTGGTACATGGCAAGTCGGTTGACCAACCGACAAGTGGCATGTGGCCCTCAGAGCGCCGGGGCTGCCTCAGAGCGTCTTGGCCATACGAATCGCGAAGCAAGGAGAATATCACATACTAACTTCGTCGTTCTATAGGACCTGGGCCGCAACAGTTACGGAACATGCCCGGTAACATGTTCCCTTCGCAGCAAACGCCGGCGGGCCGTGGAGGACCGTTGCAAACGGGCAGATTACAAGGCGGCAAGCTAGGTAGACGCCACTTTCACCCCGCGTGGACATCATATCTGACAGGCGCTTCATCTAGGCCACCAGGGATGGGGATTCACCGGCCAGATGGCGGGTGCGCCTGGTTTGACGGGAATGCAGTCGCGCGCTGGCAACACGGCAGGCCTGTCGAGCTTTGCGCAAACGATAGGTGGAGGCTCTCAGGCGCATACCCCTCTAGATCCCTCGTAAGTTTGGGCCGGTCTTCTACAGCCGAAGATGGTACCCCAAGCACCAGGCTGACTTGAGCTTTTGTCCATAGTGAATTCCCTTCCCTCTCTGGAACTCCGCAGACGCATCACCAAAACAACCAAGCTCAAGCGATATGGTCGAATCCCAACATCCGCACCGCCCAGCATACCCCAGTGCAGCGACCGCAAGGCCAAGGCGCAACCCCTCAGCCACCCTCTGCGCAAGTGAACAGACCACCTCCTCAAGAACATCAACAACAGCCGCAAGATGAGCCTCCCTCTGCGCACTCACCATTTGGAGCGGGCATGGATGATTACCGCTTTGGCGGTCAAGCGGGCGTAGGACAGCTCTCGGGAGCACCTCAGCAACAGCAGCAGGTGAACATTGAAGAATTCCCGCCGCTGGGAGGTGCGGGCGGCGGTGACATTGGCCAAGACAGGAGGACTGGAATGATTCAGAATGCAGCGTACGGAGGAGGTGCAAATGCTGGAGCATACATGCACCAGGGACGCAATGGAATGTCAAGCCCAGCAAACAGCACGCAGGGTTCCGTTGGCGCAGGCGGAGGTAAGAAAAGACTGGTCTCTAAAGTGAGAAGAATTGGAAGAACTGACTTGGCGAATTGCAGATGCGAGATCACCTCATGCAACATTGGGCGGTGGTGGTATGCAGACTATCATGAGAGATGCGGACAGAGTGGTCAGTAAGTCCGGATAACCGGCATGGTCCGCTAGTTTGCTGACACTTCGTCCAGACAGAGAGAAGAGCACGTGAAGCAAGCAATGCCTCGTACGGCAGCCAGCCTGTCGAACCACCTTCTAAGCCTGGTGAGCTTCTACAGCGATCAAGCCTTCCCGAAGCAGACACTGACTGTCTTGCAGAACAAGGTCTCGGCCACACTAGATTGTCCCAGATGAGTGAGATTGATCGCTTTGGCCTTCCAGGACTGTTGGCGATGATCCCACCAGAGAGCGCAGATCACTCCAGTTTGGCCATCGGACAAGACCTGACGGTCTTGGGTCTCGACTTAAATCGCCCCGACAACTCACCTCTCTACCCAAGCTTCGGCTCTCCGTTTGCGGAACCTGGCTCACGGCCTGTTGTGCCGGATTTCGCTTTGCCGGCTGCGTACACTGTCACCAATGTCCCACCTCTGCACACGAAGATGTCGAGCTTTTCCGATGAGACTCTATTTGCGATATTCTACCAGTACCCGAGGGACATCTTGCAGGAGATTGCAGCAGGCGAACTGTATGTCTTTGGAGCTTGATCGGATTACACTGTGCTAACGGATTGTAGATTCAATCGCGACTGGCGCTGGCACAAGGAGCTTCGCCAGTGGATGATGAAGGACACGAGCTTCCCGGCTCCACAGCGCATGAGCGAGAAGCAGGAGCGCGGCTGCTACATCTTCTTCGACGTCAACAACTGGCGCAGGGAACGGAGAGAGCTCTTGCTCAACTACGACCACCTCGATCAGCGTATCGGCACCGCCCAGCCTAATACTGCGTTATGAGCTCCCGCATCATGACGACTCCCCGAGATTCCGAAGGTTTGCTATGGTGCTCTTGCTTGTTTGAAGTTTACTGCGACGGACGAGTTTTGCAAGGTCTGCAGAGCAAGGCAAATGACCCTGCTTTTGACCTACCACCACCGTCCCATTTGCAGGTCCAACGCGTCACTGGGATGACGCATTACTTAGCACTCTTGACGATGAATGAGATATTCACAGCTCGTGGAGAGCGGCAAGATATCGTGCGAATTTCTGGCCTTGCTCAGTGCTCGTGATGTGTGCGTTCTCAGCCGCTGATCAACTTCCACAAAGTACTCACACTCGCTCTTCCCGTCAGTTTCCGGCTGTCGTCCAAATATCCGACCTATTGCGGCGAGTGCTACGTAGAAGCGAGTGTATGCCAATTTGTTTCGAAAACCAATATATAGCTACCTGTAAGAGAAATGTCCCCTACGGATTTCTCTTAGATATATGCAGTACCTAAATTTCTAGGAAAATGTATACAATACGTCCCATTTCTAGTGATGACGGTGATGGCGGTGCTGGTAGGGACAAGCAGTGGGCTATGGACTGACTCCCTACCCCGTAGCGGCCAGGATTTCTAGGAACGAGATGGATGGCGAGGTTAATTATGCCGATGAAACGGTGCTTAAGGAGGTGGTGTTGAGTGTGGTCGTAACTGCGGTCGTCTACCTACCTGCCCACGCATGTACTGTAGTAGGAAAAAACTACAAACACCACCCAACCTTAATTCACATGCCCCACGTCACCGGGACGGCACGGCACGGAGCCATCGACCCGCAAACGGTGGAATGGGCTCGCTTCCGCCTCTGCGGTGATGATGACTGAGGAACCGAGACACAGTTTCACACACACACACGCAGAGGGAGCACAAAGCACAAGGCCCACGATTGCTTGCCCGTCTGTTTCCCTACTCGGACCGTTCGTTCATCACCATGGCAAAGGCAGCATCGCCGCCATCACCGACACACCTAGCATCCTCCGGGTAGGTAGGCAAAGCGCACTCGGCCTTGGAAAAGAACCTTTGCTCCCCCCCCCCTCCCCCCCACTTCCTGACACACCCGCAAACCTGAAGCGAGATGCCACCCTTCCTAGGTAGGGAAACTCTAGCGAGAAAGCAATTACGGCCGGCCAGCCACCGTTGGCGGAGGCAGCTCCGTGACTGATGAGAGGACTGCCGTGCCTGCCCACTTCCGACTAGAGCGCACACAACGATCGCCCGCAGAAGAGGAAGGGGGAAAGGCCACGCCGCACCCGCTCACTTCCCGCCGTCGCTTCGACCTGGATCTAACATCTTCGGACAGGATGGACTCTCGTCCTCCATTTCTTCACCGCCTGCTTCTCCTCGCTCCTATTGCCAGTACGCCGTCGTCGGACTTACTCCCGTCCGCAGCCGTTTCCCGCCATCGTCATCGCTTTCCCACTACCAGTCAGCCAGCCTGTCTGTCGCTGACCCGATAGGCCCGGCTTGGTTCGACCGCGCGACTCCATCCAAGCAAGACCAATCATTCAACCGGCCGTTCCGCTCGTACTCGTACCTTCGCCGAATCCACTCCGATGTGCGACGCGCGCCCCCAAAGACCCGTCTGACAAAGGGTCATCGCATCTACTTAGTCAAAGGCCCTTCAAATACTGCCCCGCCTCGCCGACTCCTTCCAGATCTTCTGCCTTTTCTGGGCGGACTTGACGGCCAGCAGAGCCAGATACAAGCGCCGCCATGGAAGCGACGCAGGTCCCCGTCAAAAATGACGCGCAAACACTCGAATCGATTCACTACACACATCAGGACCGACATACACTTTTTTTTGTTGAAGCCCCGCGTGCACAAGGACGGCAAACTTAGGGATTCACAACCGAGTTGATCTGCATGGATCGCGCGGACGTGGTGCTGCCGCCGCCGGTACTGCTCTGTGAACCAGAGCGGTCGGTGAGGCGTTGGGTCGAGTCGGACGAGTCGCGCTTGAATGGGCCGGGCGCGCTCGAACTGCTACGGCCGCGCGCTTCAATGAACCTCTGCCATTCGTAGACGAAGTCGGTGCCGAGAGAACGGTTGACGCGGTCGTGAAGCCAGTCTCCAGGTTGCGTATACGTGAGACGCTCGCACGTGTCGAGCAAGTCTTCTGCTCCGTACTCTGTGCGGCCGCCCATGAATTCCTCGAAGTTTTTGGGCAGGTCGAGGCCCTCCCTGGTGATGACCTGGCAGAACATGTACTGAAGCGGCCCTACACCCAAAAAACCAGGAAGAGCCTCATGCGTGGCACGCAATGCGAACTTTATGGCCCTCTTCTTGGCGTCGCCGACAGAGGGACCACCCCTTGCTATGGTCTCGCAGATATGCACCACACCAAAGGCCAGCATCGGGGATTGATAGCGGCAAGTGTACTGATCTTTGTATAGTTCCAAGAGCCTCAACCCGTCAAGCGCGCTTTGCAAGGTGATTTCGTAAAAGTGCGCGCGTGTGGTTGATGGCAACTCTTCAAACTCGAGCAGAGGCCGAAAAAGCTGACACAAAGCTACATGGTAGATGATGCTGTGCGGTCGTCAGCAGCATGTCAAGACTAACCTTTTACCACGATACTCACTGTAAGAAAAGAACATGAGGAAGAGCATGGGAATATGAGGCGGAATAGGAGGCAGTATTAAAGTTGACGTTTAACGAAGTTGAAAGGGAGCCTTTCCAGTCGAGATACCTCTGGTAAAGGCTCATAATCGCGCGCGCCGTCACGCTCTCCTTGTTGCCGTAATAGGTATTAATCATATCGTAAGTGATACGGGTAAGTCTTGACATTTCCCTGGCTGTCTCAATAGCCCGGCTTGGCACTTGATGGGCATTGTTGTCTTGAGGGAAACGATAGGGCTGCCACTTTGCGTACGGACTGTCCAGCGCAACCGAATTGGATATCTGCGGAGGATGTAGGGGCGACGAGTGCTTTTGGTAAGTCATTGTTGCCCAGATGCTGGTCTGAGGTTAAGCCAAGCTCACTGGTCCAGTCAGGGGTATCGCGCACTTACGTATTCAAAGAGTGAATGCCCCAGGTAGTCAGCTCCACAGCATCCTTATCATACGCCGAATGGTTGATCTTCGATAGAGACTCAACCGCGACGCGCAGATGCGAGGTCGCTTTACGAGCTTGACGGGCGCTCAACTCGACCAAGAAAAGTATCGCGTAAGTTGAAGCATAGGTCAAGCTCTCCGGATTTTCCTCTGCTATGTCATGCAGGGCTTGGTCGAGAAATCGCTTCTCAAGCTCCTTGGCCTGAGCTTCGTTACCCCCCTGGTCCACGAGATGGAAGCAACCCATTGCGCACATTACGTTGACAAGGGCTGGCGAGCAATATACTCGGTCATCGTTGTTGAAAGATTTCATAAAATGCCACTCGCTAAACAGCATATGGGCGGGGTGCACCCACGAGAAGTACAATGCCATGAGGTGGTGTATCAGCTGCGGGTTGCTCGTCACGGCCGTCCACCGCTTCCCGTTGGCGTTTTCGGCCGCATGGGGCTCCCGGCTTACCGAAGCTTCGTACTGCTGGACGATCCAGGTGAGTTTGGTCTCGGAGCCGGGCGACAATCGAGCGACGTCCTGGTAGGGCGGGTGGCCGAGCCAGGTGACTATTTGCTGGTACGACTGACCAGCGCGCAAGCGGGCAAGAGCTTCGGGACCCTGGTCGTTGTCTCTCAGGGCCTCGAAGATGGCGTTGATGTGCGCTTCTTTTTCTTCCATGGATGACTGGAGTTCGTGGTTCTGCTGCTCCAGGCTCCGGATCTTCCGGACCATTTCCTCCTTTTGCGTCTTGACATGCACCTCATAGTGGCATTGGTCGCCAATGTCGCGGGCTGTGCATCTCTGGCAGGGATGAGGCTCATTACCATCGCACTAGGGACGGCGAGAAAAGAAAGAGAAGGGTTAGTCAAGCGTACGCAGGGTGGCGACGGAGGAGAATAAGGGGGGGGTGCGAGGGAGGTGCAGCAACAGTAAGTACCTTTGCGCGAGCCTTCTTGCAGTTGGTGCAAGCATTCTGCGACACGTGCGACGGTGCACGTCGTTTGCGGCTCCTGGCGGCGGAGGAGGAAGACCTGGCGGCACCATCGTCTCCGCTGCCGCCGTTGGAGGAGAGGGAAGCTGCTTGGGCGGCTTGGGCGGCGCCGTCAGCGGACGATTGTGCCTCTGCTGGCGGGCTGGTGTGAGAGGGGCGAATCGGTCGGAAGGCGGACATGGTAGCGAAGGGAGGCTAGGCAAGCAGTTTGGCGTGGGAGGGCCAATGGAACCTAGCCACGGCCAGAGCGCGAATGTCCGATGGGGACGTGCCCGGTGCCCGAAGGGGGAGGGGGAGGGGAGTGGGTTGGCGGGATTCGCCTCTCTGCGGTCCTTTCAGCAGAGCAGGGCGGAGCGGCAGAGAGGAGGTGCAGCGCCGACAACAACCACAGCAGCAGCAGCAGCAGCAGCAGCAGTTCCGGTCGAAGGGTGGGGGTGGAAGGGGTGGGTAGGTAGATTTGCAGGATGGGATTGGGAGAGGGGGGGCAAATCGGGGGAAGGCCAGGCTTAAGGCTGGCGGCGGGGGTTTAATGGGATTTGAAGATTAGGAGGATGGGGAAAAACAACAATTGGGATGGGAAAGGTGTGGATGGGGAACTTTTTTTTTTTTTTTTTTAGATTTTTATTTTTTTAATAATTTTTTTATTTTTCCTCTTCTTTTTTGCTTTGGGTAAAAGGCGAGCTTTGGGTGGCGGGCACAAGGGTAAGGGCATTCCAAGCAAGTCAAGCTGATCTCATATGGGGCCCTGGCAGCTGTGGCTGCTGCCGCGGCTCGAGCAGTAACAACGTGCCAGCCGCGCGCGCACGCGGGTTTTGGTTAGGGCGGGCGGGCGCAAGGCGGGCGTGCGGGCAGGGCAGGGCAGGGCAGGGCAGGGCAAGGTTTGTTGCGGCGACTTGTTAGACTTGGGGCGGCGAAGCTGACCTGCAGGCTTGTTTTGCGGGCGGCGGCGGACACGGCTCCGGTCGTGCGGGCGTGCGTGCTGTGGTAGGTGGGGGGGATTTTCCTTCCTTCTTCCTTCTTGCTTGGCCTTCTAGCGCTGCCCTTGGTTGCTTGCCCTTGTCGCGTGCTTTGGCTTTAGGCTTGCTTTAGCTTGTTTTTGGCTGGCTTTGGCTTTGCTTCACCGCGCGCGCGGGCACTACGACTGCCTGCCTGACTGACTGACAGCGGAGCGCGCGCCCACACACACCCCACGCTTTGCACGCTTTGGGCTTTGGGTGGCTGACTCGCGAGCCGAGGCCGTGGCTTGGCGTGGCTTGACTTGGGCGTGGCTGGGCTGGGCAGGGCGGCGCGTCGCGCTCTCCGCTCGCTCTGTGCTGCTCGCTCTCAACTTTCGCTAGAGACGGGAGAGAGAGCGGAGGGAGAGAGATGGACGGGAGGGGGCAGGAAAGCGCGCGCGCGCGCGTGTGTGGGTGTGACGAAAGAGGGACCGGGGGCGTGGAGCGTAGCGTAGCGTAGCGTAGCGTAGGTCGGTGGCCCGTGTGGCCCGTGGAGCGGTGCCGCGGCGCGTGGGTGGACGGACGGGGGCGGCTGTGGCCGGGGAGGAGGAGCTGCGCGCCGGGTGCGGCTTGGCTTGGCTTGGCTTCGTCGTTTGTCGTTTGTTGGAGGCTGTGGTTGGTTGGTTTGGATTGGTTGGATTGGTGGGTTGGCGGGGTGCGTGCACGTGTGATGGCACTGGGTGCTTTCCTGGCTGGGGTGGGATGTGGATGTGACGTTTTCTTCTTCTTCTTCTTCTTCTTCTTCTTCTTCTGGCGCGGGAGGGAGAAGGTTGGTTGGTTGGTTTGTTGGTAGTCCGTAGGGTGCTAAAAAGGGAGAGAGAGAAAGAAGGACCCGAATTACGGCGTCGACGTTGGCGTAGGCGTAGGCGTAGGCGTAGGAGTAAGAGTAAGAGCAGGAGTATAACAAGCGGGACTTATTTCAAGACAACCAGTCTCGAATCAAGCCATACAAGTAGACAGGCAGCCAAACTCCCCGATCCTTTTTCTCTTCAAAACCCCAAAGACGCAAGCAAGTATTCCCGAGGGCGAAGGGAAGGCGAGGGGGGATTGATTTTTTGGTTTTGGTTTTGTTTTGATTTATTTTTCTCACTTTTTCTTTTCTTGCGGCGTTCGCACCCCGCCGTGGGGTTTTATATGCGCGGCGGTGCTTACTCCGATGGCGAGGTGAGTGGTTCGGCTCGGCTTGGCTGGGGTGTGCTGGGTGTGGTTGCTGCCGCTTGCTTGCTTGCTGCTGCATGCCTGCATGCCTGCATGCCTGCTGGGTTGCATGAATGCCGGGATGCCGGGATGCTGAGATGGTGCGGTGCGGTGCGGTGCGGTACGTTGGGTTGGGTTGGGTGCAGGGCAGGGTGCTCACGCGCGGCGCGCATACATACAGAGGTACGTACGTACGTATGTACGTACATACATACATACTCGCATGGCATGGGTGCACACCTTCTCTCTTCCTTTCTTTTTCTCGGCTTGTTGGTTCTTGCTGCCTCCTGCTTCCCGTGCCGCTACTGTTGCTGCTAGCATATACGACGACAATGACTACATACGAGTACACTGTACAAGTACACATGCTCTAGAGTACGTATACTTACGTGTACCTACATGTACCCTAGGTACCTACCCATCCTGACGGACGCGCGGGCCGGGCCTGTCTCCGTCTGGAGGACTGGCTGGCTGTGCCGCAGACTTACTAACTGACAACTGACTAACTAGGCAAGTGTGTGGACGGACGAGGAAGGACGAACAGACGAGCTAGGCGCGCGCGTGTGCGTCTGCGTGTGAGAGTACGACATCTCGTCCACAGCGAAGCGAGGGGAGAGCGGGTGTGCTACGCTGCCTAATTCGGCAGACGTGTGTGTGTGGCAGCGCCGTTGTCTGTCTGCCTGTCTGTCTAGAGCAGAACAGACCACCCAGCCAGTCTACCGGGCGCGCGGAAACGCATCCGCTGCCTGGACTGGGCTGCGCGGCGCGCTCTGTCATACGGCGTACATACATATGTAGCAGTGGGCGTGACAGACGCCGCTGCCGCCGCCGCCGCTGCTGCTGCTGCGGTAGCATTGGATTGGAACTGTCAGAGGGCTTTGCGCTTCGTGCTCCTTCCACACTACTTACACCACACACCACACACCACACACCACACACCACACGCCGCCCTCGCACAGATACCTACTTATCTCCATATTGTATTATATGCGTGCCGGGATGCGGACAAGGCGTCGACGCCGGCGGCGGTGGTGGTGGTGGTGGTGGTGGTGGTGATGACTGATAGATGACAATGCGTGAGTGGGCGGGAGAGTGGGCCGAGTGGGCCACTAGATCTCGCTCGCTCCCAGTCTTTTCTGGGGTGCAGCGAGCGCAGTCGTCGTCAAGAAAGCAGAGTAATCAAGCGCAGCATGCAGCGTTAAGCGGGGGGTCGAGGGCCAAGAAGGTCAATCAGTCGTTGGTATGGCATCATAGGCGGCATCATTCGGCATCATCGTCTTTCATCATCATCAGCATCAGGGGAAAAGGGGAAGTTGGAAGCTGGAAGCAGGTTGCCGCATGCAGGTTTGGCGGATCGCGATTCGCGGCGAAGGAGGAAGCTCCGGCCGCGGGGGGCTTGGGGGCCCACTCGGCGACACCGTCGTCTGTCTATCCCCGCGGCAGCAGCATCCGCCGGCAGTTGGCAGCGTCATTGCCGTTTTGTCGTCGTTGCTCTCATCTCTGCTATGTACCTAGAGTAGTTAATGCGCACGCGCGATGCCAGGGCAGAGGAGCCCAAAGGCAAGAAGCAAGAAGAAGACGAGAGAGAGACTGCGAGCGGGCGCTCAGCTCAGTCCATCAGATTTCTACTCGTAGAATACCCGGAGCGTTGTCCGGCGGACAGGCAGTGGGATCTTCTCCCCCATCCTTCCGCCTTCCACTTCTTCCCGCGAGCAAGCAAGGTTGACGTTGACGTTGGTGTTGACGTTGGCGTCGGCGTTGGCGTCAACGGGAAGACGTCAAACGTCGCGAGTGACGGAGGTGACCCCGCCCGCGCGCGCGCTAGTCGCTTAGGGCCCGAGAGCCGGCTCGCGTGCGTTGCGTGGACCGAGGTCTGGCGTTTTTGTTCCGAGGCTTGAATTGAGACGCTGGTCGCGCGTAGTGTTTATTAACTTACTCTGCCTTTCTATGTCTTGCCATTATACACTACACGCGCAAAACCAGCCATGGCGGGAAGAAACAAACACAAACACAACCAAGCCCCCAGAATATCGACTCCAAACCCCCTAAAACCCACAAAAATCACACCCACAGCCTTGAGGTGTGGTAGTTCCCTCGTGCAAACGACAAGGGTGTTTAAGCAGGGAGGGCCTGCACTGTCTGCAACGCCCGCAGCAACCCAAGCCTGCACGCTGCAGCCGCGCGCGCGCGCGCGCGTGTGTGTGTGTGTGTGTGTGTGTGTCATCCGGCCACCATCGATCCATCCATCTCACATCTCACATCTCACTAACGGCAGGTTGGCTGGATGAATATTCTCGGTCTGCAGGCGTGTGTCCGATCTGAGTCTGACCGTGTGTGTGATGGTATGCGTCCTGGCGTAATCCGTACCTACTGTAGGCGGATCCCGAATCCGATCAGGCTGATGATTCATCCCATCCTCTGGCTGGGCGAATAACCCGATGGGCAAATGGGAGGGCAGATGGGCTTATCTCCGCGGCTGATGTGCTTCCATTCTTTGTTTCTGCTTCTGCTTCTATTCCCGGGAGCTGCGTGAAACGCGCGTGAAGAAGGCGGCCCGTGCCCGCCCTGGACAAGGCAAGACCGTCGACTCCACCTGCCTGCGCGCGGGACCGACGTGACAGGTCGTCGGCCCTGGGCCCGTTGCCGTGAAGATGATGCGTCTTCATCACTCTCTACGACTGCGGATTGCCGTTTTCGTCTTCACCGTCTCGTTGTCTCTCTCTCTCTCTCTCTCTCTCTCTTTACCTTCACTCTCTCGAGTCTCGCCACAATTCCTCGCCATCACCCTTCACGCGTTTTTTCTTCGTCGCACCGCACAGTCCCCGTACAACCCAAGGAGCCGATAATCCTCACGTCCGTCTCAGGTCCAGGCTTAGGTCCCGGTCCCGGTCCCGGTCCAGCTCTTGTGCTTGTTCCACGCAACACGCAACACGCAACACGCAACACGCAACACGCGCCTCGGTCTCGTTGGCTCAAGCATCCCCGTTACTTTTCCTGTTCCTGACTCTCGGCCCTTGCCTCACGCTGCTCAATCCATGTTCCCTGCGCCTGGGTCTGGCATGGCATGGTGGGCCTTGCGGCTGCGCGCTGCGTTTCTTTTTGCGTTGTCAGGAGGAGGAGGAGCGGGAGGAAGAGTTGGCCTCGCCGTAAATTAACTAACTGCCATACCGTGCCGTGCCGTCGTCTCTGCTGCCCGTCTCTCCAGATGGTGCGTTGATGGACTGGTTTCCTGGTTGGGCTGCCGGCTGCGTACGTACCGTACCTGCTGTACGAGAACGCTGGGCCTGTTGACGGCACACGCAACCGCCCGTTTCTGAGATCGATCGTGGTGTCTGCTCTCACTGCCAGTCTCTGGATCTGTTCGTTGGTCCGGGACGCGACTGTGACTGCACGAAAGCCCGTTCTCCCATACTCAACACCACCATCATCACCACTACCACATCTTCACGCCACGCACACACAGCAGCAGCAGCATCAGCAGCTAGCACCCACCCTTCATCCCGCCCCTACCGTCCCGTCCCGTCCCGTCCCGTCCCGCACACAGCGGCACAGCACCACAGCGCCTCCTCTCTAGACCGCTCTTTCCCTTCTCTCCCCACGCACACGCACACGCACACGCACGATAAACTTCGGCCGTACATACGTCCCATAACTACCGCAGTCGTCTTGGGCGTTTTCTGCATGCCTCGCCGCGCCGGCTCAGACAAAGTTAAAGCCCCGGGCCGCGCGTGCGGTGCAGTGCGTATCTGCACGCTTGTAGCAGTCTGTACTGCATGGATGTGGGTAGGGATGCGTGTGGTGGGTACGTGCGCCCGCACATGCTTGTCCCGTCGATGTGTGTACGGTGTAATTCGGCAGGGGCTGGGGCGCCTGTTGCCTGCGTTGCCTGACTGACTGACTGACTTGCCTACTTAGTTACCTACCAGGCAAGGCAAGCAAGCACGGAGGCAAGCAGGCATAGAGGCATGACCGCCCGCCCGCCCGCTCGCTGGGCCGCCATGCGTACGTACACTAGGTACGCTCTCGCTCCGGTCACCCTACCATGGGAGGAAGTAAGTAGGTAACACATCAACAGCAACAGGGCACACCCCCCTCCCCCTCCACTGCACAGCACACGCAGGCAAGTCCACGCGGCCCAACCCATCCAAACGCACCTCACATCTCACATCTCACATCTCACATCTCAATCCCACATCCTCGCCATGTATGGCAATCCATCTCACTCGATCCCGATCGCGACTGCGCACGTCCGTACCGTACCACGGTCCCGGACCCTCTGCCATCAAGGTATCGACGTAGGTAGGTACCCTGAACCTCACTCGCAATCCCAACGCACGCAGACGCGTGTATGTACGCGCTCTCGCGAGCTCAGTGAGTGGTGAGCCACACCTACCGTACTTTCCTGGCCGTGCAGGGAAAGGAGAGGAGCTCCGACGGCGTCTCCGGCGTCTCCGGCGTCTGCTGCGCTTGTTTGACGCGCGCTGCGCTGGACGTCTACGACCTACCTTACCTACCTTACCATTCCCTAGGAGTACCGCATTCTATCCCCTACCTACCATACCTTACCGCGTAACCTACCTACAGGCGCGGCAACAGCAACAGGCGCGGCAGCAGCAAGCACATCACATCAATAGCCAACACGCACCTTCTCTGAAGACGGCGCATTAAATGTGTCGTGATAGAAGTAGTAGCACAGCAGAGCGGGCATTTCTCCGCCGCTGAAAAAAATGACAGAACCAGAGAAACAGAGAAACAGAAAGACAGACAAACGGGCGGGAGCGCCTCCGCGGGCCTCGTCATCGACATAGTTACTTTCCTGCATTGCGTGCGTAGAACAGAGACGACGGAATGCCGTTAGTTACCAGCCGTGAATATCTGATTCTCTCTCTCTCTCGAAAGAGAGAGAGATGGCGTACGTTATGTACACATCTGCGCTTCACTTCACTCCCCGTGTGCATGCATGTATGTATGTCTGCCTGTGTTTATGGAATCGAATCAAATCAAATTGTATCCATATCCATATTGTAGGTCCCATGTAGAGGAAGACTCCTGCCCTAATCTAGGCACAAGATCTGGCCAAGCCTGACCAAACAAGACCAGACCAGACCAGACAGGCAGGGAAAGTCCTTCCCGACATCAATCAAGGGCGCAGAGCAGAGCAAAGCAGAGCAAAGCAGAGCAGAGCAGAGCAGAGCCCCGGAGCAAAGACAACTCAACACAACAACAATGCAGCCAAGCCAAGCCGAGCCGAGCTAGCCAGCCAGCCAGCCAGCAAAGAAGGAAGCGTCTTTCTTTCTTCTTCCCAGCCGCGCTCTAGTTAGCTACACACATACACACATCACACGCGCAGGAGCCGTCTCCGCAGCATCAGCAGCAGCAGCATCAAGCGCGTCCTCTCCGCTCACATCTCCTACCCTTCCACCCACACACCCACACATCCCACGCTTAGTCTGAGAGACCGAGCTCCTTGTAGAAGGGCTCGGTGCTAGGCAGCCGGCCCAGGAAATCCTTCAGCGTCTCCATCTCCTCCTGGCTGCCGCCGCGCTCCAGCACCGTGTGCCGGTACCGGCGGCCCTCGGTCTTGTTCATCGGGTCCTTCTTGAAGGCGGTGTAGAACATGTCCGTCGAGTAGACCTGCGAGCTGTCGTGTGCATTAGCCTCTGCGCCCGTGCGGGTGTGCCAAGTCTGGTCTGGTCTTGTGCTGTGCCGTGCTGTGGGTTGCGCTTGGTGCGTGAAGGAAGGGGGTCGTGCGAAGAAAAACGACGACAATATCGCGCGCGGGGAATGCTCCTGCGTGCATATGTATGTGCGCGTCTGAGGGTTGCGCTGCCTTGCGCTGCCCTGGGCTGTGCTAGTGCGCTGGAGGCACAGAACAAGGCAACGCCCGGAAAAGGAAGGCAACGCGAAGAAAGCAAAAAATAAAAGCTTTTTTTGGTGCCCGTCTCCTCCGCACGTATGCACGGCGCCGAGGTGACGAGGCGCCGTGCTAGGACGCACAAGATTATGACAGACCGCCGCATGCCAAGCTGCTGCAACAGACAGGCGACACGCAACATGGCACATCAGCCGCGACCCACCACGCCGGCCTCAGCAGCACCATATGTAGCCAAGCAATAGTCAGGCAGTCAGACTGGCGGCAGTAGCTGCCCAAACGGGTAAACCGAAGCCAGCCGCCACCTTTTCGTGCAAGGGCTGCAGCGCCGGAGCCTGAAGGCTACCCGCTAGCGTCATCTGCCGTCTGCCGCCTGCCGCCTGTCGAAGTCTAGATTGTGCGACCCCGCGATTTGTTCCGGTGGTAATTGAAATAACAACACGTGGGGGCAATAAAACTGAAATGCGAGAGATCAAAGCGTGACTTACCTCAGATATCCGTAGTAACCAGCATCGTATCCTCCGATCAGATGACCAAATGTCGCCTGGCCATTGCCCCAGGCCCAGTTCTTGCTGCCGCCGTCTTGCGCCTCGGGGCCGTCGAGCTTGGAGATTTCAGTACGCAGCCGGTTGTACGTCTCAGAGACGGGAAGCTTCTCGATCTCCTCGTGGCTGGCCGGCGTGTGCACCGTCATGTCGAAGATGCCAAAGTGCAGCTGGCGCAAGTTGAAAAGAGCGTCGTTGACGTGCTTAGTATCGATCAACGACTTGATCAACGAATCTGGGATGCGCTCCTCCGGCTTGCTGTCAGATTTGGAATCGGCTTCGTAGGCGGCCTTGTACTCGGGAGACAGGTACGAGTAATGATGCGACAGCGACTTGAGCTGCGACGGCGTCCAGCACCAGTTCTCCAGCATCTGGCTAGGCGCCTCGACGAAGTCGCGCACGGTGCTAGTGCCATGGAACTGTGAGTATGTGGTGCGAGACACCAGGTCGTGGATACCGTGGCCCAACTCGTGGAAGAGCGTGACAACTTCCTCGTGCTTCAGCAAGCTGGGCTTCTTCGGGGTCGACTTGGAGAAGTTGCAAACCAGAGCCGTCGCAGGGTAACGGCGCTTGCCGTTCTCATCAATGTAGCCCTGGAACGCATAACTGTTAGCACAGTCTGATGTTGAACGGTGAGGATGCTACGCATGATTTGGGCACTTTTCACTTACAGGTTGCAGGTTGAAGTTGGCAGCATGTCCGTACTTGCCCTCACGCGGGAACAGGTCCAGATACAGGTAGCCAACGAAACCTTTACCCTCACCCTCATCGTCCCAGACGCTGAAGACCTGGACGTCTTCGTGCCAAACAATGTCGGAGCCCTTTCCACTCTCGGAAATCTTGTCGCGGTCTTCGCCCGTAATCTCTACAAAGGCCAAGCCAAACAGCTCCTCGAAGATGCGTAGCATACCATTGATCGTGGGGCCAAGAGGGAAGTATTCGGCAATCTTGTTCTGGTCCAGCTGGTAGTCTTTCTCCAGCATCAGGCGGTCGTAGAAGCGGTGATCCCAGAGGTAGTAGTGTCCATCATACTTCTCACCACGGCTCTCGAGATCACTCTTCTTCAGTTCCTGGAGCTTCGTAATCTCTTCTTTTCCACCGTCAACGAGACGAGATCGAAGATCTGACAGGAAATCGTTGACGGTCTTGGGAGTCTTGGCCATCTTGTCCTCGATTCTGAACTCAGCGTGGTTCTTGTACCCTAGAAGACGCGCAGCCTCGTCACGAAGGACGATGGCCTCTCTGAAGAGGTCCACGTTGTCATTGCACTTGTTCTCATTCGCGACGAAAACCTTCTGGCGCACCTCCTGGCTCTTAGCATACTTGAGGGTAGGGAAGAGGTCAGGGTACTTGAAGGTCAATCTGATCTTGCCCTCGTTCTCGCCCTTGCCTTCCTCGAGTCCGGAAAGCACGTCCTCCGGCACGCCATCCAGTTCCTTACGGGTAAACCAAATACCACCTTTCTCCTCATTGAGGTTCTTCTGGAAGCTAATGCCAATCTCACTCAGGCGGTCCTTGATCTGCTTGAAGCGGTCCCGCTTTGGGCCGGCTGGGATGCCCAGACCGTTGCGGACGTAGCTCTTGTGGTTCTTCTCCAGCAGGCGCTTGGACTCAGGATCGAGGGTCTCGTTTTTCTTGAAGGCAGCATCAACCAGGTTGAAGAAGTCCTCGCGCATGCTCATTTCAATGCCGAACTTGTCCATAAGAGACTCGGCCTCGTTGGAGGCGTCACGAAGAGCCTTGTCCGTCGATGTCGCAGAGTAGAAACCCAGGATGTGCGCCTCGATGCCCATCTTGTCGTCATCCTGCGCTACCGGAAGCATGACATTGGCGAAGTTCGCCGTCTCTGGCGTGATGTTCTTGACAATGTCATCCTGGACAGCTCGAGATCTGCCAATCTACGCCATGGTCAGCATCAACGCCCAACCTTGTTCCCAATGCGTATATATATCATACCAGACGCTTCGTGTCATCGATAATGCTCTTCGCAGTCGCGGTGAACTTGGGCGGTGCCTGGGGCGGCGACTTGTACTGTGCGGGAGCCATGGTGACGTTGGTGAGTGGTCTCACCGTTTGATAGCTAACTCGCGCACCCGGCCGCAGAGAACCGAGTATCGACGAGAGGCGGGAGCTGGAGCGCGCGGAAGCCAAGATGACGGAGATGAGGAGGAAGAGGAGGACGCTAGCAAGCAACAGCCTATGTGATGATAATCGTAAGCCCGCCAGATTTGCGAAATAGTTACGTATCTGGCACGCAGGCCGGAGGCTTGGACGTGTAAAGGAGTGTAGTACTTTAATTGGACTGGGAGTGAGTGGTGAACGACGTGACGCGTTGGTGCTGTTGGAGGAGAGCTGCGCTGATGAGACAACTGTTGCCGGAGGTCACTCGGACCCTTGTCTTTCTCCACCCTTTTGACCTTTGGTCCTTCGTCACGAGGACCCAGCTTTCGGGGCTTAAATGACCATCAGATTGCCGATCAGGGACGGTAGCGAAACTAGAGTAGGAGATCTACGTGTAATATGAAGTAGATTTGGCGTGACTTTGTGCCCAAAGCCAGTAGTTGATAACACTGCTGCGTGTTTGCTGATAAGCCACGTATTCCCTCGCAGTGCACCACGTTTCCTTTTTATTCGAGCATCCGACTAAATCTAGTGAGCTGCAGAAATCGAAGCGAACCAAAGCATATCATTGTAACAAGGAGCCATGTCCGTCGGACTGATGACTGGAGGAAAATGTATAACCATGTGCAACAATAAATATTAGAGTACATAGAAGTATCAAGAATAAAAAAATTCAACAAGATCCGTTGTGGTCTAGTGGCTAGGATTTGCCGCTCTCATAACCAGAGCAACAACACTCTAACAAGTGCCGGCAAGGCCGGGGTTCGATTCCCCGCAACGGAATTCTCTTTTGCTTTTTTTGATGAAGTTCCTTTTTGAGTGCAGAAAGGGCTAGCCTGCCGGGTGAGCCCCGGTAGTCTTAGCGCTGGAGCTTGGACCGCTTTGGCGCATATCCAGCTCTCCTTGTCTTGAGCTCCCTCCAACTCCAACATCTTTTACTTCTTTGGCTTGCAAACCTTCTCACACTCAGTAGTGCTCTGCCGGACGCCAGCTCAGTTATGCTCTTCGTTCCTTAAACAGCAGCTTGCGAAGCATCGTGTTCTCCTCGCCGCGCAATTTTCCAGCCATCGACTTACAGTGCTCACGGACTGACGGACAGGAAGCTAATTATTTCACCCTCAGATGCCTCTGCCTCTTCACCTTAAGAGCCTACGACATTGCCAATGCAGAGCTGTGTCATTTGCCTCTTTGCCCAAGCTCGCGCTCATCCCAGCAGTTCAGCAAAGCCCATCCTTCCAGCCAACACGGACAAACCCAATTTAACAAACCCCCAGCGCAAACCACCAAGAGCCTCACCCCACAAAAGCCCCCGCACTCCTCACCCACGCACCCAGCCCATCATCGCTCCAGCCCATCATCGCTCCAGCCCATCATCGCTCCAGCCCCCTCACCCCTCCCCTCAAATCCCACGCGGCAAACTAGGTCCTCTCACCCGCTCCGCTCATGTGGTCGCCCTCGTGGCAGCCCGGGGCGGGCCCATGGGTGCAAAGGGCCCATGTTCAGCCGCAGAGTAGGCCTGGCTACAAACCACCTATTGAAGAGCTGCCTTGGCAAGTCTCAGCGTTGCAGCACAGATACGGGTGGGACATATATACATACTTGTGGCTTTGGATTTGGCGACTACAATTGGCTGCTTACGACGGCGTCGCTGGTGTGGCGTGGTGTTGGTTGTGGTGGTTGTGGTTGTGGTTGTGGTTCTGGTTGTGTGGATGTGCTGTGCCTTGTGCGTGTCTGTTTGTGACTACCTATTGAGGGGTTTGCCTGCTGCATTGCTCGGCCTCCATTGCCTGCAACAGCGCTCAAGCCTTAGTGTCTCGTCCGCGTCCTTCATTACCCCAGCCAATTTCTCAAACATATAAACCCTCTTATCCAACCACATCAGTACACAACGTCTTTCTCAGTAATCACAACATCTTCATGAAGTCCAACTCGTTCAAGGCAAACACCATCACGAAGTAGTTCAGCAAGTTCAAGGCAAGCACCATCACTATGCCGTTCAGCCAGGTCGTGTTCGTGTTCGTGTTGGGATTTTGGGAGAAGACTTTGTGCTCTTTTTTTGTTGGTTTGTTAAGTTTTCGTTTTATCAGATATGATAATAAAAACCTGCGAATAAAACCATAGACATTTTTGCTTACTCCACACACCTGTTTTGCTGTCGCTTAGTGCTACATTGAGTTATGTCTTTCTACTTGTCGAGTACTTCGTGAGTGGCTGGAGTAGTTAAAATACTATGGCCGGTTGTCGCTATGTAGTTGGAAAGATGAAGAGGCACTAAGATATGAGTGTATTTGAAAAAGGACGAGAGTATGAAAGCGAAGTAGAAAGGCAGAAAAGTACTTTTAGCAACATACAAACCTATATCCTGAACGATCCGGAAAGACTCTTAACATCCCCCTCTGGTACTGTTACAGTAGAGACTGGACCTCTTTAATCTTTTGCCGTTCTCGGCAGCCGCACCAGGCGCGACGGTAACGGTGAAGGCGGTAGCATACAGGGTCGCGCCGACGACCTCACCTCCTCGTAAGACAACCTATCAGCAGTGACACTAATCTCCCAGTCGCCGGAACACGAAGAGCTTAGGACTCGTCGGCAACAGTGTCCGGAAGAGCGCGAGGTCAGTAGATTCCGGTTCCGTCTGCTGACGAGAGGTCGCGGTGAGGCGTTTTTTGTCTGAAGTCGTTGGCTGAAAGCCTGAAAGCCTGAAAGCCTGAAAGCCAAAGTTGGGCTCGGAGTGGGGAACGAGGTTGCGGCGATATCTCTATTATATACGGAGAGAAAGACGCCATCATGGACCTGATTTTGATAGCGCTATTGGCTGCTGTGTGGGAAGAGTATCTGAAAAGGGCATCATGTAGCTTGTGGTTATGTATTGTGAAGTGAAGTCGTTGAGGTCTTGAGGTGGGGAAGCACTCTGCATTTTCCAAATTTAGATGAGAAGGCACAAGAGTGCAGCCAAACCCAAGCCAGCAACATTGAATAAAAGCTTCTGGCCTTCGCCCTCCAGCAGAAGTCCACAGACTGCGATCATCAACAGTGCCGAAATCTTCTCTGACTTGCCCTCACTCACGACCAACAATGACGCCTGTTTCAGAGAAAAAGATCGAGCGAGAGAAAGACACGATGATGGCTGGCGCGGGAGAACAGAGGGAGAACGAGAAACAAGCGCGGCCTGTAAATTAGCCTGAACTCGAAATTCTGAGAGTGTCAACTGATACCTAACAGATATGCCACATGCGTACATACGTTCAGTGAGCACACAGGCCCAGAGAATGCCGAGCAAGAGACCAGCAAAAGCGACAACAAGAAGAAGAAGGGGCGGTCGAACCATAGACGAGTGAGGAGAAAGCTCGGAAACAACCCAAGCGAATCCCAGTGAATTGCGAATAAGGCGAAGGAGAAACTGGACGGGATGTTGTAAGAGGCTAGGGAGGCTAGGGAAGTGGTATATGTCTTGAGGTCAAAGTGGACAAGACGGCTACCGAGCCTGGAATTTGGGGAAAAGACAAGGATGAGGACGATAATGATGGGGAGAAGATGACTTTGGCTCTGGCTTAGTACATGGCTTGGAAGAGGATCTAGTTAAGGACTCCGGCACGAGGACAATGAGGATGGTGAAGTCTCGTGAAGTTGTAGCAATACGGTTATCCATCTTTCGTTTGAATGTTCCCCAATATGCAATGAGTGAGACGAAGGAAGACGTTCCGGTTCGACGCCGATGCTATGCAGAACAGAAGGCGGGAGGGTGTCGAAGACGACGTTCTTTGGATAGAACCGGACTTGACGGTGTCGAAAACGACGGAACCGTGAGGTGGATATGGAGGTACGAAGGTGCTGGGGGAGAGAGTAACTGGTTGGGGCGCAGGGACACATTTCCATGCTCTCCAAGGCATCTTCGGCAAGACGAATCCTCACACTAACCCTGACCTCAACGGCATTACGGTATTACTCCGTGATCCAGACGGATTAGCTGCTGACCCTGTTAACATGGACTAAGTCTTAAAGGGTTTCGCAGTCATGTGGTAATTGACCCTGAGCGTGGTTGGAAATTACTCGATAGTCGGCATCTATCCGCAGCAATTATGACGCTCAGCATAAACTCCAAGCATTGAGCGACGTGAATTGATGCTTTCGATTTGAACCCAGAAAAGCGCAGTCCGATTGTCTTGCTCCTGTAGATGTTGTAGATGGACAGACTGCCCTTCTTACGTGTCTCTCAGGACGGTGTCTATAGATATGGAATCCATGATAGCACTTCCGCTATCGAGCTCATCACGGAAGCGGAACCACTCTCTAGCCACATATGACTCGACTTTCATGGTCAGGACGTCGGAAAGGCAGTGATGATGATAAAAATACGAGTGATCTCCGTACGATTTGAAGGAATTTAGAAGCGTTGGAAGACAGTCGGGTCCAGTTTCTCAACAACCGTTCGCGACACGAGTCAAATTACAAGGATTTGTTATGGCCCTTATCCTACCATGAAAGGCCTTGCCATGCCCTTGGCTGACAATTGGAATGCAGGCGGTGTCTTCGAGGACCTTATTGATTGCGATGCTCTCTAAGGGAAACGAGAAGCTTCTTCCCCCAATCCTGGCCGAGAGGTAGTTTTGCCGCCTGGAACTGATCCCAAGCGGTGGGTTTCTTCTCTGGAGGGTTAGTTTTCTACCCGGATATCGCAGCGTCACGCAGCGCCGTCTTACCCAGCCGGACATAATCTGACACCTCGCGCATGTTTCATAGACTAGGAGGGCTGCAATGGATGGAAATGCTTCACGAACCAACGCCGCCGCCGCCGAGCCGTCCTGCTAATCAAACCACAGCTTTGTTGAGAACATTCGTCTTTGCCGATGACAAACCTCTCTTCTAGTCGGAGTCGGAGACATGCAGTCGTCGAAACAAACATGAACTCCAGGAACGGCATAGCGATCAACGGTGTGAGAACCCTGGAGTATCGGTACCATGGTTGCGCGACCCCGGAACTCGATTTTTCCATCCGATGCTTCGACGTCGAACCTAAGGTGTGGGGTGTGGCGTTTGTTATTTGTTTTGACAGGACTTGGTACTATGTAGGTTGTTCACTAGATTCTCGACTCGAGCAAAGCTTGCTAACGTCCTGATAATGTTCAGCCGTTGATAGGGAGCTGGATCGCCGTCTCTTGCGGCCTATCAAGCTTCCTAACCTTATTCGTTAGCACGCGGGCCTTGCCCATTGTCCATATCGATCGAGTAGCCTCCTGTACGGAATGGCATTGGCATCCGCAAACTGCCTCCCGTTCGGGTTGTCTTGTCCTAAGCTCTTCACCAGCTGCCACGATCCGCTCCATCATCATTCCGGCTTGGTCTGGGGCTGGCGCTTGTTCTTGATCATGGCGAATGAGCAACAGGCAGACAGTAGGCGGGCCAGGTGGGAAACAACAGCAGGTCGAGTAGCAGGCCGAGAAGCAGACGGGGCAGTAGACCGGTCAGCAGACGAGCAACAGACCGAGCAAACAACGCGGTAGACCGAGCTGGCCCAAGCTCCTGAGCTAAGGAGGATGATTGCCTAACAAGGCACAATCACCGAAGTCTCCGGCGTCATCCCCCAGCTGGCTGCTCCCCCAGCGCACCTCTCTCCCTCCATCACCAACCATGAAGACTTCAGGAATCCTTTCGCTCTCTTTCGCCGCTGCCGCGTCGGCGCTCTCCATCCTCCGCGATGGCCAAGCTCCGCTCCAGGGCTCTACTGTCTCTGACTCCACCACCACGCCCGAGCAGTTCCTTATCGAGCTGTCGCCCGGCGAGACGAAATGGATCACCGAGGACGAGAAGTGGGAGCTGAGGAAGGTCAGTTATGCAGTACCAAACCCTATATCCCCAAAACTAACACCCGCACAGCAAGGCATCAACTTCTTCGACATCACCGATGCCCAGGACCTCGGCAGCGTCGCCAAGTCGGAGGCGACGGTCAAGTTCCCCTCCAAGCCCGCCTACAACACCACCATCAAGCCGCTGCTGAAGGAGCTGAAGAAGAAGAACATGCGCAAGCACCTCGAGACCTTCACTGCCTTCCACACGCGCTACTACAAGTCGCAATACGGGGCGCAGTCGTCGGCGTGGCTGCTGTCGCAGGTCAACGAGACGCTGGCCGAAGCCGGCGCGCTGGACGCCGGCGCCAGCGTAAAGCACTTCGAGCACCAGTGGGGCCAGAACAGCATCGTCGCGACGCTCCCGGGCAAGAGCAACAAGACGGTCGTCATCGGCGCGCATCAAGACAGCATCAATCTGTTCCTGCCGTCGCTACTGGCGGCCCCGGGCGCCGACGACGACGGCTCCGGCTCCGTCACCATCCTCGAGGCGCTGCGCGTGCTGCTGACCTCGCCCGCCATCGTTAATGGCGACGCCGAAAACACTGTCGAGTTTCACTGGTACTCGGCCGAGGAGGGCGGGCTGCTGGGCTCGCAGGCCGTCTTCCAGGCCTATGAGAAGGCCGGCCGCGACGTCAAGGCTATGCTGCAGCAGGACATGACCGGCTACGTGCACAAGACGCTCGAGGCCGGCGAGCCCGAGTCCGTCGGCGTCATCACCGACTTTGTCGACCCGGGCCTTACGGAGTTCATCAAGGACGTCATCACCGTCTACTGCGATATTCCCTACGTGCTGACCAAGTGCGGCTACGCGTGCTCGGACCACGCCAGCGCGAGCAAGGCGGGCTACCCCTCGGCCTTTGTCATCGAGAGCGACTTCAAGTATAGCGATAGCAAGATCCATACCACCGAGGACAAGATTGAGTATTTGAGCTTCGATCACATGCTCCAGCATGCTAAGCTGACGCTGGCGCTGGCGTACGAGCTTGCTTTTGCCAAGTTTGACTAGAGCTGCCTAGGTAGAGAGAGAGGTCCGTGGTTATTATTATGCTTTTACAGGGCTCGATTTGGATGTGTTGTAATGAGATTGGTTTGGGTTTGGTATATATGAGTGGTCAAGATAAGTGCTGTATAATCGAATCTGGTAACAGTGCTTTAACTGGTCGAAACTTTCGACTGTGGAAAAGACGTTTAAAATCTGGTTCCTCTTCCAGCATTGACCATTAACCTTGTCAAGGTATGCCAAAGTCCACGCAAACCCGACCCGGACACCCCTCACAAAGCCCCTACAAAGCTTCCATCCGCCAACCACCCTACTTCCCCCCCTTCCCCTTCCCCCTCCCCTTCCCTCTCCCCTTCTCAAGCAAATGCGCCCCCCGCCCCCCAGCAACCGCCTCCCACACGCCCCTCATTCCCGAAACCCTCACACGCCCCTCCCTTGCCCTCACCTTCTCATACACGCCCGGCAAGCCCTCGGCGCCGTACTTGCGCCGCAAGCCCTCGTACCACGCGCGGTCGTAGACGGCCCAGAACTCGGCCTCCGTGTAGTACGCGTTGGCGTACAGCCACTTGAAGCCGCCGAGGGCGTGGACGCACGTTTCGAGCTGGCGGTTGAGCGCGATGAAGGGGGCGTGGGTGGGGGGGCCCGGGCCCCAGAGGCCGATGTTGAGGAGTGTGTAGGGTGGTGTGGGTGTGGGGGAGGACGGGGGATATGGGGATGGGGATGAGGAGGCGGATGCGGATGCGTCGGTGGAGGTGGAGGTGGAAGTGTTTTTTGCAGCGCCCACGCCCACCCTCGCCCTCAACGGCACGGCCGCCTCGTCCTCGATCCGCAGCGGGCACAGCCACAGCGGCCACACGCCCATGTGCTCCTCGACCCAGCGCACGAACGCCTCGGCGCTGCGCATCGGCAGCGCCAGGTCCTGGATCACGTACTGCTGGGCGAAGCCGCTGGCGTTGAGCGCGGCGTACATGCGGCGCGTGTGCATGAGCGGGTCGAGCAGCGCGCGCGACACGCGGTCGAAGGGCGTGTGGAAGCGGTGGAAGGCGTACCGGCCCGTCCAGAAGGCGCCGCGGTCGTACCGGAAGAGGTAGTCTTGCAGGGGAATGAGCTCTGTGTGCGAGGGGAGCTGCGGTTGCGCGTCGCTTTTGGTGGCTTCTTGTTGTTGTTGTTGCTGCTTGCCGGCGCGCTTGGTCACGCTCGATGCGTGCAGGTAGAACCAGTTGTCCCATGGCCGCGTGAAGCGCAGTGTCTTGGTGCCTGGGGAGGAAGGGGTGTCGACTAATCGTCCGAGCATAATCGCGCCCCGCGTCGCCGAGAACAGGATCCCATCGATGTAGTTGTGGTCGCCGGCGGCGATGGCGGCCTCAATCGCCGCGACGGCGCCGCCCACACTGTCCACGACGCGGTACTCGAGCTCGACGAACCTGCGTGCAGGCACGAGGCGCAGCTCAAACAGCGTCGTCACGCATAGGGTGCCGTAGGTGCCGGGGGCGCCGTAGAAGAGATCCGCGTTCTCGGTCGGCGACGCGCGCGCCGTCTCGCCCGTCGCCAGCACCACGTCGCACCAGTTGACGGTGCGGTCGAAGAAGCCGTGCCGCCACGAGGAGCTCTCGCCCGCCACGCCCGCGAAGCCCCCGCCCACCGTGATGCCCGGGAACTCCATGACGACGGGGGGCACGAGGCCGTGCGGGAGTGTGGCTGCTACGAGCGCGTCCATGGCTACGTTCGGCTCTACCAGCGCCGTCTGTCGCTCCGTGTCGACGTGCAGCACGTGCGTGAAGTGGCTCATGTCCAGCATCTTGTCGCGCTCGAACTGCACGATCCGCGTGCTGTTGGTCGAGCCGTGATAGATTCGGAAGGGTTCCTTGCGGCGGTGGAAGCCTTGGACTTGGGCGGCAGTGGCTTTGACGGCCGCGCGATGCTCTTCCATGGTGGACAATGTAATCCGATCTTATTAGAGCGTTGACTGTTTGTAGCGTTTCTCTCTTTAAAATAGTCAAGGTGTACTGATGGCCAAGGAATACCTAGCCGGGTATACTGATAAACATCGGAAGGTGCTAACCAGCTCAAGTTGTGATCAGTCTTGACTGTATGGTGGTAGATGTTTCGAGCGGATGCTGGAAGCTGGGATGACTGGATGAATGCGCGTGCCTAACACATTCGGGGGATATTAAAAGCTCTCAAATGTGCTCGTAAAATGCTGTGACCTGGGCATTGAGTTATTCATACGCGATATTGAAATTCTAACAAATCCGAACCTTCCGAATATACACAGTGGTAGGTAGCCGGCACAGAAGCGATGATGTGAAGACGGACCACAAACGCGCCGAACGAAGGGTCAATGACTGATCAATTCGACCCAACACTCAACGCGCGACAAGACAGACGGGGTATCATAAAGAAAAAAGCGTCGCGGATGAGAGAGTGGGTGAGTGGGAGTGAGGTTGGCTAACGGGTGATTCGTGCGTCACAGTGCACCAGCCGGGGATCTCCCGGCACCAAACAACCCTGCAGCTGCCAGGGCCGGCCCGCAACGTGCACGCAACGTCGTAGGTCCCGTTTGGTTGTGAGAACATGGTTGTCGGACAAAACCCTTTGAGCGTTGGCTGTTTGTGACGGTTCCTTTTTCATAAACGCCACGGTGTGCAAACGGTCATTCAAAACCTAGGACGAACACCTTTTAGGACGGAAGCTGCTGGGCAGCTCAACAGTCTTGGACTGTATGCCTCTTGATGCTGATTCACCACCTACCAACGTGACTGGCAGGACGGCGGGGCGGCAGGACGGTATGGGTGTATTCATGGCACGCCATCACGCTACAGCATGGAGAAGTGAATGCCGCCAGCAACAACACCAAGCATGAGAGAGGACTAACTGAGGTCTAGTTCAGTTAGGCGAAAAGAACGAGGCATCATTGTTGTTGTCGGCAGCCGTGCGGACCTAATATCCAGGAATGGCAGAGGAGTGAATGCCTAACACGGCGGCGAGTTCAGCCGCGGGCGTGGGAAGAGGAAGGCGGCGCGGCGAGACATGGCGACCGTCCGTTGCGACCGGTCGCTGCTCTTGCCTATAAAAGTTCCCCGGCAACTGCGAACTGACCCTCCTTCCTCTCTCCCACCACCTGTTCTCCGCAAGCCAATTCTCCCACCCTTGGCTGGCTCCTCTCCAGATTGTTTTCGCTGGGGGCGTCGGCGACCCTCCCGCAACTCCATCTCCAAGCATTCTACTGTGTATGTTATACAGTGCCTTCTAGCTGTTGCCAGAGCTCCGCATCAACCATTCGCGCCGTCGAACCTGTCCGCCTAGCAAGCACTCTTCAGAAGGTGCTCATTAGACGATCCACCTCCCGTCTAGAATCACTTGGTATGTTCTTAAACAGTGCGTCAATAAATACTCCCCACGTCGCCTTGCCGGTCGCATTTAAGCATCCGGACTCATAGACCCTTACAGACTCACAGACTAACAAGTTCCCAGTTGACACGGCTCAGGTTAGCGTGCCAGAAACTCTTACAACCATCGCCCAGCCTCTCTCAACTTTGCGCAAAGCTCAAGACCCGAGATTGTATCAAGAATCAACACCGCCACCATGCCGCTCCAGTCCCTTGCGAATGCTAGAGCAGCGACCAAGAAGTCTTCCACGAACGGAGACACAGCCATCATGCCGTCCTCTAAGAATGCTGAAGCTTCAAACAAGACGGATTTAGGTGTCGGACCAGAGGCGAACAACAACTACATTCTCGACATAGCTGTTGTTCGTGGAGATGAGCGTTGGAAGACCACTCCGGCACCTCGACCCAACGACGAACGTCGCTGCAACGATGCTGAGCTGGGCACCAAGAATGACGAGAATTATACAAGGGACGAGATGACTATGCTCTTGATCATCGCCCACAAGCTGGATCCCAAGGAAGCGCGTGATTACTCGGGGCTTTCTAAGAAGCTGACCAAGGCCTTTGGAAGGGAGATGACATACAAAAGCGTACAGAACAAGTTGTGGGTCCTTGAGAAGACGTGGCCGGAAGAGGTTGCACGCGTCAAGGCACTGTCCCCTATGCATCGCTCGGTGCAAAACACAGACAGGTTCCTCAAGCTGGGACTTCCGCTGTGGATGCCCTACTTACTTCCCCAGAAGCAAGACAAGAGAGTCAAGCACAAAGCAGGAGAAGTGCCAAAGGCTCGTCATGGAAAGAAGATCAAGAACGAGCCAGACATAGACCGGGTCAAGACGGGTCGCGTCGCAAAGGTGTCTCCTCGTCTGACGCCAAAGGCCCGGGGCATCAAGGACAAGAATATTTTCCTCAGACGCTAAAGGCCTCATTCATAGCTGCAAGAAGGCTGGACTGAGGTATGCGCAAGCATGTCTAGCATTGCTACTATGTAGAGCAGCTGAAGCGTGAAGCTAGAGAAAGACGGACGATGGAAAGTGGCATGACAAAACGAGGGACGATTGCAGTGTTCTGCTCAAACCCATGTATTGCCGCAGAACATTAGGATGTAGATAGTAATGATAACGGCTGCTTTCCATGTATAGATATGTACAATGATGTTGATCCGGCAGACTGGTGGCAAGGTGGGACGCGCCGAACCCTGCGCGGATCGCGGCAGCTCCAACGGGCTTCCCCACCATTTCCCATGGAACGCCATCACCGCCACTACCCCCCATCCGCAACCCGCCCCCATACATATCTACCACAGCCGCGCCGCGCCGACTTCTTGCCCTCTCTCTCCGCGCGCCATGTGACCGGTCACCATACGACATTGAAAACCCGGCAAAACCATGCTCTCCGGAATTCCCTTCAAGGGCACCAGTCTGCTGTTCAAGCAGGCGGGAGGCGCAGCCGCCTCGCCCTCGCCCTTGCACCCCGCCGACCCACAGCCTGGTCGTGCTGGTGGCACCGCCCGCAGCAGCCCGTCAGATCCGCCTCGCTACCAACCCGGCGACACCGCCGTCGAACCCGAGGAGCCCGAGGAGCCCGCCCTGCAGGAGCTCAACGCCTCCCTGGACCTGCTCACCACCATCTTCCCGGACGTCCAGGCCGAGGTCTTCCGCGAAATGTTGACGAGCTTTTCCGAGGAGAGCAGGCTGGAGGTCGTCACCGAAGCGATGCTAAGACATCCCGACAAGTGGGTGCGCGGGCGGCGCCGGACGTCGGCGACAGCGGACCAGGACGAGCCATCTCAGACGGACGCGGACAGAATGGCTTTGTCGCCGGAGGATAAGTTTCGCAACAACTCGTACAAGCTCGCGGTCAAGGAGGCCATGTACCAGGAATTCAAGGGCCTGAGCCACTCGACCATCAAGGCCGTGCTGGCTGAGTACAACTACTCGTACACCAGGGCGCGCCCGACGCTGCTGAGCCTGGCCTCCAAGTCATGGAGGCTGTCCATCACCAGCTTCTTCACGCGCAGGAAGCCGCCGTCGTCGACGGACCACCCGCTCGTCGTCTGGCGAAAGCCGGATCCCAAGACGGGCAGGCCAGCCGTGCCCGGGCTAGTCCCAACAAAGAGCACCGAGCTCAACAGAGAGCTCCACGAGACACTCGTCGCGCCCGTCTTGGCCAAGCAGAAGTCGGAGCAGCTGGCGCAGGACCGCGCTCTGGCCGAGGAGCTCAACGACGAGGAAGCCGAGGCCGCGGGCGAAATGTACGATTGCGAGTGCTGCTTCACGCCTAGCGCGTTTGAGAACATGTCGGCGTGCGACACCAACGGCCACTGGATCTGCTTCCGGTGTATCCGGTACTCGATCAGCGAGGCGCTGTTCGGCCAGGGCTGGGCCCGCAGCATCAACCCGGACCGGCTGACGCTCGTGTGCATTGCGCCCGTCGCCGACGGCGTGTCCAACTGCCAAGGCTGCCTGCCTCGCTTCTCGATCGAGCGCGCGTTCGCAGACGACAAGGACGGCGCCGCCACGCTGCGCAAGCTGGAGGAGCGCGCGGCCACCGAAGCCCTGCTCAAGAGCCAGCTGCCGCTGATCCGCTGCCCGTTCTGCGCCTACGCCGAGGTCGACGACGCGCAGCTATCCTCACACAGCTGGAAGCTAAAGGCCGGCCCGCTACTGCTCCTCCGCCTACTCCTACTGTCCGCCCTGCTCTCGCCCTTCCTCCGCCACGTCCTCTTCCTCGCCGCCGCTCCCGTCCTCGCCGTCCTCGCCTCCGCCTACCTCTTCCCCTCCCTAGTCCCGCACCTCCCGCTCTCCGCGCGCCTGCTCGCCTCGCGTACCCGCGTCGCCCGCAAGCGCCGCGGCCTCAAGTTCCTATGCGCCTCCCCGCTCTGCCAGCGCGCCAGCTGCCTCGCCTGCCAGAAGGCGTGGCGCGACCCGCACGCCTGCCACGAAAGCGCGCTGCAATCGCTGCGCGCACACGTCGAGAACGCCGTCTCCGAAGCCGCCAAGCGCACGTGTCCGCAGTGCAACCTCAGCTTCGTCAAAGGGAGCGGGTGCAACAAACTCACTTGCCCCTGCGGCTACGCCATGTGCTATGTGTGTCGCCAGCGCATCGGGCCCGGCGACGGCTACGCGCATTTCTGCCAGCATTTCCGCGAGGCCGGGCGCGGTCGCTGCGCCGAGTGCGAGAAGTGCGATCTTTGGAAGGAGGGGGATGAGGATGCCGTGTTGAGGGAGGTGGCGCTTAGTGCGGAGGAGCAGTGGAGGGGGAGTAAAGAGGGGAAGGGGAATGATGGCGTGGGGCTGTTGTTGGTGGGGGGGAAGTCGGCGGGGTTGGGCGGGAGTGGGTTGGGGGGGTTGGGGTTGGGGGGAAAGGGCGGAAAGGCGTGGGGGTTGGGTATGGGTATGGGTATGAGGATGGGGATGGGTAAGGCTAGGGCTGGGGAGATGGTGTTTGTAGGCGGGCGGGGGGATGAGGGGGATGCGATGGTGGGGGAGTGGTTGGATTGGGCGCTTGAGGGCTTGTTGGCTTAGGTGTGTGTGTGGGGTGGGTGAGGTGTGTGACGGCCTACTCTTGACTGGCTTGCTCTGTGTTATTGATTGAAGGTATCTCTCTATCTCTCTATCTTTCTCTGTCTGTTTGGTCGCTTAGGTTCGTTTATACTGGGGTTAGGTTGGCGAAGGCGGCGTTTGCGTTTGCGTGGGCGTATAGGGTTTTGGGGCTGGTTGACTGGGTTAGGGTTGGGGGGTGGGATTCTTGTGCTTACCTTTTTGATTTGGTTTGGTCGTTGTTGTTGTTGTTGGGTTAGGATGGGTTGTAGTTGCGTAGCGTAACTAGCGTGGATATCAATGAAAGTGTCGCAATCGTAAGTTGTCTGTATGTGTTGTATTGCATTGTACCTATGTGCGTTTTGAACTTGTGGATATATGTCATATGTACCTCTCTCCCTCCCCCCCCCCCCCCCCCCCCCCCCCCCCCCCCCCCCCCCCCCCCCCAACCTAATCCGGCGGTTTCGTGTCCGCCCAACTCGCCCTGATGCCCGCACACACGGCCTGATAATCCCGCCACAGCGCCTCGTCGCGCTCCACGCCCTGCGTCGTCCAGAACATGGTCCACTTGGTCTGATCCCACGCGTCCAGCTTCAGCGTCCCCGTCGCCCGCTCAAAATACCACTTGTTGACCGGGTTGTCGCGGCGCGAGCGCCACACGACGCCGTCCGGGAGGCAGCTGCGCACCATGGCCTTGAAGACGACGTCGGCCACGCCGCCCGCGCCCTGCGCCCGCTTCAGCACCGCGAACTTGTCGAGGTAGGGGACGGGCGGGCGGGCGACGGGCCCGGTGGCTGTCTCGATCGGCGGCGGCTGCTCCCACGTTATGATTGCCCCGCCCTCGTACTCGCCCGCGATGATGACGCCCGCTAGCCGCCCCCGGATCCGCTCAAGGTAGTGCGGAACGTCGAGGCGGCGCCCAAACGAGTCCTCGATCAGGTGGATCAGGCGCGGCAGGTCGATGCGCGCGTCGTTGGCCAGGTCCATGGTCGGCTCGCCCGCCCGCGGCGGCATCCACGCTGCCCGCTGCGTGTCCGGGAACACGCTCAGCGGCATGCCGCGCTTGACGAACGTGGCGGGCAGGATCGACGGGATGGCCGCAATCGGCGAGTCCGGGTGCGACGACGACACCAGCGGCTTGTCCGTGAGCAGGTTGTGGATCAGCGGGTTCTTGGACCGTCGCGTTGCCACGCCGGGCGCGACAAAGGACGGTCGCCCCGCGGAGATGGCGGCCTCGGCCGGCGTGACGATGAGCGCTGACGACGAGGGTGGCAGAAGCGTCAGCGCGCGCTGGACCAGGTCCAGGTTCTTGAGGTGTCGGCTCGGTTTGCCAGCGGAGGACAGGGCCGCGCGACTGCCGCGCCGCGGCTCTACGTACAGCGAGGGGATCTCGCGCTCCGCGAATTTGGAAAACGGATTCGAGTTCCCCAAGACGGAAGATTGTTCCTGGCCGTTTGACTTCGGTAACGTCGCTTTCACAAACTCTGTCGCTTCTGTGAGATCCTTTCGGATTTGCGGGTACTCTTGCTCGAGGTTGATGAATACATGAGCCCGGTCGTCCCGGTTGGGGAACGGTATCCCGCCAAGGGGGTCGAGCACAATGACCTTTTCCAGCAACGTCGCGTGGTTTGGCCGCGCATACTCGCCCGCGAGCGCCCTCGACCTGATGCCAGAGAGCTCGCGCGTCAAGGCAAGCACAACGTCATCGGGATGTACTCGGCTTATCTTGAAGTCGTCCCTGGTAAATGCTATCGGCGGTATCACAGGGATAGTCCCGGATTGCAGCAGCGGCAAAAGCAGATTGGGGTACTCCACTTCTACTCCTCCACGAACCTGCACGCTGGATGGCAATTCCTGCTCAATGGTGGAAAGGCTCAGAGCATCGTTGACGCGCAGAGCTCCCGCGGGCGTGTGTCGGCGCAGAGCCTCGACAAGGCGGTCCGATTGCTGCATGACCTTGCGCCTCCAGTCGTTGGTAAACTTCTCTAGGATTTCCGGGGTCGTCTCTTCGTCAGGGTCAATGACCACGGCGATATTAAGTCCCAATCGGACGAGCTGGCCGAGGGTCAAGCTCACGCCGTAGAGCGTGGCTTCGTCCCACAACTGCGGCTCCCTCACCTTCACCAGCGCAACGTGGAGGGGCAAGTCGGTTTCCTTGGGCGTCTTTTCCGGCAGGGGCTGATGCGCAAAGACGGGGCTCTCCTGTATGGCCTTGGCGGGCACATAGAGGTTGCCCAGGTTGACGCCCGTCTTCTTCAGCCTCCAATCATTGTGGCGCTCGGCTGCTGCGACATCTTTGTTGGCCGCGTCCTGGACCTTCTTGGCCAGCTTAGGGAGCGACGGCTTTTGCGACGTGTAGCGCGCAAGGTAAGACCTCGCGTCGCGCTTGGTCGCGGTCGTGCTGAGCACGGACAAGATGAACTCGCGCTCATGGTCGACGTCGTCGGGATTGACCAGCTGCGACTTGCTGGGCGGATTGTCTTCGGGAGCCTCTGGGCGAACGCTGTTGCCAAAGCGCGCGACCTGCGTAAAGGGCGTGGCAGCCTCAATGGCTTCAGACGTCTGTTGGTGTTGGGGTTAGCTAGGAGCGAAATCGGAGGTGGGGTATGAGGGACTCTACGCTGCGGCGGAGGGAGCCCCTCGCCTTGAGGGCGCAGCGATAGGCGTTCATGTCTCATACATAGAAGGGAAGGCCTCGCGATTGGGACTGAGCATACTGGAAGCAGAGGAACGGGGGGAAGGGCGCAAGTGAGTCAAAAAGATGGTCGACGAAAAATGACGCCTCAAACTATCGATAACGGAGGGCCGCGACAAGCCGTTGGCTTTCCCCAGACTGTCTGTTTAACTCCGTCAAATGTCCGCGCGCGCGCGTCTCGAATTGCCGAGGGCGGCCAGCTTCCGTGGAACGGAACATCATCAGATTGCTCAGCAACCTTTACATATATCCATCTTCGCCTACTGACGCGCACTTGGTCAAAGCAGATTACTATCCATCTCGCAAAACATCAAAATGGCTCCTCAAATCGCCTGGATCGGCCTCGGCAACATGGGCAGAGTCAGTTCAACGCCAAGCACCCCGCTGCCGAGCGCCTCCCGTTGACATGCGTCCAGGGCATGTGCAAAAACTTGGTTGAAAAGGGCAACCTCGACAAGCCGCTGCTCATCTTCAACCGCACCAAGAAGCGCGCCGACGACCTCTCGGCCCAGCTTCCGAGCGGCAAGTCGGCTGCCGTCGGCACCATTGACGAAGCTGTCAAGACCTCCGACATCATCTTTGCCTGCGTTGGCGACGACAAGGCCATCAATGAAATTGTCGACGCGGCGCTTCAGAACGATGTCAAGGGCAAGTTGATTGTAGACTGCTCGACTGTTCACCCCGAAACGTCCGAGGCTCTGGCCAAGAGGATCACGGAAAAAAGTGCCGGGTTCGTCGCTTGCCCTGGTAAGTCGCGTCCCCATAACCTTATATTAAAATCAACTGACAGCTCCAGTTTTTGGCGCACCCGCCATGGCCGACAACGGCCAGCTCATTTGCTTGCCTGCCGGTCCCGCTGAGCTTGTCGACAAGGTCAAACCCTACCTGACGGGCGTCATGGGCCGGGCCGTCATCGACTTTAGCGACCAGGCCCCCAGCAAGGCCACGCTGCTCAAGGTCATCGGCAACACCTTCGTCTTCAACATGATTGAGACGCTGTCCGAAGGCCACACCATGGCCGAGAAGACTGGCCTCGGCACGGAGAACCTGCACAAGTTCGTCGAGCTCATGTTCCCCGGCCCTTATGTTGCGTATTCAAACAGGATGCAGTCCGGGGACTACCACAAGCGGGAAGAGGTGAGTTTGATCGCCATGTAGTTGCACTCGTATATCGTATTTGGGCTGATCCCTGTCCCGTATAGCCGCTGTTTGCCATCGACCTTGCCAGGAAGGATGCCAGGCATGCCCTCGACCTGGCCAAGAACAACGGTGCTAGAATGCGTGCCGTCGAGGTTGCGGACGCACACTTCGCCGATGTACAGAAACACGTTGGCTCCAAAGGTGATGTTGCAGGCATCTACGGCGCCGTGAGACAAGAGAGCGGCCTGAAGTATGAGAACTAGAGGCCAGCAAGGCTGTCCGCTCCAAATCTAGGAACAACGACGAATGTGATGCCTGATGTCTCCATATTCTCCCTACAACTCGTCAAATCGTGAGAGCTTCCTTGAACGTTATCTGGATATGGTACAGCTTCTCTTTTGTTTTGATGCAACCGGATGACACTCGTCTCCTGCACTACAGTCAAGACTGAATACAGCATTTGAGCTGGTCAGCAGCATCCGAGTGTTAAAAAGACGTTCATCAGTATATCCGGCTAAGGTTTGCGTAGTCCATCGCACGCCTGAACCGTTATAAAGACATACTTTACAAACAGACAACACTGAAAGGAACCGGATTATAAACGTCTTTTCAACAGCCGAAAGCTGCTGTCAAGCTCAAACGCGATAACCAGTTTCGAAGAGCCTCTAGTGAGTCACCGGCTAGTACGAGGCTTGGTGGGACTCAATTGGCCGGTGCGACCACGCAAACCGCTTTCAGTGGCTGAAAGTCAATCTCTGCTATGAGTAACACATCGACTCCTCTGCATTGTTGCAAGATCGCAGTCCGATGCGATCCTCTTGAGCTTTGCTTTGCTTAATCGAAGGTCGATGTTGATGGAGCGGCTCGACGACTGCTTGATGAAGGTGGCCACGAGAATTGATGAAAGTTCGTCTCATCGAGCCAGGAGACACCCACCTAGGCGACAAGACGCCAAACCAATGGGCTGTCGGCATCTTGCACGTTCCTTGCTGCATCAGGATGACTCCAACGAGGCGCCGGGCGTTCAGCACGTGTGGAGAGTCACGTCTCGCTAGCGGACGATGACCGCAAGATCTCGGTCGATCTGCGCTTGGCGCGTGGCCTTATCTCCCATCGCATCGATTACCTCCTTTGCCTCTGCCACCTTTCATTGCTGCATTCGCAGGTTCCGCATCGTCTGCGCGCTTGATCACCGCAGGCACCGTCGTCCGCATCATCGCTCATCACCTAGATCTATAGGACCGTCGCTAGGCGCATCGCCACGCCCTTATCTCATCCATCTACAGCACAGCTCGCCATGGCCGTCCACCCCGAGATCGTGCCTGACCGGGCTCCCCAGCCCGCTGCCCAGGACGCCGGCATCGACATCGATGCCTGGCACGACGAGGCTGTCCAGGCCATGACCGCCGTCACCATCTCCGCCCCGTCGCCCGTCCGCGGCACTACCGTGAAGCTCGACATCCCGCTCGACGACCACGTGCTGCCGCGTGGCGAAGAGGCAGATAGGACGGCGGGGCAGGCTGTGCGCTCTGGCTATATAAAGCGGAAGGAACCGCTGCGGCGGGACAGTCTGAAGCGGCGCGAGGCGCTGCTCAAAGGCAAGGAGGGGAGCCGGCGCCGGCAGAGGTGGGAGAATGGTGCGTGCTGAGCGCAAGAGCTTGCGATATACCTCTTCCTTTCCGACAATTGTCGTTGATTTTTGGTTCGAGCAGACCGTCTCCTGAGCAACCCGTACGCGCAGCCACCCCTGCCCGCAGACTGGGAGATCCGCCCCACGTACCCCGTCCAGGCCGTCCCGTACTATCTCGCGACGTACTGGGACGCTGAACTCGCGGCCCGGGCCGCCAAGAAGGCCGACCAGAAGAAGGCTACCAAGCCCGGCGTCACCAAGGAGGAGACGGATGCGGGGAAGGTGCCCAAGGAGCTTCGCGAGAAGCTGAAGCGGGCGCGTGGCGCGAAGGGCTTGCTCCGCGACCTTGAAGAGGAAGTGCGCAAGTTTGTCGAGTCGTGGGAGAAGCGCTCGAAGGAGCGGGAGTTGGAGAACCTTCCGGATCCAGACTCAGAAGACGAGGAGATTGTGTTTGTGGGTCGCAACGGTCAGATGAACGATATTCGGGCGGCGGAGGACCAGCTCAAAAAGGACATGCTGGTCTTCGATAGTCTGGAGACGGACGGGGGCGCTGCTTTTGGGTAAGTACAGTGGCTGTGGTGCATGTGTGCGTGACAAGGGTGATGCTGACGGCTGCAAGGCGCTTCCTCGTACATTCGATTGGCGCTTACTATAACCTGCGAACATGGTCCGTCACCAGGGGCACCCCCGCGAGACGGGAGGCCTACGTGGGCATCCGCGAGAAGGCGCTGAAGACGGGCCATCGCGTGAGCGCGAAGAGCAACAGCTCCCTGCCGCAGCCGTTGTGGAGCATGGTTTAAGTGGTGGTGGTGGTGTTAGGATTTGGTGGTTGGCATATCATCACATCACCACTTGACGAGCTGTCTGTCCATAACTTTCTGCATTGCTCTAGAATTTTCGAGCTACAATGGTTGTAGAGAACAAAGTCGACGCGACGCAACTGCAGCGTGTTTTTCGAGATTTTCTTGAGTGTGAGGACGAATGCGTCTTCAGCCCTACAGTGGTGCTGCCCTGCCGCGCCTAGCGAGTCTTTTCCACTGCCCCTTCAACGCCCCTCCCGCTTTCTCTTCACGGCACCTTGGCACCACTGCAGGACATCTTTAATTAAATCTCCGGGTCTCACCGAGACACCATGTGTCCGCTGCACCCACCTGGTGAGTTATTTTTTTTCTTTCTTTTCTCGGCACGCCGTGCTTGCCTGCCTGCTTGCTTGCTGTGCGCTGTGCTGTCTTGCGTGTGTATTATTGTACTCGCCGAGATATAGCGAGGGAAGTTTGACGCCCGCCGCAATCAATAAGCAAACCCAGCCTCGGCATGAGGCCATCGTTTCTTGGTTTTTTCTTTATTTTTCTGCACGCAGTGCCCCACCGGGCCTTGGTGCAGCGCTCATATGATGGCATGACCCGGTGCTAAGCGGACAGGCCCCGTCGTCGAGACTCGGGAGGACGAGGACGTCGCTACGAAGGGCGAGTGGGTGGCGGTGATGCACGAGGTGGATGCGCTGGAGCCAGCCGGAAGCAAAAGGCCAGGCGACCCGCGGCGGCTTGCCTGCTTGCGGCTTCGCTCCGGCGCCGCCCCCGCGGGGCCGTTCCCCGCGCTCATCCTCTCAGCATCCGCCCAGGCACCTCGATGTGGACTCGCGTTGCACCCATTCCACCCAAATCCACTCTGCCGACATGATATTATCGAACGGCGAATATCTGCCGCAGCCTCTGGTCCAATCGCGCCGCCGTCCCTCGCCAAGCGCCCCGAGCCCAGGCACGCGACTCTTTAATTAGCCCATCTCCGCAGTCTCCCCACAGCCCGATCTCTTTTCTTCCAAGACTCTTGTCTTTCTGAATGTAACCATGTCGGCCTTGGTCAGTGACCGGTGCGGGTCGATGTCAGGCCCTCACGATGGAGTCTGTCGTGTCTGAAATTCCACCAATCATGCACCTGCCGGCCTTCCACTTCGTGCCATGCAGGCGTTGTGGAGTGCTTGCTGGACGCATATAAAGAGAGAGCTGCGTGCTCGAGGATCACTGCCTGTTGAGTTCCTCATCCCAGGTATTCGGAGACGGCTGCAGCAATGGTCAGATCACTTGGGCTCTCCGCCCTCCTTCGCCTCGGCGCCGTGCTGCCTCTTCTGAGCCATGTCACGTGCCTCGACCTGACCGTGTCCACCAGCGGCGGCAACGCCACTAATCCCATTATGTGGGGCTTCATGTTCGAGGTTTGCTCCACCGCCTGCGCTCCCTCCGATACTCTTACTAATGCTCGCAGGACATCAACCACTCGGGCGATGGTGGCATTCACGGCCAGCTGCTCCGCAACAACGGCTTCCAGGGCGAGTATCACAACACGACTGCATATGCTGCTGTCGGAGACGTCGACATCTCCGTCGATGACGAGAACCCGCTCTCTGATGCGCTGCCGTACTCGCTGGCCGTCTCCGTGCCGGAGGGAACGACCGGCTCCGTCGGCTTCAGCAACGAAGGCTACTGGGGCATCACCGTCAACGCCGATGTTTACTCATCGTACTTCTGGGTGAAGGGAGGCTACTCTGGCGATGTGGCCATCAAGCTCGTTGGCGCCGCCAGCGGAACCGAGTATGCCAGCAGCACTGTCGCAGTCGACAGCACGGACGACAAGTATACGTACTTTGAGACGAGCTTCGAGAGCAAGCAGGCGCCCGACGGCAACAACCTGTGGACGCTGACTTTTGACGCCGAAAAGGTCGCGGGCAGCGCGCTGCACTTTGACCTTGTGCAGCTGTTCCCGACGACGTTCCACGAACGGGCCAATGGCCTCAAGCCCGCCATTGCCAACGTCGTCGACGACATGGGCGGCAAGTTCCTGCGCTTCCCCGGCGGCAACAACCTGTGAGTCATGTGCAATTGCTTCGCGAGAGAGCTCAGCTGATGTCGTAACAGTGAGGGTGCTAGCGCCGAGCGCCGCTGGAAGTGGAACAACACCATCGGTCCGCTGGAGAACCGCCCCGGCCGTCAAGGTAAAAAGTGCTTCTGTTTGTAAAGTGCAACTATTGCTAACAAGCGGGTCAGGTGACTGGGGCTACGGCAACAGCGACGCCCTCGGCCTGGTCGAGTACCTTTTCTGGTGCGACGACATGGGCCTGGAGCCCATCCTGGGTGTCTGGGCGGGCTACTCTCTGGAAAGCGGCGGCAACACGCCCATCACGGGCGACGCGCTGCAGCCATACATAGACGACGTGCTGAACGAGCTCGAGTTCATCACGGGCGACACCTCAACGACATACGGCAAGCTGCGCGAGTCGTACGGCTACGCCGAGCCCTGGACGCTCAAGTACGTCGAGATTGGCAACGAGGACAACCTCGGCGGCGGCTGCGAGTCCTACGCCGAGCGCTTCACGGCCTTCCACGACGCCATCCACGCCGCGTACCCAGACCTCACGATCATCGCGTCGACGAACGAGGCCAGCTGCCTGCCGAGCAGCATGCCCGCCGGCGCCTGGGCCGACTACCACAATTACAACACGGCAGCCTCGCTCGTCGCCAGCTTCAACCAGTTCGACCACGCCGACCGCGCCACCCCGCTCTTCATCGGCGAGTTCTCGTGCCGCGAGACCGCCACCAGCAAGTACCCCTTTATGCGCGGCAGCGTCGCCGAGGCCGTCTACATGCTCGGCTTCGAGCGCAACGCCGACGTCGTCCGCCTCGCGGCCTACGCGCCCCTGCTCCAGCTCTTCAACGACACCCAGTGGGACGTCGACCTCATTGGCTTTACGCAGGAGCCTGGCAATGTCGTCCGCAGCACCAGCTACTTCGTGCAGCAGCTGTTTGCGCAGAACTCGGGCACGACGACGCGCGAAGTGTCTGCCGACGCGGCGTTTGGCCCTGTGTACTGGAGCGCGACGGCCAGCGCGGACGGCAAGACGACGTATCTCAAGCTGGCGAACTATGGCGACGCGGAGCAGAGCGTTAGCGTGAGGGTTGAGGGCGCTACGAAGGCGGCGTTGACGACTCTGTCCGCTGATGAGTTGAAGAGTAATTCGCCGGATGAAGGCGAGGTCGTGGTCCCCGTTAAGGGGAGCGTACAGGCGAGTAATGGCTCCTTTGCGCTGGAGCTGCCGGCTTGGGCGGTTGCTGTGTTGGTAGTTTCGTAGGGTGGGGAGGTGCTGTGTTTGGATAGATTATAGGATTGAATGTAGTGGGAAAGGTACTTTGATTGCTTGGTTGCTTGTTTGATCCCTTCGTACCTTTGTGTCTTTTATTTTTATATCTTCATAGAGTGACCGCTTCTTTTCATCGTTACACATGTCCAGCGATTATGAATTGTGCTTTTTATAACGACCCAAAGAGCTTTTTACAAGTCCCATAGTCTTTACCCATACATAACACGCCGCTAAACTAATCTTATACAAGCTTACAGAGCTACCGGTAGTCCCACGCAGCGCAACGCAGCGCAACACCGAGCTCCGCACCGCTTCGGACCTCGCTTCCACTCCTCGGCCCGCGAACACGTAGTTATAGCTGATATCCTGTACTCCACGCTCTCAGCAAGCATGCTGTCCATCCTAATCGTAGGTGCCGGGCTCGGCGGCCTCGCCGCCTCAATCGAATGCGCGCGCTCCGGGCACAAAGTCACAGTGCTCGAAGCAGCTCGCTCGCTCACCGAAGTGCGTGCACCCCACCACCTCCCCGCACCCCCACAACAAAGCTAACCCCCACCACGCCCCCCAGATCGGCGCCGGCCTCCAACTCACCCCCAACGCGACGCGCCTCCTCCACACCTGGGCCATCTCTACTAGCGCACTGAAAGCCGTCGAGCCCGCCCGCCTCCAGGTCCACCGCTTCTCCGGCCCCGTCCTCGCTGACTCCGGGCCCGGCTTCGCCGCTGCCATGCGCGCCCGCTACGCCGCCCCCTTCGCCGACGTCCATCGCGCAGACCTGCACGCGGCGCTGGTGGCGCGCGCCCGCGCCCTGGGCGTCGTGCTGCGGGTCGGCGAGCGGGTTGATGCGCTGGACTTGGACCTGAACCATGACCTGGGCCTGGGTGCCGGGCAGCACACTGCACGCGTACGCACTGTCCACGGCAAGACGTGGGACGCCGATGTTGTGGTTGCGGCGGACGGCCTTTGGAGCCGCTGCCGCGAGTGCGTGCTCGGCCGCGCCGACGCCCCGCTCCCGACCGGCGACCTGGCCTTCCGCGTCGTGCTGGGCGTGGAGCAGATTGCGGATGCGCAGTTACGGGCGTGGGTGCGCGCCAACGAAGTGCATTTCTGGATCGGGCCGCGCGCGCACGCCGTCGGCTATTGCATGCGTGCCGGCGAGCTGTACAACCTCGTGCTGCTGGTGCCGGACGACTTGCCCGCCGACGTGGCGCGCCAGCGCGGCTCGTCGGTCGAGGAGATGCGCCGCCTCTTCGAGGGCTGGGATCCCATGTGCGTGCGTCCCGTCCTGTTCTTTCCTTGATGAAAGGAGAGAGAGCGAGCGAGGGGAGAAAGAAAGAAAGAAAGAAAGAAAGAAAGAAAGAAAGAAAGAGAAAAGCTGCACGCCGGCCGCTGACCATGCAGTGCAGCCTCACCCGCCTCCTCTCCCACGTCTCCGCCGTCGACAAATGGAAGCTCATGCACCGCCCCGCGCTCGACTCGTGGCTCAGCCCGCGCGCCAACCTTGCCCTGCTCGGCGACGCCTGCCACCCCATGCTGCCCTACCTAGCGCAGGGCGCCAACTCGGCGCTCGAGGACGGCGCCGTCCTCGGCCGCGCGCTGGCGGGCGTCGTCGCGCCGGGCCCCGATGTCCAGCGGGCTTTGCGCCTGTTCCAGCGGCTGCGGAAGGCGAGGGGCGAGAAGATTGCAAGAGAGTCGTTCATGCAGGTACATACGTCGCTGCTTGGCGTGTGTGCGAGTGGCTATTTCATGTGTGCTGATGCTGTGGCGTAGAGAGAGGCCTTCCACTTGCCGGATGGGCCCGAGCAGGAGGCCCGCGACGCCCTGTTCCTGTCCAAGCTGGGCGGGGAGATCGACTGCGCGTTTCCGAGTCGGTGGTGAGTCCCTCCCTACTTTGTCTATGCAGAGATGCTCGAAGCTGGGGGTCCGGGTGGGGAGAGGGGTGAGGGTGGGTGGGTACAGATGTTGCAATGCTAGTGCACTGACCGCTTAATGCAGGACGTGTCCGGAGATCCAGCCGTGGTTGTATGGCTACGACGCGTTCAAGGAGGTCGACTATGCTGCTAGCGATGCTCGAGATTAAGAGAAGGCGGGTAAGTCAGAGTTTGCTGCTGGGCCGTTGTAGTCGCTAGGCCCTGTCTAGACACCTTGGGCAGGACGGCTTGCTGGTTAGGTTTTGAGCCTTGTTGTTGCTGCCGGGGAATATAGGAGCACGCAATTTTTTTATCTGCCTGTTCGTGTCTTGTCTTTGTTTATGTGCTCTTATATATGCCGAGTGTTTTTGCTGTTGTGTGGCTTTATAGAAATGGCTGGATTTGCCGTGATGGCTTGCTATAACTGCGTAAGAAGTGCTCTATCTACTTAATATATAGTTAAGTCGTATACGTAGATAGTTAAGAGGGGGGCTTTTTTTTATTTAGTATTCGTTCTTCCCTCTTAAAAGTTATAGTAATCTTATACGGGGTAATATAGTACCTAAGATAAGTAGCTTTTAAGGTGAGAACCCCTTCTTTTGCTTTTGCGAATTACTAAAGTCTTAGGCTACTACTTATACTATTTTGTTTCTACTTAACTTTTATAGTTATTACATTTCTAGCTAAATATCAACGGGGATGTAACATGTGGCGGTAAGATTCAGGCGAGAAATAAGTTGTTGTTAAATGCATCGTGCTGATCTACTAATAATTATAGAAGACTATAACTATCACGTTACTGTGTCAGTGAAAAGGGGAGAGGTCTGTTACTTAGAAATCAGGTTGAAGTGTCTGTAGACTCGCTGGTGTGAAATGCTAAAAGCTGACATGTTTGATGGAAGCATAAAATATCACCGTAGGTGGATGGAGCAGGCGGAGGATCAATGGTAGATGTGGCAATGTTCCGTCATATGCATTGTGTCCTAAGTTCATGCATTATGCTTCTTCTCTGGCAATATACATATCAGTATTACTGAATTTATGAGCAGCAATTTCGATAGTGATATCAGAACGTTCATGAGCATCTCAGTCATTAGGTGAACGATATCGCAACACTATACAGATATCCGAAACTCAAAAGATCACTGTACATTCATCGTCTGACAACCACTTAAGTGCTTTTCGCGACGCATAAACGATCACGTACAACTGCCCTGATCAAAGCAGGTTTTTGCAGATTCGTGACAAGTTGTAGTTGCCCTGAGAAAGTGCGATAGGATTCTGGACCAGGCTAGACTTCACAAGCATATTCCCTTGGTAGTTAAAGCATTGGTAATACCACTGCATAAGACGGACGCCACTTCTTAAGTAGAGAATGCTATCGGCTCTGCCTTATTTCCGCAAGATTACACAAAGATACGTCGTCATAGTAGGCTTTTGAGAGCCATGAAATGCAGGAAGACTCTCGCTCGTAACTAAATGTAGCCGCGGGCAATACAATGGCTCGAATAGACTTCCACATTGTAGAAAACCAGTTTCCACATGGCGAAGACAGACGATTCTAGGAGTGAGTGGCTACAATCAACACTCACAAAAAGACGATTTCGATATCCGCCACCGCAGATCTTGGGCGCACTCGTGCTGGCAGCGAGGCGCAGGATTCGAGCTTTCTTTGCCGGACCCAGGCCGTTGCAGCGTGCAGGAATTCGCAAAGATTTCCCCGTCCCGCACACCATCGCCATGGCAGGCGAGAACCTTGCACGCATTTGGGAAGCCATCGACGGCCTTGGCGGCGGACGTGGCGGGACCGAGCGTTGTTGCTCGAAGCAAGGCACGTTTGCGCCTAAGCCCCGGACCTTCCATGCTAATAGCTCTGCTATCACAGTCGAACTTCTCGCCGGCCCGGCCCGCTCCTGTCCATAATCGCGTGGTGTGCATGCATATCGGACGATGGTTTTCCAACTGAAGCACTGATTTGATACGATGTTTTCTCGCAAACTTTGGAGTCTGAGCCGCTGAAAGGGGGCGTGCATTACTGAATGAGTGCGTTCAAGAATGGACACGAGAGCGGTACGTAGTCAGCTCGTGATCGGAGAGTGAGGTTGGGTTTATCTCCACATTTGTCATTTGTCATACGTGATTCCCCGCATGACCCTTGTCGCTTTGACTTGCTTTTGTAGGGGCTTTCGTCAGGCAAACGCCTTCTGGAGCCTGGTGTTCTGGTCGGTGGCGCGCAGGTGGGAAGTGGCTGAACATGGACCTCGATGCATCGCGATTGAAATGCCATTCGGAAGAGCGAAATTAGGGAATGGGAAATGCAAGCAGGGCGGGCCTCTGAAGATTTTGGTTAGACAACGGGTGTAAGATAGCATCCATCAGTGAAATACTGACACAGATCTACATTCAAAGTACAACTATCCAGAGCGACCATTCTAGGCATTTCCGTAGAAGACTCGCTAAGCTTCTCGCGTGTATAGGATCATCGGGCCGCTCCGGCTCAGGCCGCTTGGTGTAACAGACAATAGTGGCATTCCAAAACCATACTCCCATAACGTCCAATCGTCACTGACCACCACCAAACTCATTCCGCAATACCGACTTGACGGAAATTTAGCCGAATTCATTCCTTTGGTTGGCAATGGGCTCCTGACCAAGGAAAAAATGCTCCTCCATACGGCTAGTCGTCCCCCGCTCCCCCGCACCCCGCGGGGCCACCTCTGCCCTCCCTCGACATTGCAATCCCTCGGCCGATGGGGGTGGGAAGTAGTACCTCTGACAGAACTAAACGGATCTTCACCCTGTCATCCCTGTGCAGGCGATGAGGGGTCAGGAGACTCCCTGAGGAATTCACCATCGCAGCAGCATCGTGGAGCCGCTTTCGGACATGGCGTCTGTATATAAATTCGACGAGGTTACTCTCCATCAGCAGCACATCCTACACACTCGCTTCAGGTTCAGCTCCCTGCCAAGTTTTGGCACCCGACAGGATGTATTTCAACCCACTTCTCTTCTTGCTCCCAGCTTGGGCGGCGGCGCAGACGACGACCATCACGTCCTGCCATACCGACCTTATCTCCATCCAGCTCCCGTTCGTCTCGACGGCCGTCAACACGACGACGACGGCCCAGGTGTACTTTGTGACCGTCACCGCGCCCGTCATCACCACCACCGTCCCGCAGCAGACCATCACCACCACGTCAACCGTCGTCGCCACCGCCACCGTCACCGCGCCTCCCAACACTGACGTCTTCTTCACCACCTCCACCGCTGTGGCCACGGCGACCACGACCATCACCACTACCAGAACCTCCACCGTGGTCGTGTGGTTGCAGTCCACGTCGACGACGACGACGACGATCCCACCACCCATCGGCTTCCTAAACGTCGTCGACACCACCGCGACCGCCTACCCGGCCAACCGCGCGGCGAGGCGCCGCTATGCTCTGCCCGCCGAGGGCCTCGAGGCCGTCGAGGACACCAGCCTCGAGAAGCGCCAGACCGACCTCAACCTGAACCCTCTCCTGCCCGTCGGCGTCGGCGTTGGCCTCTTCAACGGCTACGTCCAATGTAAGCGCTCCACTCCCCAACTCCTCGTCCATGGCAAGCTAACCGCGCAGGCTCCGAAACCGTCGTCATCCGGTACACGAACACCATAGTCGCGACCAACATAGCGTCGACGGCGACCGTGACGCCCGACCCCACAGGCACGACCGTCTTCCAGACCTTCACGGCGATAGCGACCGCCACGCCCGCCAACGTGCAGGCGACGTCAGCGTTCGTCACGACGGCCACCGTGACGCAGACGGTCGTCGTCGAAGCGATCACCACGACAACTATGACGAGCGTCGCCACGGCCACCGCGACCGCTACCTTCTACGCCGCCTGCGGCACCAACAACCTGCTCGGCCCCACCGTGGCCGCCAACGGCGGCACCATCTACAACGTCTTCAACAACGGCGCCGGCATCATCAGCACCTTCAACTCGACCCGTACTAACTCGGCCTACGACTGCTGCGTCGCTTGCCAGCAGTTCAACCTCTGCCAGGGCTCCGCCTACGCCGTCAACACCGGCAACTGCGTCCTCCTCCGCAGGCAGGACAACACCTGCCCCTCCCAGGGCAACTCCCCGGCCTTCTACCGCGAGCAGGTCGGCCGCGCCAGTGGCTACGTCGTCTCCAACGGCGCTTGCGGCTACCTCTACGATGGTGGTCTTGTTTAAGACCCTTCGCGTATGGCTACTACGAGGTGTGGCATGGCGGCGTGTGACAGTTTTGGTCGGACGCATGACGGTGGCTATAGCTGGGGGGTCTGAGCTGGAGACAATTTATTCTTGGATTCTCTGCGCGTTCAAAAGTGCGAGTAATACGTGAAGATGCTACGTCCTGCCAACCATTAAGCTTTGTTAAAGAGCTTGTTGTATATTCTGTTGGTCGGTATAGTTTCCGCTCAAGAAGCCTTGCCTGCGAAGAAGGCATAAATAAACAAAGGACGGTGACTTGCAACGGCGTTACGCATCAACGCTAACCCATGATGGATATACTTATCAATGAACGAAGTCGCGGCCCAAATCAGTCGTAAACCGTAACACTGCCAGAGGCAGTCGATGTTCATTCAATAGATGGACCGCATCGTCCTCAAAAAACAGCGCGTGGTTATGAAAGAACGTAGATGGTGTGCGCATGGGGTTGCCATAAGACTAAAACAAGGCACCAGTCAGTATTCTTCAAAAACCACCGACCTACTACCACAGAACCCCATCCAAAACAAACGCAGCAATTGACCAGCGCAATAGCACGCGCAACCTAACCCGCTCAGTGCGCAGGGACAGGTACAGTGCCTCCCTAGCACCAGAAAGCGCATGGCGCGACGCGACAACAACAACGTCAACAACGCGCCTCTGCCACGCAGTCCCCTCGTCCGAGGAAGCATGCAAGAAAGCAAGCACCAGCACGACGCTTCGAAAGCCGCTGTTGGCTGCACCTCCACGGCAGCGAGGCAGCGCCACACGTGAACGCACACCCCGCACCCCCATCCGACACCCAGCACCAACACAGTGAACACACCTTCCTTACCTAGTGACGACGGCCCCTCGCACCAGATCAGCACGCACACCCACGCCGCCGTGACCGGTTCCTCCCGTCCGCCGCCCGCACTCACGACATACCACGTACCTACGGATTAAATCTCGTGAGCAGCCCTGCGCACGGCCCGCCCCTCGGCCTCGGAAGACGCTTCCGACGCGGAGCGGACCACTTCCGACCGCGGAGGTCACTTCATGGTGACGAGACCTAGCACCCCGCAGTCGATCGTGGCCGTGCGTGCGAGCGTGCGAGGCTGGCTTCGTACGAACTCCAAGTGTGTGAGTTCGTACGAGGGGGCGTTGAGAGGCCGACGCGAGTGCGAAGTGCTGCGTGGTGGTGACGGCGGGGTTGGTGTGTGTGCTAAGTGGTGATGGGCAATAGAGAAGAGAGGGGAGGGGGGTATAAGATGGATGGGGGCCGCGGTGAGTGGTGTTTAGCAGCAGCGACAGCAGCAACTCACTGCAAAGCAACAGCACCTCCAACAAACACAGAAACTCACTGTCAAACCAACATACACACACCCTCCTCACCACCCTCAACCACCACCAACATGCTCGGCAAAATCGCCCTCGAAGAAGCCTACGAGCGCGCAGGCATGGAAGAGAAATCCGCCCGCGAAGCAGCCCTCTACCTCGAGCCGTCGGACCGCGCGCGGTACATGCGGCAAATCAGCGACATCAACGACGAGCGGGTCAAGCTGTCGGACGCGCACGGCATCGGGTACACGATTGTGTCGCTGACCGTGCCCGGGATCCAAGGGCGGCACGAGCAGGCCGACGCCGAGCGCGCCGCCACAGAGACCAACGACTGGGTCGCGGGGCAGATCGCGGGCAAGCGCGACCGCCTCGGCGCCTTCGCCGCGCTGAGCATGCACGATCCCGTGCAGGCGGGCCAGGAGCTGCGCCGCTGCGTCACCCAGCTGGGCTTCCATGGCGCGCTGCTCTGCGATTTCCAGCACGCCGGGCCCGACGGCGAGACGTACCTCTTCTACGACCAGCCGCAGTACGACGCCTTCTGGGAGGTGGTGACGGAGCTGGACGTGCCCGTGTATATCCACCCGGCGGCGCCGAGCGGCATCGTGTACGAGAAGCTGTGGGCGCAGCGCAAGTGGCTGATCGGGCCGCCGCTGTCGTTTGCCAACGGCGTGAACCTGCACTTGATGGGGATGATAGTGAACGGCGTGTTTGACCGGCACCCCAAACTCAAGATCATCGTCGGCCACCTGGGCGAGCACCTGCCCTTCGACTTCTGGCGCATCAACCACTGGCTCGAGGACGTCAAGAAGCCGATTGCCAAGGAGCAGGGCCACGAGCGCATGTGCAAGAAGACCATCTACGACTACTTCAAGCAGAACATCTGGCTCACGACCAGCGGGCACTACTCGACGCACACGCTCAAGTACGTTGTCGAGGAGCTTGGCGTTGATCGCATCCTCTTCAGCGTCGACTACCCCTACGAGACCATTGAGAACTGCTGCGCCTGGTGGGACGGCCAGGCAAAGGAGATCCAGGATGCCGTCGGCGGCGTCGACAACTACCGCGCCATCGGGCGCGAGAACGCCAAGAAGCTGCTGAAACTGGGGGCGTACCACGACTGCGACGCGCCGGTCAGCTAGAGATGGATCGGGGGGCTTGGGACTAGATCGAGATGTCTTGGTGGCGGCGGTGGTGGGCTAGCGCGCCAGCTACATCTGGATCGGAGCGTTTGTGTAGAGTATGAACTCATATGAAGTCGAGAGCGATCGTGGCGATAGTAATAAACTTGATTTTGAGAAAGTAGGCAGTTGATTAAGGAATCGAATGTGACGTCGGAGCAAGCTCACTTGGCGTGCTTCGCTAAAATGTCGTAATACAGGACATCTAATCTCGATCAGCCATCTGCGCCATAATGTTTCACTTTCACGTGCTGTTGGCGTCAAGTCAGGGGTGTGTGGGGTGTGAGTTGCGAGAAACAAAAGCAGGCACGGAGATACACCAATCAGAAGCCATGTTTTCGCACGACAAGCCTCACACGCTAGCCCTGAGTGACAGCATGGTGCAGACACATGCAAGGAACGAGGGAGACCAGGGGAACCGATGAGTTGGAGGGAAAAGTCTCCAACCTTTCGCGACTCTCCTTGCCTTTGACGGCGGACGCCATGGCGGCACAGAAGCGAGCTGAAGAAGCAGCCAGCTCAAAGAAGCTCGACAATCCAGCAATCCGGCCGGAACCCAGACGATCCGTGCATCCGGGCAGCTGGGGCTGAGCAATGCGGCTCGTGGAGGGGCTGTGGAGGCGGCCGAGGCTGGGGTCGAGAGCGCGAGCTTGCGCGATTCAGAACAAAGCGCAGGAGCCGCAGGATGGAGGCTTGGAGGTGTAAATGAGGATGTTGAGCAAAGGGGGAGTGGGAGGTGGATGTTGTGCCCCCCCTGGTGCTTGGAGCTAGACGGCGACCGAGGACTCCGACAATACGAGTGGCGGCGATAGGGCGGGCCGCGATATGGAAATCATTGAAGCTTGGCAGTGCGCTCCCGTTTGCCATTGGTTCGCTTGGTCTAGCCGCCACCGTGCGTATCGCGCCCGGTCCCGCCGCAGGGCTAGACGCGAGCGAGCGAGAAGACCTGAGCGAGATGGGGGCACGGGGGATAGGGGAGAGAGGGGAGAAGGGTCTGGGAGAAGGTGAGAGAGAGAGATAACTAGAGATAGAAAGAAAACAGCAGAGATGGGACTACCATAGATAAGCATCCACGCATGCTTGCAGCAGTAATACCATCTGCATCCGTCCATTCATCCATCCATCCAACGCCCCTCGCGTGCACCACCTTGATCCAGCCAGTACGAGCTGCCCAGTCAGCAACATCAAGCCACTCAAAAGTCTGTCGCTCGTGTCGCAGGGGCCCCGGCGCCGTCCCCGCCCGTCGCCGTTCAGGACTGTGCTCCCAACTGCCCAATTTCCACCCTCTTTTCTTATTTGCATCCCTCCCGTCGTGCCCGTCTCTCGTTCTCTCTCCAGCACCCGCCATCTCTCTCTCTCTCTCTCCGTCAACCTCAACCACTATGGGCCTGCGCGAACTCCTCTCTCCCACCTCGCCGCGCTACACGGCCCTCGGCTTTCCCCAGGATGGCGCTTCCCGCATGCCTCCGCGCCGCGTCCTCTGGGCCGGTGGCCTGTCCCTCTTCGCCCTGACCTTGCTCGGCCTTGGTGCCCTCCGCGGGCACGGCGGTCCCTCGTCCGTCCGCCAAGTCCATCGCTACGAAGAGGTCCAAATCACCGGCGGCACCTGGCGCTTCGACGCCGAGAACGACGCCCGCAACTTCGGCCTTAGCGACGCCCAATGCGATGTATGCACGCCATCCATGCCCTATGCGGCTCTGCTGCACCCCAAACTCTGACTGACCTTCTTTCCGCCGCAGGCCGCTTTCCCCGACCTGTACCAGGAGCTCGAGCGCGCGTCGCAGTGGTATGCCGACAAGAAGATCCGCGAGGAGGACGTCCATATCTGGACGGCCGACAAGGACATGGGCGACGGCCACCACCACGGCCAGATCCACGCCATGATCCACGGCGGTGAGGTGAGTTTTGCTTTCCGCGCCGGTCCGTGATCGTCCGAGACAAGCCCGCTGACGTGACACGCACCCCGGCAGTTGATCATCATCGAGGAACGCGCCGGGTCGGCCGACCGTTCGCGCGCCCTTTCGGCCATGGCGTCCATGTACCGCGCCATCAACGCCATCTCCAACCCCGCCGACATCCCGGACATTGAGTTTGTCTTCGACATCCAGGACATTAGCGGCGACCGCAAGTACGAGGACCGCGTGCGCTGGGCGTGGTGCCGCCACAAGAGCGTCCCGGACGTGTGGGTCATGCCCGACTTTGACGGCTGGTCGTACTCGGACGACGCTGTTGGATCGTACGTCTCTTTCCGCGAGAACGTCGCGCAGCTCGAGCAGCCGTTTGAGGAGAAGATCCCGCAGCTCGTGTGGCGCGGCAGCACCGGCGTTAACCACGACCTGCGCATGAGCCTGGTCAATGCCGCCGAGAACCAGACCTGGGGCGACGTCAAGCAGATTAACTGGATGACGCGCGAAAACGTGATTCCGATGCAGGACTTTTGCAAGTACCAGTACCTTGCCCACACCGAAGGTTTGTTTTCCGTGTCCCGATGCTCTTGCCATGCCGCTGACCAATCTCCCTGCTAGGCAACTCCTGGAGCGGCCGCCTCCGCTACTTGCAGAACTGCCTCAGCGTGTCCGTGATCCACGAGCTCGACTACGTGGCGCACTACTACCCGCTGCTGAAGGCCGACGGTCCGGAACAGGTAAGCTTTTACTCCGACTTCAACTCCTCTCACCCACTAACGCCCGCCTCTTAGAACTACGTCGCCGTAAAGCGCGATTTCTCCGACCTGGCCGAGAAGATGGACCACCTGACGGCCAACACGGCCGCCGCGCGCCGCATCGCCGAGGAATCCGCCCGCACGTTCCGCGACCGCTACCTGACGCCCGCGGCCGAGGCGTGCTACTGGCGGCGCATGTTCAAGCTGTACGCAGCCGCGCAAGACTTCTCGCCGCGGCTGTACGAGGACGTTGTCGAGGACGGCGAGGTGGTGGGCCGCAAGCGCCGCGGCATGAGCTTCGAGCGCGTGGCGTTCAAGCAGAAGGGAAGCCACGAGCACGGGTTCATTGAGCCGGAGCCGGAGGACGAGGAGGAGGAGAAGAAGAAGGCCAAGGTCGCCACGCCCGATGCTGCTGCTGCGGCGGCAACGCCTGCCGTCGAGACCCCGGCTGGTGCTACGCCTGCTGGTGCTGCTGCTGCGGCGGAGTAAGGAAAAAGAAGAAAGTGTACAGATCTGTTGTTTTACTACCACCACCACATGCATGGGCATGTGCACGGAGCGCGGCGTTTTTCGGGATAAACGGACAGGATGGACGGACAGACGGCCAAGGGATTTTCATGTTTGCTTGTTTGCGGATGGCAGAGTCCTTAACATGGGCTTTGTGGATCGGGTCGGCCGAGTCGGGTTAATGGACTTGAAAGAAGATGAAAGAGAAGAAGACGAAATACCCCCCTTACCTACTACTTATTAGAGAGGAGAAAAGACGGATATACGTACGTACGGTCGACGGTACTTGGTGGGTTCCTGGTACTGCGGACTGGCTGGCTACGGGGCTACGACGCGTTGAGCTGAATTGATAATACTATTACATACCTACCTACCTACTGTTATACGCTCATTCATTGTTGCTGTTGCTGTGTTCCGATAGTATTGGCCAGCTTTCTTCTGTGGTCGTGGTCGTGGCTTTTTCCCGGGTATGGGGGCCACCACTGAGGAGCGAGGCGCAAGGTACGAGGAACAAGGTGCGAGGCGAGAAACGAGGTGCAAGCACAGCAGAAACCAGACAGCAAAAAGCGAGAGAGAAAGAGGAGAGAGATTAACTAAGTATATACACACGGCAGGAGCGAGCGAGCGGCGCGGCCCCTACATGCGGCCCCTATATGCGGCCCCAACGGCCCCCACGGCTCGCTTGATCCGAATTACCCTGGTTCCCCATATAAGGTACCCATCCATACCCATTCATACCTATATGTACGTATAATGCGGCCCCCGGCACCGGGATTCGGGCTTCGGGCTTCGGGTCTGTGGGCCGGATGCGGGTGACGCGGGGGGACGCGTATGCTACATGGGGTGTGTTGCATGGGTATATATATTTATATATATATAGGTGTGTCTATACAAACGCAGTTGCAGTAGCAGTTGCTCTCATCACGCTCATTCCTTCCCCTTCTCCTCCTCCTCCTCCTCCTCCTCCCTCACGCGCACAACCTCACCCTCCTTCCCATCCCCAACACTCCGACTCCGACTCCCCCCCGCCTTCACCTTCCCCCTCACCCACGCCTTCACCCCCCGCCAATCATCCCCCGCGGTGCGCGTCCCGTGGCTGAACTGGCCGCCTGCGATCGCGTGCGCGACTTTCTCGCCTGTGCTCTGTTCTGCCGTGGCGCCGCTGCTCCTGCTGCCCCTCCCCCTTTCCCGCTCCGCTTCTTGCTCTTCGTTGGTGTCGTTGGTGTCGTTGCGCCGGGCTGCTTTTGCGACCGCCACATCCGCCTCGAAGTCAGCGACGGCGCGCGCCTTGCGAGCTTGCGCGGCGGGCGTGTTCGCGCTGGGGGAGAGGAGGGCCGAGGAGCGAGTCTGTTGGAGCGTGCTTTGGTAGGCGAGGTGGGCGGCCATTGTGTGTGTGCTTGTGGTGTTGGCGTTGTTTGTGTTTGGTGGTGGTTTTGTGGCGTGCTTGTTGGATGCTACCTATTGCTAGGTACTGTATGATATATGTAAGGCGGACAGGTTCATACGCGGGGCGTCCTCAGCCCTATATGTACCTCCGCAGCAAGCACGCATGCAGGCAGCGCCAGCGCGGCTCGTATACGCATGCAAATCACGCGCAGCGCTACCGGGGTCCGAGGAAGGCTGTGTTTCTCAGATATTTCCGAATCGAGGAAATAGAACCTAGTTGTGCAGTCAGCCGCGCCGGGAGCTGGGCTGTGACGTCATTGGACGTTGGTCGGGCCTTGGAGGGCCGTGGGGGCTTGGCTAGGTTGCGTTGAAGGCTCTTCTTCCGCTTCTTCTTCTGCTGACGGCATTGCCTATGGATATCTCTCCCATCCTCGAGCCGGGGTGGAGTGGAGGATGAGCGGTACAAGCTTGCAAGGTAGGTAGGGCTGAGGCTGTGGGATCGGGTGTGGTGGGGTGGGGAGTGGGGTGTGTGGAGGCTATGCCGCTATTCTGCTGTGCAGGCTAGACTTGGGGTGAGTGTGGTTTCTTCTTCTTCTTCTTCTTCTTCTTCTTCTTCTTCATGTTATCCCTCATCCATCCACACCAGCATCCACCCAAAAACATCCAATCCCAATCCCCATTTCATCTCTTTCATCCATCCCCACCACCCAACCCCCGCTCTCTTCATCTTCACCCTTCTCCCATCACACTCATTTCCACCATCCACCATCCACACAATCTCGAGCCCTTTCCCAATAAAGCCAACCAACTCATTAGCGGCGCAAGAGAATCAATCAATCAATCCATCAATCAAGCAGGAAGAAGTCGCAACCGCCAAGACCGCACCGCAGCATAGCGGTCCGACGCCCATGGCGCCATGCGGCCAGCAGTGGCTATAGCTTCGGCACCTAGTAGGTTGCGCCATCAGCCAAGAGGGATTGGCATTGGCGTTGCGGATCAATTGTCTATCACGCAGGGTACCTACAGGATGGAAGCACCAGGCACTGCTCATTGTCACTCACTGATCACCACCACTCAATGCTCACCACCACTCACTGCTCACTACCACTCACTGTTCACTACCGTTCACAGAAGCACACGAAGTCGGCACCGTCGTCGTCGCGAAAAAAGCTCTGGATTTCCACCGAGAAGCTATTTATATACAAGAAGCGCGGCAAACGCAATCCTTCCCCCACTTCGTTGACATCAAACAATACCAACAACAACAACCGCTTAGTTAATCGAGATCTCGTAGTTGGAAGTGGTGAACTTGACGTTGCTGCCCGAGAAGGGCTCGGTGCCGGCGTTGATGGTCTGCAGGATCTGGGAGTTCGACAGGCCCTGGCTCTTGACGAGGTAGTTCATGAAGTCCATGAGGTCGCCGTTGAAGTCATCGACCTGGCTGGAGGCGACGAACGAGAAGACGGTCGTGCTGCCGTTAGGGCCCTTGTACAGGTCCCAGGAGTTTCCGGCCAGCGTGACGGTCGCGATCTTGCTGCCCGTGCTGGAGATGGGGCCGGCGCCGCCGAGCGCGGCGACCCAGATCATGATCTCGTAGTCGGCGGTGCCGGACGAGGCCTGGCCCGTGAAGATGTCGTAGGCGATGTCGGCGACGATGTCGCTGCCCGTGTTGGTCCAGGCCCACTTGGAGGGCATGGACGAGATGGCGGAGAGGGCCTTGCCGCCGCCCTGGATCTGGGCGTTGGCGTAGGACTTGACCTGGCCGGCGCTGGAGAGGGTGTTAGACTCGATCGAAGCTGTTAAACAGAAGAGGGGGAATAAGACTTACCCGCCGGTCCAGGACCACGACGTGTGCCAGGCAATCTTGTTGCCGGAGCCGCTGTCGAGGCCGGTGCACTGCGAGCCGGACGTGGCCTGGGCCTCGCCCCACAGGTTGTTGTAGAGGGTGAAGTCGCCGCTCTTGACGGTGTCCCACTGGCCGCAGAAGTCGGCGCGGCGCTCGAGGGTAGCGGGGGCGGCGGAGGCGACGGCGGCGACGCTGGCAATGGCAAGGGCGGAGAACTTCATTTTGGTTGGTTGGTAAAGAGTGAGAGGGTAAAGAGTGTGAGTGGTTGGGTTTGGTTGGTTGGTGAGGAGGAGTGTGAAGGAAGGACTGTGGTGCTGAGAAAACGCTCTGGAGGGGAAGGATTGGTTCCCGTTTTATGTGATTTCCAACGGGCTGCCCTCCAGGGGTTAGAGGGGTCCTATCCTCTCCTCTCCGTCCGTAACTACATCCTCGTCCGTCGCCGCCCGGCTCGTCGGGACGCTCAGAGAGCAGAATAGATTGCGGCGGTTTAAACTCGCGAGACAAGCAATTCCGCAACGCGGGGCTGACGTAGCGAGTAGCGTGTGTAGGGTGCGTATGTAGGGTGCGTATGTAGGCGACATGCACTCCGCACGCGGCGCCCGCAAGCCCGCATACCCGTTCGCTGCATCAAGTAGACAGCCCCCCTAGGCTGCAAAGCGTATGGTTGCGTGAGGGGGCCGTCCGCAAGGCCGCCCGCACCGAATAATCTGGAAGCCTTAACCGGGCCCGCACGCATCGGGGCCGGATCGGCCGGGTGCTCGGGCAGGCGCGCGTCGCTTGGTGGGAAATCTGCCTCTCACTCTCAGTCTCTGGCGCTGCCGGTGCGTGCGTGCCCGTTTGGCTGGCTCATTTCGGCGCGTGGCGGGTAACGGGTTGTTGTCATATGGATGCTAGGTTAGCTTGCTGTGTTTCAACTGCCGAGCGTCAACGCCTTGTTTCACGCCTGGCTACGTGGTGTCTTGGTCCCGTGTCGTCGTCGCCTTCTTTACCCCTGGGTTCGAGGTATGTGGAGAGGAGGCCCGTCCGCTCGCCTCCAGATAGGCGCCTGGTGCCCCCAACGACCCGGCGCTGCTCGTCTACTTTATTTTGTGCCTTCTTCATAGGAGGCTGGACTGGCTCCGTGGAACGATTATTATACTCCTATCATTGAATGATTCCGTGGAACGAGCTAGGAGTATGTACCTAATAACAACCTCGCCTATTATGTCTGTCTGACGTCTTTTTTCTCTCTCGCTCTCCCCCTCTCTTTTCGATGAATCATCCCCCCTCCCGGCCGATAGATATCGTATCGTGATAATGTACATACATGCAGGCATGCACCCGCATCAAACAAACAAACAACCAACCAAACTCAACCCCGAGTCACGTCACATCACGTCGCGTCGCGTCGCGTCGCGTCAACCTCAGCACCACCTCAATTACCCCTTCCACCCCCTCTCTCACCCCACCTACCCCCTTCCAGTTCCACCCCACCTTCCCTCCTCCCCCCTTCTACACACGCTCACCCCTCCACACTCCAAGTCCCGTACTTGATCCCCAGCCCCAGCCCCAACGCCACAGCCAGCAAGCCCAGCAAACAGCACGCGAACAGAAACATGCTCTTGTCGTGCTCGGCGGCGCGCAGCACGGCCCGTCGCTCGCGGTGCCAGGCCTGCCACAGTGGCTCACGGGGCAGGGCGTTGGCGTGCGCCATGTTGGCCGTGGGATGGGAGTAAAAATGCAAGCTACTGCGCCTACTATCCGCGGGCGACGGCGGCGACGACGGCGGCGACCCGTACGCGGCCAAGTCGATAATCGCGCCGTACTTGGGCGGGCTGCTGGCGCGGGAGTGCGAGTGGTACGGGGGCGGCGGAGCAGGCGCGTGCGGATGCGGATGCGAGGCGCTGTCGTCGTTGGCAGTTGTGGTGGTGTCGGCGAGGGAGGGGACCGAGGCGGAGGCGGAGGCGTGCGGTTTCGCCATCGTGGTGGCGGTGGTGGGGCTGCGCGCGGAGAGGAAACGAGTGATCAGATTATGGTGGTGGGTCTGTATGAGTAGTGGGTAGGCAGGCGCGCTTACAGCAGAGGCGAGCAGAGGAGGCTGGCTTCGCCCGGTGGGGGGCGGCCGGAGTGGTGGTGCTGTTGGTGGGCGGGAGCAAACACGGCGTCGTATAGCTGGAGGAGGTTGCTCATGCGGATGCGGGTGGTTGTGGTTCGTGGTTCGTTTTCTCTCCCTCTCTTTCTCTGTTTCCTTTTTCGTTCTTCTTGCCCCTTTTCTCTCTTTTTCCCTCTCTCTTTCTCTCTCTCTCTCTTTCAGAAAAGAAAAATCTCCGGCGTAGGTAGGTTGCTGACTCGGGACTTGTAAGTCGTAACCCAGCCGCAGCTGTGGTGTGGGGTGTGGGTAGGTACGGCGGCGGGAGTCCCTGGCAGACAGTCGGGATGCCTCAGCAACAGCAGGCTCAGCGACAAAGCGGCAAAGAAGATCGTTCGTCCGTCCGTCCGTACGTTCGTCGTTCGTTCGTTCGCAGTAGTAAACAAGAAGCAAGAAGCAGACAAGCAAGTACATACCTACCACAACCAGCACCAACTTAAAAGCAAGAAGCCGCCCACGACCTCCCGCACAAACCACCCAGCCACACCTACCTAGCGTGCCTAGCTATCTCCCTCCCCTCCCTCCCTTCCTCCCTGCACCCCACGGCATCACCATCCCCCCAACCCCCAGCCAATCACACCCCCGCTCCCCGGCCCGCACGGCCCGAGCCCCGCGCCCTGATTGGCTCCCCGCCGAGCCCAGCCCTACGCCGCCGTACTACGTATGTTCTGTGGCCCCTTCCCCGGCTACGCGGCAGGCGGGGACGCGCGTGCGGCGCTGGTGGGTGCTTGGTTGCTTGGTGCTAGGCGGTGTTGTCGTTGTACGTGTGTGTGACGACTGACGGCGGTCACGGCGAGCCCGGCGAGGCCGAGCGACGGATTCGCGCGTGCCGCTGTTGTTGCTGGCGCGCACCTGTACCTGCACCTGATGGGCGGATACTTGGTACAATGGGTAGCTGAGCCTGTTGGCCGGTGAGGGTCGAGACTGGAGAGGATGATGCGCGCCCCGCGCGGATGGAGCGGGCGGGACGCGCGTGCCGAGACTTTTTGTTGTTGCCTTGCCCCCGGCAATCCTGGGCACCTACGTACATCCGAGCTCCATCAACCCACCAGTATCGTGCTTTTGCGCGCTGTGCTTGGCTGATTATCTGCTGGGCGGAAGGGAAAAGCGGGCGGAAAGACGGCACGGCCACGGCACGGCCACGGCAGGGGACGTCATGTAGGAGTACTACTCTACGTAGGGTTGAGACAGACAAGTGTGCCGCGTCGCCGTGTATGTGCACGCATAGGTACGTAGGTACGGATTACCGTAAATAGACTCAGATCTGGATCTCAGCACCAGATGCGGACGCCTGCGTGCAGTCGTATTGAACAATAACGGCGCGTGGGGGTCTGCGTCTGTGTCTGCGTCGTTGATATGCATACATACATACATACATACATACATACACACACTCATACGCATACATACAGCGGCAGCTTAAGCGCCCGCGAATATTGCTAGCAGTTACCTATCACGGGTATGCGGCACGCGGGCTCTTAGCATGTACGTCTTTCAATATCACGAGCAACTACTTACTCCTATGGCCCATGTTTTTTTCTGCGGCCACCGCGTCGAGCGACACTGGCGCCACCACCACCAACAAGCCATGCGCGCCCTTCCAATCCTTCCACTTCTCCCGCTCTCTTTCCTCGCTGCACGGCAAAGACAAAAACCCCAGCAGCACCCAGTGCTCCTTTTGCACCACGAGAACAAACAAGCGATGATGCATGCAGGCCCGCTTACTTTTCCCTAACGCCCCATTTCCATTTCCGTTCCATGCGCCAAAAGCAACCAACCCATCCTCCACAAACCACCTCAGTACCTCCCACTATCCCTATACGACCTGCGCTGCCGCTCGGTTCCTCCACTACCACTGTAGTCTGCCGGCGTACTAATCCGCTTCAGCGGGCTACCGCCCCTCTTCTCCGGGCTGCGCGGGCGGAGATCCACATCGTCGGCGCGCAAAAAGTTCGCCCCAGCCGGCTTGCGCAAAGGCGACGCAGCATGCGCAAACACGCCTAGGCTGCCGCCGTCGCCGCCTGCGCTAGCGTCCGTCGTCGGCCGGAACTGCGGCTGCCGCAGCGGCGTGCCGCCTGTCGTTCGTCGTGCCGCCCCTGCCGCGGGCGAGTTGTGCATCGCCGTCGCCGTCGACGTGTAGCTGTTGGCGACGCGCTTGGGCGTGTTCGTGTAGAACGGGTTGGACATGCCGGCCGTGTTGGCCGCAGCGCGTGCCTGCCGCTCGTCTTGCTGCTGGAGCTGGTTGTCGGGGTCGTACTGCGAGGCGTAGACGGGGTTGGGGTTGGTGCGGAAGCCGCGGTTGATGATCGTCTTGGGCGTGTACGTGTCGACTTCTCGGGCGGCGGGCTTCTTGCCGGAGTCAATGTCTCCCGTCTGGATGCCGACGTCGCGAACCGGCTTGTTGAGGTTCGGGTGCACAAACTTGGTGTCGTACTCGTGCAGGACCTCGCGATGAATCAGCGCTGAGTCCTTGATCTGCTGCGAGTACGACGTTTGCATGAAGCTAAGCTGCACCGTCATGAGAGCCCCGAGAACGATAGCCGTGACGACGGTCACGCTAGGTCGTGGATCCAGAGGCGCAATTGGCAGGAACAGCCAGTATACCAGCACATGGCCTGGGCTGAACAGGCAAAACAGCCGCAGGAACGTTGGCTTCGGGTCCCACACCGACACCTCCCATACGTCACGCGCGGGGTCCGGGTGCGCGCGCGATTGTGCGCTTGTCGCAGCGTATATATTCGAGAGGAAGCGTAGCGGCGAGGACGAGAGGGGAGACGAGTCAACGCGGACGCGGCGTGCCGAGGGCGTGGTGGGGGTCATCTCGACGGGCGTCTCGAACAGACGATAGTGCCGCTTGCTGTGGAAGGTGAAGAAGGCGTTGACGAACGAGATGAACGAGAGCAGGTGGACTACAAAGGAACACTAGAACTGTCAGCTTGCGCATATAGGTCCAGCAAGGTCGACTCACAAGCCATCTGAGCCAGCCGCTTCCCATTCTCGCCGTGTAATCGCCAAACACATCGTCGTTTTCCTCGTATTTTGAGCCTCCAGAGTTTCCTCTTGCGATCATGAAGATCAAGTTGACCACGACGCCAATGATCCATGTCCAATCCTTCAGGGAATCATCCCAGTCGTTTCCGTAAATCTCCTCCGAGAGCCACAGCGCCCAGTCGTATGGGTTGAGGAAGGCTCTGATGCGCTCCATGAGCGGCTTGCGGCGCACGAGAGGCGGCATCGTCGGGGCGGCGAGAAGTAGCGCAGAAGCTGCAGGTGGAGGCGGCGACCGGAAAAATGGTTATTTCAAGTCGCACTTGTGCTATGCGGAGCACTGGGCCGGGGGCATTGTTATGTGAGCAGGTCGGCGCTCAGCTTTGGTGTTTACGTTTGCTGCACGTGATCTCGGAATCCCTGCTGTCGATCTCCGACGCAGCTCCGCATCACCGCCCGGCTGGAACTAGGGTCTCTAGATGCCAGCAGTTTGGACAAGTCTGTTCAGCAAGTTGGCAGGATCGATGTACATCACCAGAGCAGACAATTCAATGGGCTACTCATATAACTAAACACAATACACCCATATCCACTGGCAGTGAAGGGACGGCAAATGTTGAGCCTACGTCTAGGCGATTACGCATTGAAATACCTACTCATTTGGTAATTTGCAAGCTTAATCTGTCATATCATCATTACCGCAATATAAAACCTAAGAATCAAACGCCCGTCTGGTATCGGTTTCGTGAAAGTAATCCACAACACTCCGACCTATCACTCCGGTGCTCGCAAGAACGCATCATGCCGCAAAGACGAGGTGTAAAGCCGCCATCTCAGACAAGGTAAACTCGTCCACTATCTGTGGAACATGACGGTAGCAGTGAGGCAGGTAATCTTAACCTCGTCCTTGGTCAGGACATCAGCCAGGACAGTGTACTTTCCCTGTCGCGTTTCCGTTAGCGAATGTCACCGAAAGATGAGGCGGCAAACTTTGCCCAAGAATGTATGGTGGTGAACATACGGGAGGAATCTGCTTGGGCAGCTCGACGTCCTTGGTCAACGTGAGGTCGCCCTTCTTGAGCGGGCACTCCAGGTTGACCTCCTTGACATACTCGCACAGCGGCGCCTCTTGCTTGATCAAGGTGATCAGGCCGTACTTGACCTGCAGCCTGACCTTTGCGCCCTCCTCGATGTCCTTGTGCAGCGTGCCGTTCGCCTCAATCGACAGCGTCTTGCCAGCTTCGGGGGGGTTGGGCGAAAGGTCGACCTCGTCGATGGTGAGGATGTTGTTGGTCGGGTCCTGGCAGAAGGCCAGAGGGTTGCTGCCCGGGACCTTGAGGTCTTCGGTGATGGCGACCTGCGAGCCACCGGTGATGCCGTTGAGAAAGCCGGCGCTGGTGGACGCGACGCTGACTGCCACGAGGAGAACAGTGCTGAGCTTCATTGTGGCGATGACTGTGCGACTAAGGTGTGCGTTCGTTTGTTATGGCGGGGTTTTGAGTCGGTAGTGAGAAGCTGGTGTGGAGCTGGAAATGGTGAGGATGACGAAGTGTGGCTGAAGCCGAGGCTTAGGCCCATGCACCGCCCTTGGCCCTGCTTGTTACCTGCACGGCGCTCCACCAGCTCCGTGTACACATCACCTCTACGGGCCATGCACCACACCCAGGTCTCAGTGATTCGCCGGTCGAACATGTTGGTGGGAATGCACTGCTCCCTCATGCGGGGTTGCCGCGCCAATATCAAGACCTTGGGAGGCTGGCGGCTTCTCGTGCGACAACATTATCTCTTGAGGTCGAACCTCTGAACTACATACCGCCACGATTTCTGCTACGGCCGATGAATCGGCTGAGCTGGCTAAATTCATACTCATGGGTCTTTGTTGATCCTTTTCTTCATCTGCTATCGGCACGAAGTCTCGAACGACACGACAAGGTCTATTCAAAGACCATTGGTGAACCTACTCCTTCGAGCAAAGGCTAAAGTAAATTTCGAGAGCGACTACCTAGGATTACCACCATGGCACTGCCCTAATCGCTGCTTCTAGATATGGACACGCTGGTATTGTAGGCTTACTCCTTCAGCAAAAGCCCAATCTCAATATCGAGAGTGGAGAGCTTGGTACAGTCCTAATTGCTGCTTCGAGCTCCGGACGTGCTCACGTTGTTCACCTTTTTCTGCAACAGAAAGACATCAAAACATGTCGTCGAGCACGCAATCAAGGAACTGCGCTGTATTGCGCTGCAGAGAAGGGTTTCGCGGATGCCATCGACTTACTGATCGATAGCAAAGCGGGCCCGGATATTGATTGTGGTGAAAATTTGGGTCATGCTCTGGGCGCAGCCGCTGCTTCCAGTCATGTTTTCACCGTTGTCTCCTTGTTGAGAGGCAAGGCTGATCCCAGAACACGAGGCAGCCCCGGTAAAATGCCTTCCACGCCGCGGCAGCAATCGCACACAGAGTTATGTTCGAGCGGTTACTATTGTGGTCTTCGCCATCCGAGCCTCTTAAGCCGACCGAACGAGGCGGCAGATAGAGCAGTCTTTTCCATGCTGCGGGTCACGGAGCGAACCCGGATATAGTGCAGGTGCTTCGTGATGGCAAAGCCTTGACCGATTTGTCAAAGGGGCTACAAGGAAGTTCAAGCAGGATTTCACGGAAAACTAAGCATGTGTTTGTACACACATCTCGTTTTGTGGTAGTTGCTGGATGTTGTCATGCTAAATTTGGCTGGTTGAGTGGTTCGGTGTTCGTCCTGGCTTGGCTAATCGGCTTTGGGCCACGTTACACACTGCTTTCTGTGAAGGTGAGTTGTTGCCTCTGTTGAAGTGTCGGGTTCCGACTCATTGCAGGTCGAATGACCGCTCTTTGGGGCTGATTATGCATCAATAGGCCGATTCTGCCTTCCGAGACTGAAGCCGCGTCCTCGAGCTGAGGTTGCCTTCTTGTGGTGGAGCCTTGTGTCCGTAGTGTGACATAGTCGGGTAGGCGGTCGGCCGGTTGCTGTACACAAGATTAACACTTGTCCAGGATAATTCGCCTGCACTTACCATCCACACCACCTCAAGCTAACGTTTAGGCAAACAAATTCAGCAGTATAACATGTTATAAGGACACAAAAGCAGAAAAGCATCTTAGTTAGGCTTTCTAAGAGGGGTAAGTTGTTCGGAGCCTTCTCTTTTCATTGTGAAGACATTACTGATAGTAGACCAAGGCTCATATTCGTGCTACACGGCAACGGCGGTGTAGTGTATGCTTACAAACCCTCTACTCATGCCATTGGGATTGCCCTAATACGCACCTCTACATTTTGGGATCTATTTCAGCTGGCGTCTACTCAGCTGGATCCACAACGCTTACGATCGGCTGTCGTATTAACTGTGCAGAACATGCCGGCTAATTCCACCTGCTCAAAGAGGTGGAAAGAGTGGGGAGACGACAGGGGGTTTTACTGCATATCTAACTTTCGGTAAAGATCGGCAATGCAGGTACCCTGGTACCGATGTAGAGTATCGCCGCACCAGTCGCAATGCAACAACAATATGTATGTAAGACAATATTGCAGCATTCTGACCCCGCACTGATCATTTTCACCATTCGAAAGATTTCCGTAGCGCACTATGTCCCGCACTATGTCCCTACAAAACTCCAGTATCTCTCTCAGCTTAGCCGTCTCACCAACCAATTTACCTTCGTCTCCAGTGCGTTTCTACTAAAAGCCATGCAAGATGAGTTCGGAGTAAGTGCACCTTCAAAATTTGTAAAACAATTTTAAGAACTAATTCCATGTTGTACTCTAGAGGTCAGCTCTTACCTCTTGATAATGCTACCATTGAATCTGAGCCATCTCTTCGGTCCGAAGTACCCCTTCTCAATCCATCTGCCAAGTGCTCCCCTCGGGCATCTCAAGAAGAAATGGGGTCGAGGAGCATCACTCCAAACCCTTCCGACGATACCGCTACTCTTTTTCGAATAAGCCCTTACATTGAATCGTCAAATCCATCGTCGGAGAAGCACTGTGCTTCTCAGATAAGAACCATTCAAGGGGCATGGAAATGGCTGCAAATCCGACTACCCAAAAGTTGGCGTACTGGTCTCATATTAGGCGCAGTACTATCCTCAAGCGTCTTGATCGCCAATATCGTTGTCGCCATTGTCGCAAGCAACATAGTACGCCGGGAGACGGGTAGTGGCTTGGGGATAGCCAAAGTACGCAAGGGGCGTTGCGCGAATCTCGAACGCATCGAGCTCGGTATCCATCTGGCTATCAATGCTATCAGTACGTTGCTGCTCGGGGCAAGTAATTACTGTATGCAGTGTCTAGTTGCGCCCACCCGAGCGGATGTAGACAGAGCTCACAAGAAAGGTGAATGGCTCGACGTTGGGGTGCCAAGCCTAAGGAACTTTCGCTTCATTGCTCCAATGAAGCTGGTTTTCTGGCTCTCGCTCGGTTTATCTTCCATTCCCCTGCATTTATTGTAACTCTTGCCGTGCTGTTTAAAAGTATAATCATTCGCTAACCTGGTTCAGTTACAATTCAACGTTCTTTACTTCACTAAAGAACCACCCCTACGACATTTACATTGCTTCTGAAAATTTTACAAAAGGATCTTGGTTCAGTGATGTATCCGTCGGGCACGAACCTTACCGAGTTCAGGCCGCGATTAATGGATCTAAACAGTTAGAGAGCGACTCTTATTTTGAGCGGCTCGAAAACCCGGATTGCATCGAAGAATATGCCAAAGTACCGCAGCTCGACCGGAAAACAGTAGTGCTGATCTCTAATAACTCAGCAAGCAATAATAACTACCTTTGGAAACACACCATCCCAAAGGACCTTAAATATACTGCTCTGCACGCGTGGGATTTTAACTCATCCTTGTATGCTATGTCGCATATGGATGTCATGTTGACACCAAAACACGGAGAGACCTTGAACTGGTTTTCTTGGATCTGCTCCCAAGACAGCCAATACGAAAAAGGTTCAAACTATAGCTCAACGCTATGCAGCGATGGAGCTTGGAAGAAAGTAAGATCAAATGCGACGGATTGGACCGTTTGGGGATTTAAGGTCGAGTATTGTCTTAGTGAAAAGACTAAAGACGAGTGCACTTTGCACGTTGCAACAAGCCTTTTAGTCGTCGTCATTGTCTTCAATGCTGTTGTAAGCTCTTTCCATTTTAACCCCAAATATTTATTGACCCAGCTAACATTGGCTCTTGGGCCTTTCAGAAATTACTCATCATTACATTCGTCGCATGGCGAATGACAAACAAGCCACTAATCACAATCGGCGACGCGGCATCTTCGTTTATCTCTGACCCTGATATGACAACACATGGATTATGTCTGTTCGCCAAAGCAGATGTTTCCGATCAAACTTCAAGCTTCAAGAGATATGTGCTTAACTGGTCACCCGGTCCTATGCCGTATGAGGAAAGAAATAAAAGACGAGCTAAAGCCGTTAGCAAATCGCGATGGAAAAACACCATCATTTTGTGAGTATCCACATCCTTTACCCCTAATGTTATGTCTTTTGGGCCCAAATTTTGGGCCCTAACTGTTTTCTCTAAGAGAGTCCAGTTGAGACGGGGTAATTCGAGATTCGGCTCTTAGGAAGCTTAGGGAACCATCTTTTATTTGTGACTTTTTTTAATTTTAAGGATACGAACAACTTTCTTACAAAAATGCAGGATTTTCATTAGCATAAGCGCTATCCTCTGGTTTTACGGCTTTGCTGTGCAAAGCTTGAAATCAAAATACGGCAGAGATGATGCAAAACTCATATTGGACCTTGGAATTGGCACAGTGAGCCCGTATACACTTATATCGGGTTGGAATATGCCTTCATCTGGCGAAAATGCCGTTGTGGCCACGGTCTTGGTTACCAATTTACCTCAAGCTCTGCTTTCTATTCTTTATGTCCTTGTCAACAGCATTTTTACTAACTTCTCTATAACTGAGGAGTGGTCTCGGTACACTCGTAAGCTTCGTGCTCTACGCGTTTCTGAGCCTCGCGGAGCTCAACGCTCCACATACTTCCTTCAGCTACCATACCGGCTGGGCATCCCAGCTATGATTTTCTCGGCCTTTCTCCACTGGATTATCTCACAGAGTATATTCGTCGTGATGGTAGATAGTGAGACTTTACTTAGTTCTTCCAGTGCCATTACCTGTGGCTACTCACCGCTTGGCATGATTCTTACTGTTGTAGCGATACTTGTGCTTGTAACGTTCGTGGTGGGGTTGGGCATTCGCACGCTCAAGCCAGGAATACCAATGGCTGGCAGTTGCAGCGCAGCTATCTCTGCGGCTTGTCACGCTCCCGAGGGAACGTCGGAGTGTCTGCCAGTCAACTGGGGGGTGATTCCAGGCGAAGAAACAGAAACGGAAGATCATGGGAAGGTGGGACATTGTGCATTCTCAAACGGACCAGTGGAAGCTCCTGTCGAAGGACGACTGTATGCCTGAGAGCCAAATGTTGTATTGGAGAGCTGGTGGAAACGACGCATTTTTGGTTCCTTTTTCTTTTTTGCTTTTCACATGATCCATCATTGGCTCCTCTATTTCCTTTAAAAAGAGACTGCTTGTGCTCAATTTGCACTGCCTTCCATGCTCAGGTTCGTGATAAAAATTTGGTTTACGCGATGGGGGATTTCACACTAACTTTGTCCCCATAATGCCCCCATTGTGACACATTGCCTATTCTCCGATGACTGAAAGATTTCGCTTGTGGTGGCTGGATTTCTTTAGCAGTACTTCTTCAAAGGATCCCCCTATACCGAGCATGACTCAGGAAATGAGTATCCGTACCGGCGAGACATATAGACAAGACCAGTTTCCAAGATTCAAGCATGTGAGCTCCAGATGCGACGAAGAATCCGGTGTAGAATGAAAATGAGAGACAGTACTGAAGACCCGCCACTTTTGTCGTTGGAATTTCGTCTCGCGATCAGCGGTAACACCTAATCGGCACCACTTAAGATCGGCTTCAGGGGTTTCAGTAGCTTCCTTTCCAACGGCGGACATTGCAGAAGTTGGGAGACAGACGCGTCCCCGCGATCTCGCGGCTTGCCGGACTACCGAGCTACCCCGCATTCTAAATACAGCACAGCCAACTTTACCATATTGAGCCTAGTATAATCTTAGACGATCCCTTATTCCAACTTTACGTGAGCACTCTGAACCTAGTGGATCACAAACATGGACATTTCGGAAGCGACGAATGCATTTGCTGGCTAAGACAATCGAATTAATACTGAAAAAACGACTCCATAACCAACGAGTACGAATTCGACTGAGTGGTTTACAGCCTGTCGCGGACTCCTGATGGAAATTGTCTTCTTACTGAGCCGATTGGTTCCATCTTCGCCTGGAGAAGGATTGTGCAAAATACCACTCGTCTCCATCTTTAAGTTCCTTTGCGTAAGATCACGCGGGTTGTCAGCCGCATGAATCATGAAGATGGGGGCCAAATGCCGATGGAGCCCGATCTGCCTACGTGATTGCTGGTCGATAAAAGCCGCGGGATGTTATCTGGCATGATAGCATAGCCACAGACCCACAGCTCAATTCTGCACTGAATTTTCTGCATGCTGATTTCAGTCGACAAATCTAGCTATACACATCAAGCCTCTGCGAGGCGCAGCAGTAAGGTCATCCACATTGGCATCAGACTTAAGGCTGACGGGTAATGTGGCTGGAAAGCGACGGATCCAATGGTTCCATTAGCGCCAAGTAGCTTTCCGCGGCCGATAGTACGTGGTGCCTACTGGGGTAGGTAAGTCGGAGTGGGACGAAGCTGTTGTGGAGTAGAAGGAAAATGTTGCCACAAAAAACTCAGATTTCCGTTTTGTGTTGACAACCAATTACGACTCATTATAGACGCAAGCACAGACATTGAGTCCCACTTTGTTGCAGCATAAGCGCGTTGAATTTCACTCAGATGCGCTTACACCCTGGAACTTTCCCCCCAGACTCCACTCCACAGTGCTTGCCAGGTGGCTGTGATGCTAAGGACTGGTGACCTGGCATTTTGCTCAGCCTCCAGGCAGCAGTTGCCTAATCCCGAAGGGAACAGCGTTGAGCCGCATGCTTATCACGGAATAAGCGGATCCGCAGTGGTTTCTAGCTAACCTTACTCCGAGCCTCAGGTTTATAACTTGGCCTACTGTCCACCCTCGAAATATCATTCTGGCCAACTTTAATCGTTCGAGCTGCTTCACTTCCCAGATCGGGAAGTTAAAGTCCTTGAATATGTCTCGTTATCTTTTTCTTCTTCAGCTTCTCCCCGTTGTGAGTTATGCTGCCCCGGTTCTGAACGCAACCCACGGCAAGATTCAATGGGGACCTTGCGCTGAAGACCTCACGGCACTCGACGATACTCTGCCTATTATGTGCGGTAACCTCTCCGTTCCACTTGACTATTCGGTATCAAATTCCAGTAAAACACTCAAACTCGAGCTGGTTAAGCTTCCGGCCCAAAGCAAGACTTCCAGCGGAAGTATTCTACTGAATTTCGGTGGCCCGGGGGAAGCTTCTGACGAAAACTTCGTCGGATTGGCTCCAAAGCTACAATTGTAAGCTGAAGCTGAAGCTTTTTTGAGTACATATTATAGACTGACCAGACATGTAGTATGACTGGCGGACACCACGACCTCATAACGTTCAATCCTCGGTAAGCAGTGTATAGTAAGAAGCCTATATACTCCAAGTATCTAACGTTTTTGTACACACAGAGGAACAGGCAAAACTCTTACATTTTCCTGCTATGAGGACCCAAGTGATGGCTACGTTGCCGCTGGTCCACTCAAGGCCGGGAATTCCTCTGATACAGCACCTGGAGAGATTTGGGCCAGTGCTAGCGTCTTTGCCGATGATTGCCGCGCTGAAGCAGAAGAGATTGGAAGCCTTATCGGAACATCCTTCGTCGCGAGGGATATGATGGAAATCGTCAATGCCCTCGGCGAGAACGGGTTAAAATACTGGGGTAGGTTGATTGTATCCTTGTGTTTTTCAGAAGAGCTAACAAGTTCTTTAGGCTTCTCTTACGGCACCCTACTAGGCGCAACTGTTGCTGCCATGTTCCCAGACCGGATGGACAAAATAGTTTTGGATGGAGTCGTTAACTGGCACGAATATTGGGACTCTTAGTGAGTGACCTCGGTTTGAAGTACACCGCTAAAATACTGACATTATTCTTCCCTATAGCAACCTGGAAATGCTTACAGATGCGGATAAAACCTTCAGAAGCCTCCTGGATGGATGTATCGCAGTAGGCGAAGACTGTGCCCTCGTTAAAGGACGCCCCAATGTAACCGCCGTCGAACTGGAAGAATCCATTTTCGACTTTCTCGAGGATTTGAAATATTCCCCAATCGCTCACAACGGACAAATACTCGATTATACCACGGCAAAGTTTTTTCTGTTCAATACTCTCTACAAACCCATTCAGTGGCCTGAAATAACAACAATCCTCAACGAAATCATTAGGGGAGACGTTTCGTATGTCTTGGACATACTTATTCCGAAATCAAAATCCTCGACGGTCAGCTCATTTTCTAGCTCTGATGCTCTTCATGGTATCCAATTAGGCGACAGTAAAGCACGGACGTCTGATCTAACCGATATTGGTCCCGCGCTCACCCAACTGGCCGATTTGAGCAAACTGGCCGGCGACCTGCTGTTCTTTAGGACCATGGCTACCGCGCAGTGGCAGATGGCCGCAAGTGAGCGCTACAGGGGCGACTACCACGTCAAGACGAAGAACCCAGTCCTTTTCATCGGGAACACTTTTGATCCCGTTACGCCGCTTGTTTCGGCGCACAATGTCAGCTCTGACTTTGAGGGCAGTGTCGTCCTGGAGCACAACGGTCACGGAGTAAGTTTTGGACTGACCATTCTATTGCACCAGAAGCTAATGTGTTGGCAGCACACCTCTATGGGACAGGAGTCACTCTGTACAGTCAAAGCAATTCAGGCGTACTTCTTGAATGGCACGCTGCCCAAGCCGGGTTCGGTGTGTGAAGTGGATATTCCGCTGTGGTCGAATCTGACTTGGATCGATCTTTTGGAATAGTGTTTGGGTGGCAGAAAAAGGGTAGCATTTGTTGCATTCAAGTGCACACCTTCGTTTAATGATGATTGATGACTACAGCAAGGTTAGGCTTGCTAAAATGAATTGAAAGTATGGAATATAAGGGTTTAACTCATCGAAATACACGCTGACCTCTATTGTCCATGTCAACATGAAGTTAGGACCGACTACAGCGTTTGAGCTGGTCAGGCTTTAGATTCTGGTTCGGCAGTAATTTTTGGGAGCGCATAATCTACTTACACGTTAGCAAATACCTTTGCATCTTTTTACGAGGTTAGGCTGGGAAATAGCTTATAGTGGGTGCAAGCCCTACGTACGAAAACAAGGGTATTTTTTATAAAAGATTGAAGACGTGACGGTGGATAGACTAAGAAGGAACTTTTAGCTATACGGGTACAATTGCCTGGGATTGGTAAGCATACCCATGCCAAATTGGAAAGTAGAGACCGGACCATCAAGTTTTTAATTGAGAAATAAGGGATGAACAGGTTCTAGCTCCCGCTATCTTTGTACCCATTGAACCTTGTTCGGACCAGCAACAACCATATGTAAAGACATAAGCAGTGAGCACTCCAGTTGCATTAGAGAACTACATGCTATGCTACCTAATAGTGCTATCGTAGTGCACTACTATTGCCGGCTCACTAGAACAAACCAGGCCCTTCGGACTTCTCTTTGAAGAGTCAAGACCAAATATCTCTTTGACTGCCGAGATTGTTAACCAATAGCTCAACCGCTTAGCTCTGTGTTCAGGACGACGAAGCTCGGCTCTTGATCCAAATCCATTCCAGTGTCAGGTTCAACCACAGGCGACTGTAGGCGCTTGATGTCGCTATCATGCTTGCCGACCACTTCCTTGAGCTTTTCGATTTCTTGAATGAGCTTGTCCACTGCAACCTGCCTTGCCTCAGTTTCCTCGATCAACTTGTCACGGCAAGTTGCGTGCTCTGCCTGATCCTTGTAGGTCTTCAGTTGTTTCTCAAGATCAAGGATACGCATCTGCAGCTTGTGTCCCTTCATGGATGCATCGTCACCGGCCTTGATAGACAGCTTCTCGATGTTCTTGTAAGCTTCAACAACCTTTTCCAACCTCTTGATGTCGTCCTTGGCCTCCTGAAGAGCCTTGTCTTTGGCCTTGAGCTCATTCTCCATCTTAAGAAACTTCTTGTCATCACCACGTTGATCGGCCGTGCTTGAACCATGGAGGCGCGTCGAGGGTAAACCCGTCATGGGTGTGGTGCGCAGAATTAAACTAGGCTTCTTAACCTTTTCCAGCTCGGCATTCGGATTCTCAGTTTCAACGAGCCTCTGCTCAGTGCTCCGAGTGCGGTCTGAAAACTTGGGAGGTACATGGTCGGTCATAGTGTTGCGGTTCTTCTCTTTCGCGAGATCGGTTGTCACCTGGGCCTTGAGGCGAGGGTAAGGCACCAATGCCTTGGGGTTCTTCTTGACATCGGGAGTTTTAGCGAGGTTGGAGTCAATAAGTCCCGAACGCTCCGCGAAGGTGATGCGAGGGTAAGTCGTCGTTGTCTTGCGAATCTTGTCTTCAGTGATGTCGGAGTAGGTCTTCGTGAGTTCATCTGCAAAGGTAGGGCGCTTCAGCTTGGCCATGAAGGGTGTCGCGGAATCCCCAGCGACTTTGCGGTCGGCTTTCGCATCGGCGTCAGCCTTCTGGCTAGTAGTGCGATGAGGTGGATCGGCCATAGCGAAGTCAGCGAACGGGTTGCTTGTCGGTCGGTTGTTGTTGAATTTCGTTGGGTGTTGTGCAGAAGGAAAGGATGGGGTGGGTATTTATGAACGATGGAACCTGTGTGGGAGGGATGACGTAGATGTTAGTTTAAAACAAAGCATGGGTATGCAGAGTGAAGCATTAAAAGGAACATTTTGTGTGAAGGATGACATGATATGGCACATCTCCGATTGCACGTCCAACAAGGAAACATGAGCACAACAATAGTATTAATTGATTTATAGACTATCTCTTCTGCAGCAGCATGAAGTAAAGCGGAAGTAGCACAGACGACAAGGCTACAGGCTCGACACCGTGGAAGCGCTGAGGAGCCGACTTCACCCACCACGACCCCGATCCAACATTTTGTCAAGCGCCAACTTGCACAAGGTGACTCCAGGCATCTATCAATTATTCAGGTCTTCTGTTCCACGAAGTACCAGTGTTTTCCACGAAAAGATAAAGCACATTCCGCCACTCCGATGCAAACATGTCAGCTCCGTGTGTCTCTACGGACAAACCCTCCAGCTCCAACAAAGACACCATGAACACCACCGTTGAAAGTCCCAACAAGGCATCCTCAATTTCACTTAAAACCGGCAATTCTGAACCCTCCACCCTCAATAAGAGCTCCAGCAAAGACATGTCCGATTCCATAATCTTCACTTCCAGTTCCGACAAGACGAAAAGCTTTCCCAAATCCACCTTCGGTAAAATTCTCCAGCAACTGCAAACCCGTCCCTAATCCATTATCCCTAACCCTGTCTTCGGCGACGGTGGTCCCGAAGGTCTATATCGTGGCATAAAGATCCAAGAGGAAATCGACCGTTTGAAAGAAGAATGGGCGGAAGAGTGCAGACGCACGGCCGTGGACAGAGAGGTCGATGACCATACCGATTTCGGGAACGACTGCCGTTGGCAATGCCCAGTTGCATCATTAGCAAAGCCAGATACTCCATAAGGAATAGTGGTGACTCATCCAAAAGCACTGAGTTAAGAACCAAAAGTTGTTTCTCGGTTGACGGTGGATGGCTTGACGATGTTCCCTGTGGACATGCCATCAATCATCTTTAAATTGCAAAGACAGTCTTTCACAAACAGCAAAGAATATCTATACGACAGGCGGTATAGTTATTGCAACAAGCTGGTTGAAAATGCGTGATATAGCGCCTCGATGCGCGTCGCGTCGTACGCCTTCCCCAACTACCGCGGATGAACGCTATCCTCCCTTCAGCGAACCCCGCAAATATCAGAAGCCCATTTAATTCCAAGTTAGTTACTTGCAATGTCTTCATTGTCCCTACTGCAAGCGCCAACAGATGCAAAGAAATTCTCAAAATCCATGGTGGCTAGACACAACCCCGCTGCTACCTGGAGGTGAGATTTTGGGAAATCCAAAACATTGGACTCCGCTAACTGGAAACGCAGTGCAGTAGAATCGTAGAGGAGAGTAGCGTATTAAACATCACCGAAATGAGCCACCGCCTCAGACCCACAAGGTATAATATGCCTGTCCCGTCAACGGCTGACCATCCGCACTCCGCCGGCAAAAAGCAATCCCTGACTTATCCACGCCCAGCCAACATTAAATGCTTCCTCAAGTTGACCCGGACCTTTATATCCCCTACCTGAGAATGCCTGCGCTCCAGGGTTCACGTGTCTGTGACAAGCACCAACGTTAAAGGGAAATACAAGGGAGAAGTCTGTGGGGTTTTGGGACTTGGGAGCAAGCAGACACGAAAACTTGAACGATGTCTCAGCCTCATGTTGCATAAATCCGACGCCAAATGATTTTTTGCAGCTTGCGCGACCGGTCACAGTCTTGCAGAGCTCGTAGCTTCCTGAAATGCAATCTGCAGTCTGAAAGGTTCAGTGGCCTAACAGCCCACTTTTTTGGCATGAGCTGGGAGCAGGATCTGAAACACTGCCTTGTATTACAGTGCTTGCTCCGGTTGGACGGCTGTATGCACCTTCCCGCTCGCTGCCCAAGGCGTTTTTTGTCCGCTTTCATGCCAAATTTACGCATTTCACAGCATTTAGAGATAAAACATCAACTTTAGAGGGAAATGGATTCGCCGTTACCTGACCCTGGCCTTGCGGCTGTAACCCATGCTTGAGATGCTATTATCGTCGCGGTCGAAAGAAAAGCAATCGGATACAGCAGACCGGACGTAGAAGGCTGATCAACACTAGCGTTTGTGATCCAGCCACATAAGAGGCACTGTTAAGGCAGAATGCTTTTAGAAGAACACTTTGTAATTAGGCAATCAGGCAAACAGGGCAGCTTGACAACGCACCCATTTATTCCGGGAAATGCAGTGCATGTACGACAGAGCTTGCGTTGTCGTGGCGCAGCATGCGCAACTCGGGACGGGCCGTGCGACTAACGTTTGTGAGCGATATGGGTTCACAGGTGCAACCACACTACATTTCAGGCTCCGCAAGAATAGAACACCATGTTTTGGACCCCAAGGAGTTGTAAGATTCTGAGTGACGCGGAATCGAGGCTGTGCTGGGGGTTCATCTAATGTAGAGGTTAAGTTTGTCTGGAAGGCTTTGCTGTCGACAACATAAAAACCCGTGCTTCGAACCAGCCTTCGTAGTCAAACATCCATCCAACTGAGGAATCTACTCTCAATCAAACATTGAACCTCATCAAAGATGAAGAGCCCTACGGTTCTATTCACTATCGCACTCTTCGCCGGCATCGCCGCCTCCTTTCCCGTGGCGGTAGTAGCGATTACTACGGAAGAGGCAGCGGAAAACTCAGCGTCTCCTCTCTCCGTTAAGGATGGATTACTGCCATCAACTGAGACTGCGGAATCACCATCGTGGCCTCAGAAACTATCTCCAACTCCAATGGCAGCAGATGAAATTATTGAAACTCCGAAATCTCGCGCTCATAATGTGTCCGTTCTTCCTACTCGGAAACTAGGTTATTTCTGCTAACATTAGTAGCGGAACCGCATTGCCACCTCTTGGAACAATTCCCGATGAAGTACAGCCAGACGGCCACATCATCCAGCACCATGGGAAGGGCCATGAGAAGCGCCGTGGTCAAGACCAGCCAAAAAGGCAACATACCAAGACAACCATTGCCTTGGAGTAATGGATGGTTAGTTCATTCTTACGTATGCGTTTTCAAGGATATATACTAATAAGCTGCGATTATAGCTGTTATACAGATTTAGTCTTGAGGGGCAGTTTCGGTCGTGGCAGTTAACTTAAGAATTCTGATATTTCCACGAGAATATTCCAAAATGCAGTAACCAAACTTTCCATTCCAAATGATAGCTTCAACAGAAGCTTAGGTCGATTTTCTTAGCCTAGACGAATGAGCTGGCGACTTATGGTCTTTGAATTTGTCCAATACAAGGTTTGGTCAAATTGATTAAACTAGAGAACGTCAAGATATTTTAGCATTAACATTCATTTTTTGAGACCTCTAGTAATTAAAAAGGTCATGCCACGTGCTACTTGTTGAACTGCAGCTTTGGTGGGTAATGTGCAGGGAACACCCTCGATTTTCTCCAGATCAATTCCCAGTTCTGCCGCAAACACTCATCCTTCTCTGGATTGGCTGGAAGCGGGGCGTCCACATCTAGGCGTGCATAGAAGGCGGTAAGGACAGCCGTGATTGCGATGTTCACAACACCTCTGAACCGTTCATTACGGTGCTCCAGTGACGGCTTGGTGGCGTCAAACTTGGGGTCAGCAGCGCGGACCCAGCCGCGGTTAGGCAGCGTGCAGCCGATAACCGAGGCTATAGCGTCGGCATCAGCGTAGAGGAAGGCATCGCGGCGGAGGCCTTGCTTGATTTTCTGAGCTCCTTGTTCTTCTACGTCATCCTGGGCGGATGGACGACACATATTGCTGAAGCGGTCCCGCAACTGAGACAAAGTAGCCTCGGCTAGTGCTTCATCTTCAAGGTACTGCAGCATCCGAGTGCGGCGAATACGCGCCGAGAAAGGAACACATAGAAGAGAAATTTCGATAACTTCAGTGAACGTCTCCTTGAACTGCTTCCATTTTTTATCGTCACCGAAAGAGGTGCGGAACAGGACAAACCCCCATCTAGGCAGAAGTTGCGCCTCAAAGACCCAGGGAATGGCCTGTGTATGTTGGATGTTACGCCGGTCATCGCCCGTAAGCCGTAACGTTGCTTCGCCTTCGGCTTTGGAGGCCAGTGTCATTTGATGGTAAGCTTTCCTGGCTGCAGTACGTTCAAGCTCGCTTCCCGCGATCTTTTCAGCTTCATTCCTAGTGCCAATTAAGTCGACATTCTTCTATTGGGGAATGCGCGGCGGGGATAATTATCTCCTTTCATGCTCATCCTCAGTCTGATATCTTTTCCACGTCAAATAGCTATAATCGTCATGAGGGAATACATCCTTACGGATAGGCGGATAGTTTACGCCGTGAGCTACCAATCGAGCTTCATCGTCGGTTAGGTCGTCAGGCTGAGAGATAGCTTTTTGCACCAATTCCTCCCACGAAAGCCCACAAATATTTCGACAAACCTGATCCTCTTCTCCAGCAGGCAGACGATCCAAGATGCGGCGACGATCTCCATCTGTAAGACTTTCTGGGTGTTTGACGGCTTTCACATGAAGGGAAAGGATTTCTTGAGAAGGCCTTTCTGGAGGTGGCGGTTCCGGAAGTTGAGAAAGTGGGATTCCCCACATCTTAAGCTCGCCAACTGGCTGAAACATCTTGAGGTCTAGGAGGACGGGTGAAATGTGGTGGAAACGTGGAGAAGTGTGTGAGGTTGAAGTGCGGCACAGATTGTGCGTCGCTCCACGTGACCTACCCGGACAGCCGATATTACACCCCAAGTTTTGGGCTACATCTTCATAACTACTTTAGATGACTTTACGACTGATTGAGTAAATACATGTTGAGGAAACCACATCATTCAAAGTCAAGCCAAATCCGCAGCCGTTGAAAAAGACCATGTTTGGCTGGATCTGCTATCTAGTCTGATCTTCAGGATTGATGAGTCCGGTGCTTCTTTGTAGGTTCACGGCATAATCCAGAGTATAGCTCGGAAGTGTATAGACCAAGTTTGTAAAGGCATCTGCGATTACTGTGGAGCTCGGGACCTGGCAAACGCAGTAGTGGAAATTATTGGAAGAGCAGACAAAGCAAGCAAACAACGGATTTAGAACCTAACACCAACCGCCGCCAAATCTACTCTCTACGTTTGAGGCGCTTTTCACTTAAAGAGAAACTATATAAATAATCCATATTGTGATTGCAAGTATCGGACGAAATACGGCTAGGCGAAGCCTGTAACCGCTGGCGAAAATATCCGAAACTCGTCCGTCATCCGTCCGCTAATCGTCCGCAGATCCAGTCAACACATCACTTTTGTTCATCCAGACCTATAAAAGAACAGGTGTGGCTTAGAAATTTAAATGCGCACAGCAAATCCTAACTAAAATTCAAGATGTCCGTTACCAATATTCGAATCCCGGAGTTCAGACATTTGAAGAGAACTCTTCACCGCACAAGTTACCCGGAAATCGATCCCGCCAACCCGGACAACTCTGCATCGGGAAAATCAGTGGTCATCAGCGGCGGCGCAACTGGGATTGGGCTTAACATTGCTCGCGCCTTCGCAGCTGTCGGAGCCACTACTATAATTCTTCTGGCTCGCCGCCAGGAGGTCTTGGACGAAGCATTCGCAACACTGCGTGCAGTGAATCTTAAGCGCAAAATTGAGGTATGGACATATTGCTTCGACATCCGCAATGCAGCAGCCACAGAGGATGTGTTCACCGCAATTCGGATGCGCTTGGGCAAAGACATGGACATCCTCGTCACGAGCGCTGCCATGGCAGCACAAGGAGACACAACTCTCGAGTCGTCCACTCGTCCTCGGAGTTGAACCACGACTTGTTTGAAACCAATGTCTTCGGCAACCTTAACCTCGTGCGCGCTTTTCTCAAGCCTGAGATACCCTCTATTCCTCTCACCTCATTGATTGGGCACGTCAAAGATACAAGCGGATTTATAGCTCCTGGTCGATCAAAAATCATTCTTGACGTTACGATTGTATCGGCCTACATGCAACTTCCAGGACGGGCCATGTACAGCGCAAGCAAGGCAGCCTTTACCAACTTAATGCGGCATTTGCAAGCAGAGGCTGACAGGCTCCCGGGTGCACCAATCCGTATACACAGCTTTCATCCCGGTGCGATATGGACACCAGCGACAGCCAGGGCTGGAGTGATTAGGGATGCAGTGGAATGGGATGATAAAAGTTTGCTGAGTGGATTTGCGGCTTGGCTAACCCGCAAGGCAGCATCTTTCTTGAAGAGGAGGTTCGTGCGGGCAAATTGAGACGGGAATGAAATGATAGAGATAAGGGAGAGGTTCGAGGAGGATCTAGACTTCTGTAGTGTTACAATAAAATTCTACATCTATGTATAAAGTGGCTTAAGTGGCTGTGGAACACATTACCCACTTCGATATAACCTTTAGTAATTATAGCTAAGTTCAATAGGTAGTTACTTTAGAAAGTAAAATAATTTAATAGTGTAGAGTAGTTTAAGACAGACAACTTTTAAGTTTGGATTTTCTCTAAGTTCCACGCCCTTGTACCGACTCTAGCCCGCTATCTACTCTAACATAACGGGATTTCTGCCCACGCCCTACCCCTACCTTGCCTCTGCCGAAAGTAGGCTGCTCCTAAGAGTGTATCTAAAATACTAGGGATATTAGGCCCTTCATAGTCGGCGCCTGCGATCAATGGTCGCTCTTCTAGCTGGAGCATATGGAGGAGACCTGGAACCTTTTCGATACGACCTGGCCAGAAGTTGATAACAGGAGAAAAGCTATGGCCTGCTAAGCTCTGCCGTAGGAAGTATAACCGGATACGCTTCAAGTGGGGAAAACGTTGTATCAAGGCGGGCAAAAATTGCTGCCAGGTTCCAGCCTCAAGCTCGACATATTCCAAAACAAGAGTCTGAAGAGTACCTTGAAACCGCGAGGTAAGATCCAGAAATGCTTTAGAGTCGTCGGTGTTGATGTTTTTGAGCCTCAAATAGCGTAGTGGGGGATTCCACGTTGGTTGGGAAAGAACGCTATTCAAAAGCTCTAGCGTTCTTCCACAGTCTAAAGATAGATTTTTGAGATTCCTGGTAGACACTATAAGTGTCCTTATGAGAATTTCTGATTCCTTTGACGTGTCCCATCCTATACAAGCCTGGAGATTGAGCTCCTGAATATGTTCGCTCCAGGTATTTACGAATCCAGCGCCCAGATACAAATCCGCTGGTAACGGCCTCATATCTAGGTCCCGGTCCATGTTTGTCATATCAAGAGTGAAAGCCGTAACTGGTCGATGAAACCCGGATATGTGGAAAAATAGAAGAGCAAGAGCGTCCGTTACGCTAAGATAGGCGGTAGTGATTTTCTCGTCATGCATGTTCCAGCTCCCTCGGATCCCACGGACGGTAAATGAATGACAATTCGGAAGCCCATCGACTAGTACTTCGCGTAAGAATCTGTCAACTTCTTCTGGGAAGGGTGCTTCCAGACTTCCTCGGGGAGAGCGATACCATTGCCCTCGGATATCTTGACCTAAGTCTCCTTTGCGATAGTCGACGTCAAGTGACCCTGTAATTACAAGGTTTTGTACTGCTCGCCGCGCCCGCGGGTTTTCTAAAATTTCTTTGATCCGTCGCAGGCTTTTCGAGCATAGGTCTGTAGTGACTGTATTGAAGCAGGCGTGGTCAAGAGCTCGTGTTGTTTTGTCGGCCAGGTGACGGCAAACAAGGCGCAGCGAGAAGATGTCTACTGTCTCTAAGCTGCGGCATATCCACTCAACGATCTCGACAGGAAGCTGGGCCAGTGTTGCGTTCATTGTAGTTTGCGTACTTTTTATATGGAGTATGAGGGCGACATGCCATAGGGGCGAAGTATCGAAGGAGCGGAATGTATAAGGCTCGGAGGTAAAATGTCGTGGAGGCGGAACGCGTGAGGCTCAGGGGCGAAATGTGGTGAGGGTGGAACGTTTGTGGGGCTTAGTGAGGCATGGGGGCGGAAAGCCGACTCTGTGAATGGTCGCGCAGTGGTTGTCTCAAAATCCAAAACTGCCGCAGGGTCCAAGACTCGAAGGAGAAAAAATAGGCCGCATAGAAGAGCTGTTATTCAGTGAATCAGTAGCAGTGAGACTAAAGCTACTGTTAAGATCTGGACCAATTCCGATACGTTCCCTCCGGCACTAAGAAAGCGCAATTCCCTACGTTATCTTCTGAGAACTAGCGACCTATGTTACTTAGAAGAAGAGGATGGAGTGGAATCACCCGTAGCTCTCCGTTGTGGCTATGGATACTCAACGTCGTACTTCGGCTCAATTAACCGCTGCTCAGACCTTTTCGCTCTTAGACAACCGAGAATGTGACATTTTATTTAAGCATATGCGTCGACTATCTTTTGAGTAGAGTTGCTTCCGTTAATATTTGCTGTGCACTTCTCTTTTCTGAACACCTAGCGTGTGGGTTAATTGGCTAACGCTGCCGTAAACCATTATTAATACACTTAGTTTGTAAAAGGATTAAGGGAGAGTTTAAAGTGTGGACATGATCACCTCCTTGCTTCGTGCATGGTTTTACAGGTAACACCGTGACGTAAAAGTAAGATTGGCATGCGTATATTCAAGAATAGCCTTTAAACGCCATAAGCAACCTATTGCCTCTAATGCTGTAGAAATCGTATACTGCTAGCAGCCTATTGATATCGAGTAGCAGCACTCTTAGGAGTTAGGCTATAATAATGCCAGCGCGGCTGCTTCAGCTGAAATCCTCACCATACTAGCCGATACTTTTATCTTTATACAATCCCCTAATAGTGCCCGCCGTCTTTATTAAAGGTCCGTAGTCCCTGTCCTTGGATTCGCAATTCAGCGCCCCCGGTTTGGTAACGGAGTTGGATATATCGGAGTTATATTGTTGACAAAATGCATTTCACTATTAAGTCATTATTGGAAACGCTTGTAGTATCTACGAAGCTTCTGGAAAGGCAAAAGAAGGGAGAATGTACCTATATACTGCTGAGTGAATAAGTGAGTGCTCTGGATGGATAAATGCCGGCGTTATTTCGCTCTTGCTTGAAGAATTAAGGTTCGTGGACAAGTGATACAAGTGATGAATCACGACTTAACAGGACATCCCCTAAGAAAGTCCCGCTAGTCGCACAACAGGGGCTTTGTCTCTTAGCTTTTGCCTCTTCATCAAAGCATGCAGATAGCCTAGCTTTAGGTTGTCTCAGCCTTTTGCCTACGCTGATCCAACATCAAAATAACAGATTTACGATGTCGCACTAGCACTGCATGAACTTGTACGCCAGCATAGGAGCCAACTCGGCCAATCTTTAATTACACAGAAGGGTAGTTCATTCCTGTCGTGTAAACAGGCAAACAGAGAAACTCAAACCAGGTTTGCCTGCTATTATTATTATTTTTTTTTTTTTACCTAGACTGCAGGTTTTAGCCTTTTAGCCCTGCAGTTGTGCAACTAACAATAAGCCTCGTTTTCCAAGTGCTGATTGTACTTAAATGGCAAACATTTCTGGTAGCTCTTCACCTTACTTTTTAACTTACATCACTTCTTTGATGCTGCGCAACATCAAAAGCAAGACGAGAGATGACCTTGTGCTATGACACTGCCGGAAATGCGCTTCACAAATCATTTCAACCGTGCGGCAACATTTCCAATGGGCACAAAGCTTGTTGTGCGATAAACAGACTGGAATCTCCGGATTTTTGCCTCGACAGCGGTCTTTGCCTCGCATTTCTCGGAAAATATACGGGATTTCTCTACGAGAACGGCTGTACTGACATAACTGGCGAGGATAAAGGATGTCCACAGGTATGCGCAAATGGTGAGCAATCATTAACTCTTTGAGATAATCCGATGCGCATATTTCTCCGAAGAAGGATGGTTGACCACTAAACAGTTCGCAACGCATCGTGGACGGGATCAACGGTCCTAGGATGTGATGAAGGCAGATAGTGTTGCCGTTCCTCCGCGGATTCACGCAATTGCTGTAATGACCGCAGTGCCCTAGTCGGTGTAGAGGCCATTGGCAAAACGATGGAGAGAGCTGCAATTTCAACTCCAACCCAAAGTCAAACTCCAACATCAAGCAGTACGTAGTACCGTATATCCGAGATGAACAGCTGCTGAAACAACATGTTAGCACCAAAAGAAAAACCGGCCAGCGAATGCAACGACTCTACTATTCCGATACTGAGTGGTGTGCTCGGTGGATTGCTATTCGCGGCAGTGATGGCTCTCGGAGCGGCGCTGTTAATATTACGGCGAGAAAGAAGAACGCGACCGTTGCATGGACAAGAGCGTGTTGCAGAACCAAATGGGGAAACAAGTCCGGCCTTCAATGTATCAAGGAAAGGAGCCTTTCCACATGAAGTGGATGGAAACATCTCTCAGCGGAATGAAATGCCCGCTAGGATTCAGCCGAGTGAACTATCAGCACATTAGAGCAACTGAGGAGATGGATACGAGTCTTCACTGTGGGTTTAGGGGATTGTCCGAATGCACTGAGAATATTAACATGGAAAGTCGACGTGTGCGTTTAGAGTGCCTGCCAAACATTAGTAGTAATAATTTTCTCCTGAGGCCGACCGCTAGAATATTCCAAGATCCAGCTCAGTTGTCAAAGTCCAACGAAAACGTCATCTCGGCCAAACCGCCCTTGATCCTCTCCTCGACGCCCTGCAGCTCCTCCTCGACATACTCCCGCATCTCAATCCTCAAGCCATAAAACCGCTCCTCGCATTGCTGGTCCGCCAGCTCCGCGCCCTCATCCGCAGCCGCCTCCCTGCAGTCGTCATAATCGCCCTTCAACTCTTCCCGCACCTCATTAATTTTTTCGCGAACCTCCCACAGCCCTTCTTGCTGCTCATCTCGCACCTGTTCCAGCGATTCGTGCACCGCCTCGCGCGTGCGGACCTGCTGCTCCCGCACGACATCCATCTCACGCCGCAGCGCGTCTAGCCGCTCGTCCACCTTCTCCAGCATCCGTGTCTCAAGATCCCGCATGCTCTGCTGGATCTGCTCGTCAATGCATGCCTGTTGCTCGGCCTGCGACTCGCGCAGCATCTTCCTGTACGTCTCCTGGCAAAGAGCCTGAATTGCCGCAGCATCGAGAGTCCTACTACTCGCAGTGTTGGACTTCACGTCCGACGAAGTAAGCTTCTCAACGCGTCGTTTCTTGGCCGGAGGCTGCGACAGTGGCGGCGGCGACAATCCCAGCTCGTCATACGACGGCGGGCTCTCCGCACCAGCACTAGGGCCAGCAGGCTCATCGGACCTAGCTTTCTCCTCCAGTTTCCTCCCAATCAGCTCACCAGGCGCGCACACTCTTCCGCCCTTTCCCTGGTGTAAATGTGCAGTCCCCGCCTCGCTCTCCAGCGCCCGGAGCTCGCCATCGCGCGCAAGTTTGCACAACGACTGTGCCTGGCTGTGCGGGAGGTGTGTGCTGGGTATGTAGATTGAGAAAGTCGTGGCTGCAGCCAAAGCATCCAGGACTGCAAGGACATCGCCGGCGGCTTTGTTCTTTGGGACAGGCGGTTGCGGTGGCGCGATGAGGTCGGCGGGGACGCGCAGGGTGAAGTCGAGACGCGTGAGGGTCGTCTTGAGCTGGGATTGGACGGCGGGAGGGGTCTCTGCCGCCTCTTCTGCGGAGAGGGATGTGATGCGCTCGGGTTTGATGTAGAGAAACACGGGGACGGGACGGCGGGATGCCCTCGCTGCGATGTCAACGCGCAGCTTGGCGAAGGCGGATTTGGTGGCGGCGTCGAGGCGCAGCGAAAACGTCACGGAATGTGTGTCCGATGGGGGAAGGAAGGTGTTAGATTCGCCATCGTCGTTGAACTGCACCACAGCAGGCACAGATGCGATATCGATGTTTTCTATTGAGGAAGAAGTCATATCTACAATACCAAGACCGAAGCATCAGCCCCCATGCAAGAATAACAACAGCAAATGAAACACAAATCCCCCGTGCTAGAGCACAGGAAACCCGCCCACCCAGGCTTTGACGCGAACGAGAGCAGCCTTGACTCTTTGAAAGAAGCAACAAAAACAGACAGGGAAGTCCCCGCGCGCCCGCTACGACACAACCGAAGAAAAGCGCACACCCGGCGACGCTGACGGCGGCAACAGCTGCTACATGCTGGTAGACAGCGCGCCCCTTGACAGACCCCAGTTCTTTCACCAAAGGGACCCGCTGCGACAAGGGCAGTGGACGTTTGGCAAGTAGAAGCTGGACGGCTGGCCTGCTCGCGCCGACATGGTGTGGCCTCGGTGTGGTGTGTCGCGAGGACGCGCGCGGCTACCCGCGGAGCGGATACCTTTGAACTGACCCTGATGTGTGTGTGGAGTCGGTGAGCGAAGGTGCGCGGAGGTAGAGATGGACGCGTGGAAGCGATGGAGCGATGGAGCGATGGAGCGACTGTCGAGCGATGGAATCAATGACGAGATGAAGATGATAGGTGGAGACGCGTCTGAATGTCGCGAGATGGATGCGGAGATGCGGGTCGGGAAATGTAAATTCCGGGGTGCCGCGGGGTCCGCTCCACACGCTTTCATACCTTCATGAATCGACCTGCTGCACAACTCCAATAATCCCAAGCTCAATGCCTCGCTCGGAACGATTCGCGATACGTCCTTCAATGCTAATCTGTACAGGGCACTAACATGACGCCATGAGATCCACTGCCGATCGAACTGCTACATCCAGCTACGAGTAGCCCACGAGCTCCACCAAAAGATGAACGCCTTTGACTTTGACGCCAGTTCGCCATCATTGTGTTGAGAGCACGCGACGACAGGATTCCTGGGATGCCTTTCAGGCTTGCGACCTTGTTGTCCATTTCATAACGTCCAGGACGACTTCCGTTTGACCTCGATTGTTCTCGATATCACAACATGCGAAACAAGAAGCGACGAACAATGGAACGGCACCAGCTCGGCTTGTGCTGGAAGCTTGATATCTGAGGAAACAGGGCACACTGTACACAAGTCAAGGGGAAACTGAGTTTATGGAAAAGACTTCTCGCGAAATCGGACTAAATGGATTGTACAATTCGTGCTCCAGTCTGATCTTCCAAATGTTATCATGCTTGTTGATTATGTCCTGCAACTCCACCAGCTCCGCGGTCGCTCATAGCCACTTAACGCCCTGCAACAAACCGCTTACACCAAGACAATTTCTTTCCAGATGATTCCCGGACGCAATGAATTACGAACAGCGTCTTTGTGCAGGAACCCAAGCCCAACTCTCTGGGTAAGCTCGATAATATCTTCCTGTCCATCCCGTCCAAAAGCCACATTCGCTCCCTGTGGCGTTGTGAGCATAATGTTAAGGAACTCGAAGTCTCCAGGCAAATCGAGTTCGTCCAACGCTGCAACATCGTCTTGGTTCTGCTGATACTGCGGTGCGAAAGCGGCAATCTTGTCCTGATTCACAGACTTGACGCCGTATGGGGTTACTGACAAAAGCAACAATTCGAAGGGTGTACTCTTCCTGTCAGCGGTGGTTTCGGTCGCACGCTGCTGGGTGTGCTGGACAAGACTCTGATTGTTGACATTGATGAAACCACATACGTTGTGGTCGACGTCGAGAACATGGGCAAGTCCCGGTTCCACGTGGGAAGGTAGCATATCGACAAAAAGGGAAATCACAATGGTGGAAAAGTACAACGATGCCACGGGAAGGCCAGAGGGGATCGTCGACGGGGTTTCTGGAGCTTGGTGAATTGGAAGCATGGACAGCAGCCGCTCATCCAAGCAGCGGCCATAGGGGTTCGAGGGTGAGGGCCATCCGTAACTTGGGCAAACTTCCTCCTCTGCCGCGTTTCCGTCGACCTCATGCTCATCTCTTTTGTCAGCTTCTTGGCCAACTATTGTGACCAGTTGAGATACAGTCGTTCCATCTCTTATTGGATCCCAGAGCAAAACAGTCTCCCCGCTCTCGTTAACTACGAACCAAACTATCCAGGTGCCTTTTAGTAACCACTTCTGGTCGTATTCACTATCCGTATCCTGCGCCATGTCAGTCGATCCTTGCCATCCAACCCACGACCAGCTTGGAAACCCTTCTCTTCTTTTCAAATCCTGCGCACTCTGGTTAGCTGTCCACAAGATTGCCCAGTCGAAAACTGATGATGGTAGGCCGAAGGGAATCCTTGTATGTCCCAGATACCGAGACAATGCATTTGCAATACCCGAGAACGCGTTCAGTCCGTCCGCTTGATAAGATAGGTTCCGCGATGTGTACGCTGTCACATGCTGCTGAAACCTGCGGAGAGGCTGCTCGTCCTGGTTTTTTCCAAGGGTGTTGGCACCTTCCATTGGCCTGATGTTGGGAAGCTCGGCCATGACGTACTCTCCCCAAACCGCTTCATGACATACGAAAAAGACAAGTCCATTTAAGAAGATGAGGCAGCGTGGCGACAAGCATGTCTCTTGGTAACTGTATAATTATCAGCTTTGTAGACGTGGAGGGCAAAGAGCTGACGTACGTCCAGGCTCTTGTGGCATGTTCCGATTTCATCATCTCTTCTTCAAAGAATGGTAAGACTCCGAGACGGAACCCAGGGGCCAGCTCTTGAGTGTGTAGGTTCCTTCGGCCTCTGCTGACTCCCGACAATCCCGACTGGGCTTCTTTCCCAGAAGCCGCAACAAGAGTTAATGTTGCATGGCTGTAAACGGCGTCCATGTTGGCTATCAAAGCTGCTTTTGTATCTATGTCATCCTGCACGATGCAGAGTGAATCTACCCATAAGAACCGGAAGCCCAGTTTGATAGTAACCACGATGGCGTCTTGGATAGTCCGCGGAAGTTCGATGCGCAGTCCATCTAGCCTTCTGAATTCCGCGACGTTGTCCTTCAAGGACACTGGACGATTTGCAAGTCCCCAAACGTAGCTCAAGGCGACATACTCCTCCCCGCTCGGCAGGTCCTGGAGACAGAGTCTGTCGACATTGATTACCATGAAACCAGCGAGTCCGCCAGGATGTGCTCTAGCCTCCATGTATGATTCTTTGCAGTGTTCGCCATGCCCTCGACGACAAAGACTAAGCCAGGACTGCACGAGATCGGTGTTGAATCCTTTACTGGTAAGCCTTCCGCGCAAGAAATCTTTAGTGTCCGCCTCGTCCACAAGTTGAATACAGTAGTTGCAAGACCTTCCTTCGATGTCCAACTTCGGGTAAAGACCAGATCCATACTGATCCTCGATGTCCTCTTCCGCGGGATCGTACTCGAAGCTGTTCTGGAGCCATACAGCTTGCCACTTCGTCGCGATGTCTGCATTTTTGGGTGTTCCTTCGTTCTGAACCAGGGCATGCCTGATAAGGTCGCATAGTTTGCAGTGTTTATCCCTAAGGTCTTCGAGAGTGCCCTTCAGCACAATCCTCTTGTATTTCTCTTCAGGAACGAAAGGCGGATCAGAGAAGTCAGTGCGGTTCAACTTCGCTGCGGCGCAACGACTGCATAACTCGGATGCCATAATAACAAGTATGATACTTGGGATAGAAAGACGTGCTTGGATATAGTTTGGGTAGATGCCTAGATTTTCGCAATGTTAATAGCACGGGGTAATACTAAGCTCGACTCAGCCCCGCGCACCGAAGAGGGGTACAGCGTGCTTATCAAGCAAGCGACATGCACGACGATAAGAAGTTAAAAGCAGTTAGGATATTTAAAGCATGCGATAGCAGCAGGCAGAGCGAATTTATAGCGGTTTAAAAATAGCCATAGCAGCGATATTAGTAGGTAAAGCGACTATAGTAGCGCGTCTAGTAGAGCGATAGTAGCAGGTAAAGTAACTACCTATATAGCAGTAGCGATCGACTATAGCAGTCGCAGTAAAAGTAGAAGGTAGATGTTATAGACCACAGAGGAAGTTAACCCGCAGGGCCAGGAAGACCTTATAGGAGGAAGGCCCACACGGGCTCAGAGTCCGCAAGGGCTTAGTAACCACACAGTCCCGAAGACCGCAAGGCACCAGCAAGCACGCGCCAAGCAGGACCCTAGGAGAACCACAACTACAGACCTAGGAAGCCCACACGGGAATCTACCCTACTAGGGCTAGGCTAGTTAGGAAAGATAATAAGATAAGAAACCGCAGGGGAATAACGGTCCTAAAGGATAGTACTATAGTATAGCGGCTCCGAGCTCTATATAACGAGGCTTCTTTAGCCTAGGCGTTAGAATTACCTAGCGGGTAAATAGGTTCGAAGGGTTTACCCTTAAAGGATAAGAAGTATAGAAAGTTAAGAGATAAGTTACATAAGGTATCGGACGTAGGCTAACTTTTCGAGGTAGAAGAGAATATAATAACTAGCGCTCCTAGGAACCTATATTACGGGTTTCTAACGCGTTCCTTACACAACTACGCACGGGACACAGGTCGTCCAACCATCAGAAGGGAACGTAACAACTAGCGCTCCCAGGGACCTAAATCCGGCGCCAAACGAACCGGCACAGCCAGCTTATCTACCCCCC